TTTTTTTTTGTTTAAAAGTCTATTAAATAAAAATAAGATCGATAATTTAGTCTTCAATACGAGCCAAACAAGAAATTTACTTGGGTAATAACAGTGCTGACAGCTCTAGCTACTTAATTGGATGGGGGGGGCATATATAGGCCCAATTAATTGATTTGGTCATAGAAATGGGTTTAGAATACTGTGAGCCCAAAATAATAAACATCGGCTAGTGCTTGTTCTTTCCTACCCCCACCACTCTATCCCCCCCCCCCCCAATTGGATTGATTTCTCATCGCTCTTCAAAAGAAAAAATCCTGCGCACGTTATTGGGGGGAGGGGGGGGGGCTAAAATCATAGGGGCAAGTTGGCGCGTTTAAAACATGTTTTTGGTGTTTTTAATAATTTTTTCAAACACATTTTTTTCACTCATGAAATTTGATGAAATCTCTTAACATTTTATCCACAAATGTTCTGTTCCTTATTCCGTTCTTCAGAAAGAACCATAACTACATATAAGTACAGAAGTTAGCTCCCCTACTTTAGATATTAGACTCGCCTTCTGATTTCATTTATTTTTTCTATTAAATTTGTATTATTGATATTCATTAATATTAAAGTCTTACACAAAATTTTAATTGCATTCTTTCTATTTCTGAACTAAGTTTTCAAAGAATAGCGTGATATGCTGGGCCCCACCTCTCAACGGCAGCCCCCACCTTACACCCACACCCACCCCGTCACTCGCCCACCCCCACATTTGACCAGCAGTCTAAAATCCCACCATCTGGTTGCCAGGCCACACCTCAAGTACAGCAGAAACCACAGACAGAAGTCAGGATATGTACACTTTACACACTCTACACTTTACGCAGGTACTGATGCTTGTTTGATGTTTGATAATTATTAGAAAATTATATTAATTTGGTTTTTTAAAACTTTGTAGGGATTATGTTTAAATTTAGATCGTGAAGATGTGTTACTTAACTAATAATGTAGGCTATATTGAAGATTGTGTTATTTTCTAGATCTAAATGTTTTTGTGAAATGTTTAGTACAAATGTATTTTAGTATTAGTGTGTTTATTGTTTTTACGGCCATTTATCAATCGGAAGTTGTGTTATTAATTTGAGTTATATAGATCTAAATCAAGCAGTTAGTAGGAGAAGACGAGGCACAAATTCAATAGCCCAGTTGACACAAGTGCCCTACAACCATAATATATTCATATACATATATTTTGATATATACAAGCCGGTATATAATTATATAGTTTGTTTCGTGCATGCCAAATTATATATATATATATATATATATATATATATATATATATATATATATATATATATATATATATATATATATATATATATATATATATAATACGGTTGTAGAGTTGTAGTGTCAATTTGCCCCTGTGGTTTTAGCCCCTTACTTCTCCACTATTTTTTGCTCTACCTAACATCTCTTAAAATACTAAAAAAAAGATTTTTTACTTTAGGCCTTAATGTTGAACATAACCCTATTATATAAACTTTTGTGGCTAATTCTGCCTAAAACAGATGAATAAGACAGCCCCCTAAATTTCCGGAATAAAATAGTTTTATTTACATCTTAAAAATTGGTTGTTTTACATATAAAACTCGTTTTATTAAACACATGTGAAAAAACTTCCATGGTTCTTAAAATTTTGCCCGATTTCCGATTCTAAAGGTTCAATGTTTAGATAACTAGAATTATTTTTTTTATGCCTGTTTGTGGAAATGCTAAAATTCTACCTCACAAAACAGGCACAAAATTAACTCGCCTAGAAATCATTAAATAAAGGGCGGCTAGGGCGCTGAGTACATTTTATATTACCTCCCCTTGATATTCTTTGATGGTGATGATAGTTTCATTAGTTGAGTCGCTACCATCCAACCTAGAGTACAGGGGCGATAACTGTTTACGTTTAGTGGGAGAGCTGGGTTAAGTGCTGCCGGCCTGTGGTTATAGTCGGAATTTTACGTGGGTGGGGGTGGGGTGGGGTAGGTTACTATTACTTGTTCGAGAAAAGAGTAATTATATGGAAAGGGTTAGGGGAATGACCATTTTGTTTATTTGTGGCTGTGAAGAGTGAGTTGATTTGTACGTCATGTAGTTTGTGTGTTGTGACATGTGAGAGTTTGCACGTCATTTAGTGTGTTTGTGAAGTGAGATGGATTTGTGTGGTGTGTGGTGTTGAGGTTTACAACGTCATGTGTGGTGTGTGGTGTTGAGGTTTAAGACGTCATGTGTGGTGTGTGGTGTTGAGGTTTAAGACGTCATGTGTGGTGTGTGGTGTTGAGGTTTAAGACGTCATGTGTGGTGTGTGGTGTTGAGGTTTAAGACGTCATGTGTGGTGTGTGGTGTTGAGGTTTAAGACGTCATGTGTGGTGTGTGGTGTTGAGGTGTAAGACCTCATGTGTGGTGTTGAGTTTTAAGACGTTATGTGTGGTGTGTGGTGTTGAGGTGTAAGACGTCATGTGTGGTGTTGAGTTTTAAGACGTTATGTGTGGTGTTGAGTTTTAAGACGTCATGTGTGGTGTTGAGTTTTAAGACGTTATGTGTGGTATGTGGTGTGAGCTAGAGTATGTGGTGTGTGGTGCGTGCTAGAGTGTGTGGTGTGTGGTGCGTGCTAATGTGTGTACCTCACTCATTTTGCTTAAGGTTATTATTTGATCTTTTTAAAAAATTACGTTTCCACTTACGTAAACATCACCTGCCATAATTAGTTGATTGCTTTTAATTTGCTTTAATTATCCTGATATCTTTTCTACATTTTAAAATTCCAGCTCGTGGTTCTAATATAATTTTGTAAGAATGTTTTTGAATGGATGGTAATTGTAAGCCTAGTTTCTTTCAGCAATCTCTAACTTTCCCATACACCGCAAAACGAATTAGAATTTATAGAGAAAATAAAATATATACATCAATACATCTACCCCCCCCCCCCTTCCCCCCACCTCCACACACACGGAAATTTAAACCCGTCCACCCACCCCTTTTAGAAAATTATGTAACGCAATTGTTTTCTAACGCGATAATGACATTTGATTCACACGATTGGATTTCTTTGTGTTTCATCAGATGGTATTATTAAATTGGCAGGTGATCAAATCTCCATGATAAAATATTGCATCGGATGACACTACACACGCCTGAGTTGTTGGAGTCATATGTAGAGAACTGAGAGGTAAAAAACTAAACGTATAGATTCCTCGTTATACCTAGAGATTCATTCGGCAGATGAAGTAGAGTTCATATTTTTTTAATCTCAGCATATGAAATAATAGTGTGGTCAGCACTATGCCCAGCTTCTTTTATTTTCCCTAATCAGAGTTAGTTCCCATCAGAGCTGGGTGGACTCATGGACGTCCTACTGACTTGAACCCGGATTCGAACTCGAGTTGACCTGTTACTACACGATTGATTTACCAAGTTTACTTATTTCATTCACAAGTTAATGGTTGCCACAACTAAGTTGAGAATCTCACGTTGTTTTGTTTCTACTGTTTGTTTTATTATTTCCTTTGTTTGATTTATTGTTTATTGTTTTAAAATTAAATAAGTTTGAACTGATTAAAGTAACGTGGCTAGGATTACCTTGCTGCGTGTAGTTTCTGATAATCCCAAGCACACGTTTTACTGTATTATCCCACTAATCTAATCTCCAACAGAGAGCAATGACCCCGGGGAACTTAAAAATACAGGGGAAGATGAGCGGTATTTAAAGTATTGCTAGGATTTTAATTATCGTCTTTAAAAAATTAAGTTTTAATTATGACGAGAACATATTTCGATGATTGTATTTTTGCATGTGAAAGAAAGCCAAGCCCGTGTGTTGTCATGGCAACTAAACGTAAGCACCCGGGATCGGTTAAGACATAAGACCAACGTTTCGGCCTACTTTGCCTTGCTGTGAAGGATTTTTTTAGTAGTTAATTTTTTTTTACGTCTTTCATCTTCACTCGGCCGTGGCGGAGTAGCGTCTTTGAGAGTTGGGGATGGGATTCATCACTGATATCGTCATCATCACCATCGGCACAATTTACAGGGGTTCTAACATCAGACATACTAGCAACACATTTCTACAGGGGTTCTAACATTATACGCATCAGAAACATATTTTTACAGGGGCTCTAACATTATACATACCAGCAACACATTTTTACAGGGGTTCTAACATCAGATATACCAGCAACACATTTCTACAGGGGTTCTAATATTATACACATCAGAAACATATTTTTACAGGGGCTCTAACATTATACATACCAGCAACACATTTTTACAGGGGTTCTAACATCAGATATACCAGCAACACATTTCTACAGGGGTTCTAATATTATACACATCAGAAACATATTTTTACAGCGGTCATAACATTATAAACATCATCTACACAACCAAAACTATTTTGTGGTTATAAAAAGAAAACAAAGGTACCTAACGATTAATAGAGAAGGCGAAGTAGAGTTCGCCTGTTTCAGTCAACACCTCAAGGAGGTACTTATCCAACAGACTAGATTCCTGGATCTGATCACCAAACTTTCTGGTTAACTGACTTAAAGCCCTGCGATCTATCACCCATTAACGACCTCTACAGTTTTGATATAACATGGTCATATAAAACCCATTTTAATTAGAGGTTCTTACATAATCAACGGAACCCCACTCTTTAGGGGTGGCTCATAAAGAAAATCATGCTTTTTAACAGGATCTGCCGGTAACATATATAATATATATCTCCAAGAGAGGAGGGGGAAGTAATTGTTATAGGGTGATATTGACATATGTGTAGTTAATTTAGGGGGCTGTCATGATGGGGGTAATGACCATGGGCTAATGGTCAGAGAGATAAAGTTCTAGACTTAAACAGATTTTAATATGGTTTTTCTTTTTCAAGTTAAACCCCCAGATATGGTTTGACGACAAAATATCCAAAATGTGACGTATGTAAGAAGCCAGGGGTAGGCGAGACGTGGACTCGAACCACCACCATGCCGGAGTGGAGCTCGGCGTGCACGTTTTGGTGCCGGAAGTTGTGCGCAGACGTTCATGTCAAGTTCCAGAAGAAGAAGATCTTGACGTTCTCTGTGATACTGGGGACTCTCCTGTTTGTTTCGGTCGGGACTTTGTGGTTTAACAACTCCAGTGGTGAGTAACTTACTTTGCTTTAACGGTTTTTACTGGCCTTAAGGAGTCCAACTCTTTTGCTAGGGTTTAGATAACATTAGCTGCACTTTAGATAGTCGTAGCTCCCCTCTTGTCATATCTGCACTCTAAAATGTCGGTGCTCTATTCTCGTCAAAGCACCATCTTTATCCTTGCCCCAGATCTGAACAATAATTTTGTCTTCGCAGAAAACACCTCATCCATATCACTGCCATTTGTGATGTCATCCCCCACCCCCAGCGACCCCACACCTACAGCGATGGAGAACCCACCCCAACACCAAGTCCTGCTGATGACCTACGGCCGGAGCGGCTCGTCCTTCACCTCTGCCCTCATTAGCCACCACCCCGATGTTTTCTTCACCTTTGAACCTTTGTTTGAATTCGTTAGGCAGTTCAAAGGTCAGGACAAGTACTTCATGTACGTATGGTTTACAGCAGGTGTAAGGGCAGGGGTAATGTGTAATTGGTGTAAGGATTGTGATAACGTGTAATTGGTGTAAGGATTGTGGTAATGTGTAATTGGTGTAAGGATTGTGGTAATGTGTAATTGGTCTAACGATCGTGGTAATGTGTAATTGGTGTAATGATTGTGGTAACGTGTATCTGGTGTAACTATTGTAGTAATGTGTAACTGGTGTAACGATTGTAGTAATGTGTAACTGGTGTAACGATTGTAGTAATGTGTAACTGGTGTAACGATTGTAGTAATATGTAACTGGTGTAACGATTGTAGTAATGTGTAACTGGTGTAACGATTGTAGTAATGTGTTACTGGTGTAACGATTGTAGTAATGTGTAACTGGTGTAACGATTGTAGTAATGTGTAACTGGTGTAACGATTGTAGTAATGTGTAACTGGTGTAACGATTGTAGTAATGTGTAACTGGTGTAACGATTGTAGTAATGTGTAACTGGTGTAACGATTTTAGTAATGTGTAACTGGTGTAACGATTGTAGTAATGTGTAATCGGTATAAGGATTGTGGTAATGCGCAAGTGGTGTAAGTATTGTGGTAATGTGTAATTGGTGTAAGGATTGAGGTAATGTGTAATTTGTGTAACGATTGTGGTAATTTGTAATTGGTGTAACTGAAGTAAGAGTTGTGGTAATGTGCGACTGATGCAAGGATTGTGGTTGTTTGGAACTGTTGTAAATATTGTGCTAATATGAACGGATGCAAGGATTGTGGTTATGGATAATGGTGTCGGGTTGTGTTATTATGTAACTCATGGAAGATTATCTTATTTGTTTCCTTTCAGAAACGACAGAGAGCTAGAATCAAGGGCCATAATCAATGCATTCCTAAACTGTAAATTCCAGCTAGAAGATATTTCTGCCTTCAACAACATCCTACACCAGAATACTGGAGCCATCAAAGAACTCTTCCTCTGTTTACGTGACCAAGTTAGTTGACCATTATTCAGTAGGTCAAAACAGAAAAGGCAACTGACCAACATTTGACCAACATCAGACAGACAACTGACCAACATTTGACCAACATCAGACAGGCAACTGGCCAACATTTGACCAACATCAGACAGGCAACTGACCAACATTTGACCAACATCAGACAGGCAACTGGCCAACATTTGACCAACATCAGACAGGCAACTGACCAACATTTGACCAACATCAGACAGGCAACTGGCCAACATTTGACCAACATCAGACAGGCAACTGACCAACATTTGACCAACATCAGACAGGCAACTGGCCAACATTTGACCAACATCAGACAGGCAACTGGCCAACATTTGACCAACATCAGACAGTCAACTGGCCAACATTTGACCAACATCAGACAGGCAACTGACCAACATTTGACCAACATCAGACAGGCAACTGACCAACATTTGACCTACATCAGACAGACAACAGACCAACATTTGACCAACACAAGACAGGCAACTGACCAACATTTGACCAACACAAGACAGGCAACTGACCAACATTTGACCTACATCAGACAGGCAACTGACCAACATTTGACCAACACAAGACAGGCAACTGACCAACATTTGACCAACATCAGACACAAGAGCATTTTGCTGGCCCTCAACTGGCCAACTGAAGCCAAAAATAGCATAAGAGCTCCATTACGATCAACAGCAAGCCAATATCTTGCCAACGTGAGGCTAAAATCTGGCCAACATCTATCCAATTGCTCCCCACTATAGCCAACATGATATCAACATCTATCCAATATCAACCCACTATGGCCAACATGATGTCAACATTTGGGCCACATCCAGCCAACATTAAACACGCGAAGACTGTTTAAGTGGTTTTGTGACAGTGAGGTTAATCTCAAGCTGACCGTGTGTATAAACTGCCCACGTGGTTATAACACGCTCAGTCTAGGGCTGAACAAGTTGTGGGACCCCGGTTAGATGGTTGAAAATCTTTTGGACAGCCTGGTTAACACACTTCTAGGGCTGATAAGCTTTTGGGAACACTGACTTTAAAAAAAAAGCATAAACACTATCTGTATCAGTATAAAGCTAGCCCCCCCTTTCCCCCCCCCCCCTCCGCTCCTATTAGTTTTCTGAGGGCAAGACTGTAACTATGTAATATTTTGTTACTACGACTGTCCTAAACCAAAACCTCATCTCAAACGACTGCCCTACAGATAAAACATTAGATAAATTATCGTTTTGTCCTAACAACTAAAACAACTCCTGACAAGACATGCCTTGTTTTTTTGTTTGTTTTTATCAGAAAGATGGCGCTCTCCACCTTGCCTGTTTCCTCAACTTTTTAAAAAGCTGCCAGAACCACAAGACAACTTTTGTAAAAACCATCCGATTTCGCGCCAAGTGGGCCGAGTGGTTTCTGGAGAACAGTCCAAATTTTAAACTCTTGTTTTTGGTCCGGTAAGAAAAACAAGAGATTAGACTTTTTTAAAGATTGTAGGCCTACTTATGTCAAAACGGTTGAGTGTAGTTTACGTGTATGCATTGTTTGTATTTTCCCACTTGCAACATCGAATTTATTCATTAACGTCTAATTTTATAGTAAATTAGTATTTACAATTAGGTTAAGGTTAAAGTCAACAACACCAAACGGGTTTAGTTATCACTCTTGTTAAAAGAGCATATACATATTGGTTCAAAATATTGGTTCATTTGTTATTTATTATTATTATTATTTGTTAGATGTCGAACTACTACTTTGATTAAAATGTCCCATAACTTTAATGTCTTTAGTAGCTGAATGTATTTATGTTCCATCTGTGCATTTATGTGTGTTCATTTTTTAAATTTATGTTCCATCTATTTATTTATTTATGTTCCATCTATTTATGTTCCATCTATTTATGTACCATCTATTTATGTATTTCTATTCCAGAGACCCGCGGGCGACCCTGTACTCCCAGTCTCAAGTGTTCCGGGACTTTGACTGGAAAACCGAAGTCCACAACGTCTCTACTGGACACTGCAAGGTCCTGGAGGAAGACCTGAGCCAAGCTGAACGTCTGTCAGCGCTGTACCCAGGTCGGGTCAAGGCCATTCGGTACGAGGAAGGCGCCATGGACCCTTACAACTACACCCGGAGAATCTACGACTTCCTGGGCCTCGATCTGAACGAGGCGGTCTTGGATTACATCCGCAACATCACAAACTCCACAGCGGATGTTAAACAGACACAAAAGGCTTACAGCATTGTGAAGAATAACTCGACCCTGGCCATGAACCGTTGGCGCTACGGGGCGGGGTTTGCCAGCGTCAACGTCACGGATAGAAACTGTGGGCACTTGTATTCGAAACTTGGGTACAAGTTTGTTCGTTCTCAGAGAGATCTGGAGTCGGATAGGTCACTGGTGGATAGACCCGAACCTGGAGGCTTGTTTGACTAGGTGTTCGTACGCTGAAGCAAGATAACATGATCCTGGGGGGAGGGGGGGGGGTTCGGCTAGGTGTTCGTACATATATTTGCATACACAAAGACGTCGTGGGGGAGGTGTGAGGTGACACCAATTGGAGTGGGTGTAGCCAGGGCAAAATTTACCACAGAAAAATGTTTTTGCCAGGTCAATGAGTATAATTGATTAAAGTTAAATAGCCTTTCAAGTACACATTAATGATCCCAACAAAGGAGGGGGTTGGGGGGGGGGGGGGGGTGACACCATAATGTAAACGTGCTAACTATAGAGAAAACAATGCTCCCTCCAGCTGTATAACTGACTATAAATATACATCATTACTGTTAAGTGTAAACATACTACAGCTATATATATATATAACCATCAGCAAACTAACAGTAGACCAAGAACATCAACACACTAACAGTAGACCAAGAACATCAACACACTAACAGTACACCAAGAACATCAACACACTAACAGTACACCAAGAACTTCAACACACTAACAGCAGACCAAGAACATCAACACACTAACAGTACACCAAGAACATCAACAAACTAACAGTACACCAAGAACATCAAAACATTAACAACAGACCAAGAACATCAACAAACTAACAGTACACCAAGAACATCAACAAACTTACAGTACACCAAGAACATCAACAAACTAACAGTAGACCAAGAACATCAACACACTAACAGTAGACCAAGAACATCAGCAAACTTACAGTACACCAAGAACATCAACACACTAACAGTACACAAAGAACATCAACAGAGAACCAAGTACATTCTTATGCACATTCCAAACTTCCTCTCTCCTAACTGTACTTGTGCAAGGCAATTCATGAGTTCTCCCCCTTATTAATTCAACTGGTGGTTTCAATGTCTAGTTCTCAGTTGATGCTGTGTAGCTGTGGGTATTGTTTTCCTTTCTGTGTAGTCTACAACACCAACATAGTGCACATAAAATGATAGGTTTTTTTAAATATTCTATTAAGCTTTATTTCAAAATAAAAGAGCAAAAAATTCCAAAATACATTTTAAAATATGTCAAATATATCACAGTCTGCTCAAATTAATTTTTAAAAAAGGGTAAAATATTTCCCCCAAGCTATAAATCTTTTAAAACAAACTAATATACCATCTAAAAGAAATATAGACATCACAAATGGATTTGATCTATACACATTAGTAGTATGGATATACCATTACAAAATATACATATTATTTAATACATGGATCTGCTTCTCAAATTTTATCAAATGGCCAATTGTAATAAAACGATTATTTAGATATTTTACTGTTGTATTTTTTTAAACTGTAGTGTCAACCTAGTTAAAGATCATTCATAGGAAATATCACAAAAACATTTTTTATATGCATCCATAACTCACCTTATGTTATTTAACAGAAAACTTGCATTATAACTTTTCCATGAATCACCCCCACCCTCTATACAAACCACAATATATCAAATTGTTAAAAAAAAATCTTGGATTCTTATAATATATTAAAAGAGTCAAATAATTTTAGAGAGAAACACAAATTGTATCAAAATTTTTAAAAATGTGTAAAGATTTGAGGTGTGTAATGAAAATAAATAGCAAAAATAAACTTTCAAGAAAACAAAGAAAGTGTTTATACAACAGTTCTATAATCTCCCACTTCAACCCTGTATAGCAAACTATCATATAACTGTAACCACTGCCATGTTATACAATATGTGCATGAAATTTCATAACATAGACAACATAAACTTCATACAAAAAATTATTTAAAAGCACTTATTTTGACTCTCAATGTTGAACTTGGCTCAGCTAGCTAACTGAATCAACAGTTCACATGTTTTTTTCTTTAGTACTTGGACATGTCAAAATTAATGTAACAAAAAGGATATAGACAAAATATTTAGGTATTTATTTCTATTTACCTTATTAAATGAAACAATACACATAAAGACTGAATATATAATTCTAATGCTTCTGTCTTTATAAATTTTTACAAATTTTTCACAAATATTAAAGTATAGTAACATAACATTAAGTTTAGGTTATTATTTTACTACACCTAACATAAAATGAAGCATTATAAATCATAATTAAACTTTTATAATGTTTAAGCTTGATTTTTTGAAATTCCAAAACCATATTTCAAATTTCTTTTCAAAATTAACAAAACAATCAGGAGTTGCATGAGATTCTTGATCATGTTTAGATAAAACACTTTTTCAGTGAGTTTTCAAAGAATATAATGTGTGCATTGTGAGTTTATATGATTTTAATGAAATCACTCCATTAGAAGGCTGCAGTTCAATAAATATTTGAGCCACTCATCTGTTGTTAGAAGACAAAAAAGTTCAACAAAAATTCACTTTGAGAAGTAAAAAATAATTTGAGTCAAGGAATTGTAATCAAATATTAGCCTGTAGCGCTACATTTCCTTCAAATAATAAAAATTAAAATTACAAAAATCTACATTTAGCTCTGGCTTTTTCTAACAAAAATATATTTTGCGAGAGATATCAATATTTAACTTGTTTAATTAGTTTAAAAAACAATTTAGCCAGTCATTATTTTAAAATGCTTGATGACATGGCCAATATTTTTTAAAAGTTGACCTCATTACCATAAAATAAACTACACATGAAGCAGCTTAGCACCAGATGATAAAACAGTTCAAACGTCCAAGAACATCAGACATTATAGAATGTGGCAATAAAATACAATAAGGCATCACAGGAGGATCAGAAACACAATCACCAGGAAAAGTTTACAATATCAAAGTCAAATTTTTAACAGAATGTTTTGGCCAGTCGAAAAAAAATACCAACATGTTTTACGCATAAAAAAATATTGATAATTCTTGAGATTCTTTTCAAACATGAAATATTAGTTTTTACACTGTACAACTGTCATGCTAATTTTTAGCAAATTTATATCAACATATAAATAAATTTAAATTTTAGAAGTGTATGGTTGCAGAAAGAAAACAACAAATAACAAAGCTATGGCAATATAGACTACACTAAGATAAAAAATTATTTAACTTATATTTACGGGCAGCTAACACTTAGAATGATTTTTTTTTAATTATGTAAAATAAAAATATACAAAAAATATATACAACTCTAGCAGTATTTATACAATAGGAAATGTTTTTTTGTACTTGCATTGGTATTTACTAAAGAAAATAATTTTTTTTCTAAAAAAAAACTGATCTACCTAAAACTATGCTAAATTATCTTCAAGAAAAACTATGTTTGATTTTGCGAACTATTTGATTATATATAAACAAAACATTAGCTGCATGGTGTGTTGGTGCTGTGTTACATAAACAAGTTCAACTGTCTTACATCAACACACAGGAAATCAACACCAACAAAACAATGTGTGCTACTGACACTGAAAGCCGCAAGCCCAAGTCTGTATTCCCCTTAAACTCCATCCCCTGTAAACTGGACTGCGTGGATGTTCCAGGTTTCTGCTGCAGCTCCTGGGGTTGTTGAGTGACTGGAGGTGGGACTGTTGTGGTGACCTCACCCCCATCTAGAACCACAGGGGCGCGGCCAGGCGTGGTCTCTGTCAAAACAAATTTTAATGAAAATTTCACCTAAGAGATCCTACACAATATTAGGTTGACCAAAACAAACATGGAACAGGTCAGCTGTCAGTGAAGCAGAAGAAGCTGGAATGTCATGGACCCAACTTGGAGGAATCGCCCAAATACCGAGTATGATGGACAGTGTTTCTTCCAGACTTTTTTCTCCGGGGGGGGGGGGCACTTGAAATCTTCGGGGGGACGGTAAACTTTCTTTGGGGGGGGCGGACACTGTTAAAAGTATATATTTTCTATATAAATTATATAAATTTCATTTCGTTCGGGGGGGGGGGCGGTAAAAAATTTTCGGGGGGGCTTGGCCCCCCCGAAGAGATGCCTGGAAGAAACTCTGATGATGGAGAGGTGTGGTTGAGTCCCTATGCTCCACAAGGAGTCCACATGAATGATGATGAATATTAAGTTCTTTAAAGTTTAAAATTACTTTAAAAACTTGAACATATAGGCCAATATAGATATTTTGAGAAGGCTAAATACAATTTTTTTAAATGCTAAAAACTTAACGCAAGTCTTTCCTGCATTCTATTTTATTTAAGGGCATGGGTGCGTGATGAAAATCAAAATAATAAAAATGCTTATTTCTAAAGCTAATGCTATAATATTTAGCATATAGTTATGACTCATAGAGTTAAGTCTAAAAATAAAAATTTAAAAAAAAAAATGACCGAAAATTTCATGCCATTGCTATGGTGATGGCGGCCATCTTTGATTTTATTTACCTCTTTAAAACTAATTCTCATATTTTTTATTAAACCCACCTGGCAGGAGCTCCTGTATGCTGTACAAGATGATGGGCTGGGACTTGACCGTGGTGTATATCTTGGCGTCACTCCTTTTTCTCCTGCCTGTGGAGGTGGCGTTGACCGGCTTAGTGTTGTTGCAGGTCCTGTCGCACTCCTTGGTGTTGTCACTGGCCAGACAGATGATGGCGTCACACTGCAGGTACAGAATGTCGTAGCCCACAAATTTGAATGGCTTGAAACGGAACCCAAACTTGAAGTTGGTCAGTGGGTAGAACGAGAGGGTGCTCTCCTGGCTGCACCTGTGTGGGGAGATGAGATAAAACATGAAAATATTATTTAACAACAGGGAAAATTGTGGTCTTGAGTTCAAATCCCAGGTTTGTGTTCATAGAACGTCTCTGAGTCCACCCAGCTGTAATAGATACCCAATTTATGTTAGGGAAAGTAAAGGCAGTTGGTCTCAGTGTTGACCACACTATCCCATCATATACCAAAGTACTTTTTAAAATTTATCAACCATTAACTATTTTCAATATAAACTGATGGATTTTATTTTACACATAAATATGTCTAATTTAGACAAAACATTTCAAACTCAGAAAACAAAAATTTGTAATCCCTTACAACAAAAAATAAATTTCAGTTCCAATATGTAAAACGCATTTCCCAAGTACTTCCAAATTACATAAAAACAATTATTTCCAGTTCCCATAAACAACTTACTTGTCTTGAAACAGGACCTTCTTAACTGTGCCATTCACATTTCCTGTGGGTGTAGATACGCAGGTGGTTACCACAAGCTTTAACCGGCTATCATACTCCTCCATTGAAATAGCCATATTTAGCCACTCCCCCAATGGGAGAGTCACAGGAGTTTCTGTGACTGGTGTTGCAAATGAGTCACTGCGATAAATCTGCATCGAGGTCTGGGAGAATAAAATTTTAAAATTTCATAAATCATTGAATTATGTGATATTTTTTAAAGCTTTTTAAAATATAAACTTTTTTTAAAAGCACCAACTAAATTCTAAACATACTGTGAAGACAACTTAATTTCTAAACTTACTGTGAAGGCACCAACTAAATTCTAAACTTACTGTAAAGGCACCAACTAAATTCTAAACTTACTGTGAAGACAAACTAAATTCTAAACTTACTGTGAAGGCACCAACTAAATTCTAAACTTACTGTGAAGGCACCAACTAAATTCTAAACTTACTGTGAAGGCACCAACTAAATTCTAAACTTACTGTGAAGGCACCAACTAAATTCTAAACTTACTGTGAAGGCACCTGTAGCTTTCTGTGTAACAGTTTCAGTGACTGGCTGAACACGATCTGTAACCTTCTCATCAATTGGTAGAGAGCACAGAATTTCTATTCTGTTAGAAAAATGTACAGTAACATTTCATGCATCTTTCCTATTCACTGTTTTTGTTGAAATTTAAGATGATTTTATTAATATTTATCAACAGGTTAAAATGATGTTGTAATAAATACACAATGGAAAACAAAATACAGATCAATTTATTTAGTTTAAAAAAAAAATTACAATCTTTAAGAAAAACCTACTAACAGAAATAAGGCATATAACTTGAATACCACTGAAATATGTTAAGTCATTCATGCACAGCATGCACCATTCACCTGTAAGCTACTCAATTTATCAAGACTCACCTGTACAAATTGACCTTTATACTGTAGGCTACTGTATATGTCAACACTTACCTGAATTAATTGACCCTTATACTGTAGGCTACTGTATACGTCAACACTCACCTGTATGAATTGACCCTGGTTATGTACTCCTCTTGTGACGTATAGTCGTACTTGATCACATTGGCGTAGTTGATATGTGTGCCATTTCTCTACAACATAAAAATTCAACCAGTTATAAACATGAAGACATACAGAGAAATGAATATTTTGTGTTACATGGCCTTCAAGCAAATTTGTACAAGGGTAGGAAAATTGCTTATAGTGCTGAATGTACAACAGTGATTCTTAACCTGGGAACAGGCAAAACCCAGGGGTTGGGTGAGTCAGTCTCAGGGATTCAGCGGAGGTCAGACATACACTCAACTCATATGATTTGTGATTGGATTTTTTCAATGAAGATGACGGGACTATTAAGAAGTGTTTGATGAATGTGAAAATGAAACTGGTGATGTTTGGTACCACGAAAAAGGTTAAGAACAACTGGTCTACAAACTTACAAAAAAAGACTTACAAAAAAGTAATAATTTTTAAAAGGAAGTTGGGGTTTATATTATTTTACAAATTTTATTTTACTACGGTTGAATAGTTGGATATTGCTCAAACACTGCAACACTCAATTTACTGTACATCAAATTTATTAAGATGAAAATACTCTAGCCACAATTGGTATTTATCATGGCAATTGGATGTCACAGAAAGTGAGACATCACAATTTGGTATTTTAAAACTTGAATTTTGAAGCTGAATTTAAGCTGTTATTTTCAAATTTTAGGGGGAAGGGGTGGGGGTAAGATTTAACATTATGTGATAATGTGTGACAATGTTGGAGGTCGAAATCATCCAAAATGCATGATGCCAATTATGGATGATACCCATGCTGTAAACATCTTCCCCGCCTCCAAAAACAAAAGATAGTCTCAGCTGATCAAGTAAGGCATTAATGAAGCAGGAATTAATTATTAATTTATCTCACAACACAATACAACTAACAGATATGGTAGTCCCACATTTCTCCACTGGCACTGTTATAGACACGTAGTTGGTTGTTGTGCTTTTAGTGGCGTCAGTACAGTTTGGCTGACTCAAGATGCTCAAATGTTTCTCCTCCAGGTTGGGGTCCTGGATTCTGGAGAACTGGGCAGCCAGCAGGCCTTGACCACAGGTCAAAATTGGCACAGGGGCTGTAATTTGATACATTATAACATAAGATAGGGGGAATAATTTGAGGTTGTAACATATGATAGGGCCAATAATTTAAGGTTGTTACATAAGATAGGGGCAATAATACAATGGTTGTTACATGAATGTTAATGACATACAGTCAACTGTGCATGAAGTGATTCTTTTTAATGACATCAGGACTAAATGTAATTGTGTGATTTGATTCAGTTTAAGTATCACTACACACTGTCAAACATGTACATGGATGTGGCAGTTGTCATGGCACTGTCAAAAACATGGATGTGACAGATATCATGACACTGGAAAACATAGATGTGGGGGTGACAGGTGTCATGAGATTATCAAACACTTATGTGGAGGGGCCAGATATCACAACACTGTCAAACATGGAGAGATGACAGGTGTCATGAGACTGTCACACACTTACGTCTAGGTGACAGGTGTCACACACTTACGTGGAGGGGGCTGATACGGTGCGGCCACACACTGCACCCCAGCCAGTTCATCCTCATCATTCCTACAGTCACTAGAGAACCAGGCACTGTGTGAGCAGTTCTGTAGTGTAGCCTCAGTACCAGAACAGACCACATTGTCCAGGATTATCACTGGGTTGGCTGGCCTTAGCTTGTTCTCTGCAGGGATACCAGGCTTGGCTGTGTAGTTCTTTCTACATTTAAATAAAATACAAATATAACTTAACTAACATTTATAAAAATTAAAATATCAACCTTTAAATATTTCCCGAAAGACCCAAAATGTCAAAATAGTAGGTAAAGTATTTAATGTTATTAGCTCCACACTAAAGGATTTTGTGACTTGCAGAAATCTCCACCACAACTAGTTCTACCAACTATTGTTTAATCAGCACCCGTAACTCTCAGTGTCATTATAATTCCTAACTTGACAGGTATTTGAGACTGACAGCCTTATCTAGTAAATAAATAATCTAATCTTTTGTAGTCACAAACTGCTATCAGCATTGATCTTTTTGTGTGAAAGGTTAAAACAAAAATAGGTAAACAAATAAGGTAATTATTAAAATTCTGAAGTTTCAAAAATAGAGGAAAATTTTGTAAAATCAGTTAATCCAAAAAAGAACAGTGGTTTTGTAATGATGCAAAAAAAAAAAACAGGTAATAACTCTATTATCAAACATTTTTTATGATTATGTCTGTAGTCCAGTTAGTACTGAAGTATTAACCAATAATATTTATCTTTCACTGTAAAAAAGGTCACACAGTAGTGCTGAGAATCTTAACGAGGGCAACACAACTTGCACAGAAACATACAGATAGCACAAGTGTGCTGAGAGAAGTAAAGGGTAACAAAATTGTGCAACAGAAACTTATGGCTAGCACAATAGTGCAGAGAAAATTATGGATAGCGGAGTAACTTGGGAAAACTTACGGGTAGCACAACTGCGCACAAACAACTGCGGCTGCACTAGCACTCCAGGAGTCATCGCACACGTAACCCCAGGTGTTGTTGGGACTTAAGACTTGCACGTAGCCCATACCATCAATACCCTGCTTGCCGTAGAGTTTCACTGTTGGGTTGGTGCTCTGACCTGAAGTAAATTTTATAATTTAACTCTCGTAAACTTTACACTAGGATTTACTCAACACTAACTTTAGTAGAGGGACAGGTATTTAAAAATAAAAACTATTCCACCTGGTGTTAATGTAGAATGAATACCACTATGGTAGAGTTATTTAGAAATTAGCTGCTAAAATATGTAAGAGATTTCATGAGTAAACCAATGTTTTTATTAACGAAAGCATGGTTTTTATTTTATTTTTATTTGTAACTCATTATAAGTTTATTACATAAGCTTATTATTATGATACAAATTTTACATATTTTATTTTTTTATTTAAAAAATTAATTAAATTAAAATGAATGAACGAACAAACTATTTATCAATGTCTTTAATATTTGTTTGATGATCTACTCACAGTTGCCACTGATAATACTTGATGCTGCCGTTGTTGTAGTGGATGGTGCAGGGGTGACCTGACCAGTGCCCAGATTCTCATTACACTCCACCCCCACCTCCACGTCAGCTGGGTAACTACAGTCACTGGTCTGGCTGGCGGTGCACTCGGTTAAATTCTTCTCGTCTCCAGTACAGCCACTATCATCCATTAGGTAGATATGGGATCCAGTTCCATATGTGGTGTTGAGAACAGGGTTTCCTCCATTGCTAAATGGATATTTGTACATATATATATCTATATATCTATATATATATATATATATATATATATATATATATATATATATATATATATATATATATATATATATATATATATATATATATATATATATATATATATATATATATATATATAGATAGATAGATATAGATATATATAGATATATATAGATATATATAGATATACATATATATGGGAGCCATATTAACCCCACACACCCTGACCAATTATCCCCAGGAGCAGCCACCCACCTGGGTAATATATATAAAAGAGTTGTCAATGTGACATTACACTTTTTTTTTTCTATTAAAGTTTCTATTAAAGATGTATCTAAGTAATTAAGTCTACTGGTAGTTTTTAAAATAATTTAATATTTAGTGTGTTAACAAAATTTCTATGATCTAGTATTACACCTAAAATATAATTGCATGAGATATTATTACACCTAGAATATACTTACGTGTAGCCTAACATCCTACAGGCAACAATGGCATCGTTTCTATCAAAGCCGTCATCACAGATGGAACCCCAGGTGTTGATGTTGTTTACCTGAATCTCTATGCGACCAACTCTCACGGACACAGAGTTGCCGTTCATCAAACGAATGTTTGTTACAACCACACCTGGTGAATTATAGTCAGGACAACTTTAGTCTAAATATATTTTTTGTATTAGTCGTACCCAAATATTAGTATTAACTTGTAGTAAAGTAACGTTCCCTTTTTTAACCTCACGGTCAATGTGGCTAGTGAAGTAAGGTTCGCCTGTTTCTATGACCTTGGCATATGAACAGATAGTGTGGTTAGCATTATGCCCAGCCGCCTTTACTTTCCATAACAAACATTTGGTACCCATCGGAGTTGGGTGGACTCAGGGATGTCTAGTATTTGTTTTTATGTTCAGCTTAAAACTGTTTTATAATGAAATGGCTCTTTCAATACAACAAAATTGAAAATAGCAACTGCGGAGTAGGGGAGGTTATAATGGAGTAGGGGAGGTTATCATGGAGTAGGGGAGGTTATCATGGAGTAGGGGAGGTTATCATGGAGAAGGGGAGGTTAACATGGAGTAGGGGAGGTTATCATGGAGTAGAGGAGGTTATCATGGAGTAGGGGAGGTTATCGTGGAGTAGGGGAGGTTATCATGGAGTAGAGGAGGTTATCGTGGAGTAGAGGAGGTTATCATGGAGTAGGGGAGGTTATCATAGAGTAGGGCGGGTTATCATGGAGTAGGGGAGGTTATCATGGAGTAGAGGAGGTTATCATGGAGTAGGGGAGGTTATCATGGAGTAGAGGAGGTTATCATGGAGTAGGGGAGGTTATCATGGAGTAGGGGAGGTTATCATGGAGTAGGGGAGGTTATCACGTAACATTATTTTAAAGAGTGTCTGACTTGTTTTTATGATGTGTGACAAAATGAAGGTGGAGATAAAACCCATCCAAAAAGCATGACATCATTTGTGGATGAACTGCTAATCTAATGCTGTAAAAGTTATTTAAAATAAAACTTACCATCACATGGAATAATCCCAAGAATTGCAACCATTATAAACAACAGCAAAGAGGATCTCCATAGGCGTACCATGGTGACAAATTAGGTGTAAAATAGTAAGCCAATAATCTGAATGAATAGTTCCTTCTTTACACACTATGTAGGCCTACACTATTACGTAACTGAAAATATCAATTAGGCCAATTATAGATCTAATAGTAGTTAATAAATAAGTCTTACACCAAATATACAGCCTTGCTTAGCCAAAAGTCTAGTCTAAGACTATATGTAGTATAGTCAATTTACTAATTTCGGACTATCTTTTTATACTGCCCTGCTTCACCCAAAAAAATTGTATGTATGTAAAATGTATCATTATTCATTAAGTTGTTAGGCCTATAGTTATTACACTTTTATTATTTTATATTATATCTGTAAATACAAACAATGTTACAATAATTCATAATCATTACACTTATTTTAGTAGGTTAAAATATTATTAAATTTAACCTAAACCAATACTACTCCAGAGTAAATATTTAACTGTATTTAAATATTTAACTAGAAGCAGGAAGCGTCATAACTTACAGCTAGATTAGTATTACCTATGGTCTTACTACTAGATCTAGATATCTAGTAGTAGGCACGGTACTAGCCTACTGTACAAGTGTACTGTAGTTCTGAGATATCGAATTCAGGGTGTTGTCCGATTTGCACATGCGCACGAATTACTTCTTAGTGTAGTGTGTAGGCCTACTAATCACTTATCCAAGTTGTAAATAAAGACTGAAGCCCATTATGAATTCGCAAACTAAAATACTGCATACGTACAAATAATACAATCCATAGATCTAGATCTCGATCCGGGCCTAAACTAAAAATGAACTGAAAATCGATTTTCCATATCTCGACCAAAACAAAATTTAGTAAAAGTTATAATGCCCTGGCCTACTATTGTTTTTTTAAATACAAATTCACAAAGTAAAAAAAACCAACTTACATAAAAATTAATCAGGCAGTAGCTAGTTAAAACATAACAATTCAACTATTTACAACAATGGTCAGTTTAATACGGAACAATAAAACAAGACTTGGCAGTAAAGCCATGGCGGTATTTAGGCCATTGACTCACACATTTAGAATCCAACTTTTTAAACTGCTCCCTGTTTACTGTGTTACTATAGCAACAATAGCAAAGGCGCTTTCAACACTCTTTTTCTTTTAAATTCAATAAATTGAAGCACATGTTAATGTTTTATTATTTTTAATTTGTGGCCTTGAAAATTAAATACATCTTTCTAATTTTGTAATCGTGTTCGACAAATACGTATCCTAAGCGGGGCCTGCTACTAGACTAATTTAAAGAACTATCTCATAGGCCCATAGGCCCCTACGCCTCACAAATGCTACTAAAATATTTAAAATACTAAATTATTAGGACAGGACGGCAAGAGTAGTACAAGATTCTAGATTTTCTAGATCTACCACTAGTGAACTAAGTAGGCCTAACAAAATTAATTGTATAATCATGCCTATGAACTGAGATCTATGTATAATAAAGCAACATAATACTTGGATCCAACCCTCCCTAACACAAGCTATTTGTAAAAATTCATAATGAGTAAACAAAACGTGTAACGACATGTATTTTGTATGTAGCGAGCAGAGCCTACCATGATATTTTAGTAGCTAACTAGGCGTGTGCTACCAAGTGGGTGTGTCGCACGGAGACAACATTACACGCCACTGATCGATCGAATCTTTGCTTCTGGTGCAGAGCTGTAGGAATAATAATTGGTGGGGAATATACCGTGTAGGCTTACTATAGAACTATAGATCTGTTTAGTTTATGTTGTACTGGGATCAAGCCAAATCTTGTTTTCGCTCTGATCGTGTTTTATTTCTTGGATTTAAACCTCTACCAGTCGGGTTTGTTAACTTTGATTTATTATGAGTCGCAGGTTGATCTATCTGTTACCTGTTCTGTGGAAGTTAGTAGTAAGCCTTGTAATAAAAGCCATATATAGGATCGATTGATAAAAAGCTATAAATAAAATACGATTAGACCGCTATTTTGATAACTCGTAGGTTATTTTTTTAATTATTCTTTAGCATTATATCATAATATCTACTAATGTTTATTTCAGCAGATACTATTTAAAGCGCTTGTGGATATAGATAGACACTTTCTCCAAACAAAGGTTGGTTGTAGATCTATATAGGACTAGATATTAGCTTATATCTTCTTTAAGGGGTCCTCCATAAATGAGGCGACTCTCCTTTTTGTGACGATGTGTCGTGGTGGGGGGGGGGGGATTATTCAGATAATGTTAAGTCACACTTTTGCGTTAAAAAAAAGTACTGTTAGAAACTGACTTTTATCTCTTATTTAGCGTTTTAGAAAACTGTTGATGTATGTATTCAATGTTGACCGAGTTCAAGCTATATTTTAGAAGGCAATCGGTTAAAAAAAATAGGGGTGTAGGCTAAGATGTGACGTCATTTTAGGGGGAGGGGCTGGCCTTTGTGACCATGAATGACAGAAGGGGGGGGGGGTGAGTAAAAATCGTCAAAAGTGCGTGACGTCATTTATGGATGATGTGTCATGTGTGAGGTAGACCTAATGATGCGCATCAAAAGGGAAGACCCTCTGGACGAAACAGAAAAATGTAAAATTTATTTAGAAAATGTATAGGCTACCTTAATCAGTTTCTGTCTCCCCCCCCCCCCACACCCCACACACACACTATTGGAGAAATGTCTGAAAGAAACCCTGGTTATTATTCTGTTGACGAGACGGTAGCCTAATTCGCTGCTGCTTCTTATTAATAGGCCTATATTTGATAGACTGTGATAAAGGGTAATATTAAACCTAAATGAACAGACTACATGAATTAAACAAATAATAGGCTAAACTTTTTCGTTTTTTTTTTAACCAAATAAAGAAGTGTGTGTGGGGGGGGGGGGGGTCTGCTGACTGCAATGAATAAGACAACACAAGAGAGCTACACCCAAAACGAGATATTGTTATTTTATAGAGTGAGTGGTTTTTTTTTTTTTTTGCATTTAGATGATTACCTTACTAGAGCTATGTAGCCTACATCATTAGACACAGGGCGACTCCAATGAGCGGCCAATAGTTTAAGTATGCCTATTTTTTTTTATATAGTAATTAGCGTAGGGGGTGACATTCCGGGTTAGCGCACCGGATATCACCCGACCTAGCGACGCCACTGTATGGCTTATCTAATAATCTCATTTAATCTACACTCAATCTTAGTGAGGACTATAGGCTAAAGTATAGGCTACTTATCTGCTGCAAGTAGAGAAGGTTAGATAACAAGAGTTAACCCAGGATTACGGGACTTTCAAAACCCGAACAAATATTGACTAACATTTTAGAAATCTTTAACACTTGAGAGCAGGCTAAACTTAAGTAACTAGATTTAGATAATGTTTGACCTCGATAACAACAATCGGAACTTGAACAAATAAAATCATTCATGTTTTTTTTTCTCTCACTCAGGTGAAATTACTGTATTGACGCATTTTTGGAGGGGGGGGGGGGCGCGGGGGGGGGGGGGGGGGAGAAGGGGGATGGCGCCTTGTATCAGTGATGAGAAATCCAATTACGTGAGACCACTATAATCACTCAATCCCACCAAGATAAATATATATATATATATATATATATATATATATATATATATATATATATATATATATATATATATATATATATATATATATATATATATATATATATATATATATAGGCTACAGGACATTACTCCCCGGACGTTTCCCCCGTAATTACCTCCCTGTCAATTACCCCCCCCCCCTCAAGTTAGAATCCTAACTGTAACTAGAACTCTATACATATATATTACCTTACTCCTAACCTTAAGAAAAAGACCAAAACCAAAGCATCCACGTCAGCCTAAAACCTAATACAAATCCAAACCAACGCTATATTTTGGTTTAACCCTACCCCTAACCTTAACCTTAACCCTAACCGTAATCCTAACCCTAACTTTCTAACCCTAGACCTAGCCCAGACTCCGACCCTCGCTCTAACCCTAGCTGAACCTTAAGCAATGAACGGGGGGTAATGTCCTACTGGGCGGGGGTAATGCCCTGTTCCCATTTATATATATATATATATATATATATATATATATATATATATATATATATATATATATATATATATATATATATATATATATATATATATATCAAATATCTACTTAAATTATCCCGAAAGTCTAAGGCCCATTATCCCTTTAATCATTGTTTCTTTCAGTCATCTGTCCCCTCCCCCCCCTTCCCCCGTCTCTCCCCCCCCCCCCCCCCAACAAAATAGAATTTATATAGAATTTTACTTTTACCAGTGTCCGACTCCCATAAAATAAAGTTCGCCCACCCTGCCATAGAAAAAAAGTCTAAAAGAAACAACACTGCATTAAATAGGTGGAATCATTTGCGAGTGGTCAATAAAGGCAAATATTTGTTTTCATACCTTCATCTACAGACTGCGAAAAACGCGAGCACAAGACCAGTCACTCAGTGAAACAAGGCCAGTCACTTAGAGAATCAAGGCCAACAACAACTAATATATCTCACATTTTCTCGTTACAAACTCCCAACTCCCTATCTATAAAATCACCTTGATCAATCGCTGATCTTCCTGGTAATTTGATACTAATGCATGTGTCGGTTCTAGAAAAATCGATACAAACAGGTAAACTTTGGGACCGTGATCAAAATACAGCAACATTGTGTCATTAGGGTCGATTGATTTCTGTTGGCGTTAAGGGGAGGGGGAGGTTATATTTTTCAACACACGAATACACAACTAGTCAGTGTAAACCATATATCCAAGTAAAGTAGATCTAGAAACCAAGAAAGTAGTCGATTCTAGTTCTGTCGTGCTAGATTCGATACTTACCTAATCATGCATAAGTGTATGTACTTCTGCATTTTAACTTATTTTTGACAAGGCGGAGTAAGAGAATTGGTGGGGGGGGTACGCTCTAATTAATAATAGTAGGCCTGTACTCTTTCAATCGGATTGAAACACACACACACACACACACACACACACACACAAACTAGCCAAACGATATAACAGATCATGAAATCACTCAGTAAACACCACGATCACACAAGCACTGAATAGCTAAGGCGTAAGAATGTATATTGCACTGAATAAATTATCTTTTGTACGTTTCGGTTCTAGGTGCCAGCTATTTGACAGAGCGAAATGATTGCACTCCTCTATAAATGCCATACCAACACGTTCATTTTTAAACCCTCTAACACAGTGACGCCACAAATAGATTTAAAGTAACGGATATTTGAAACGTCGGTCGCGGACCTAAAGTTAGTCATTGCATATACTATAACAAAAACAGTTTCTTCCAGGAATCTCTTGGGTGGGGTGGGGGATGGGGGGGGGGGGAGCCCCCCTCGAAAACGTCTACCGCCCCCCCCCCCCTTCCGAACGAAATATAATTCATCTAGAAAATATAGTTTTACCTGTGTCCACAACCCCTCCCCCGGAAATTTTGTTTCCCCTCTCCTCGAACATTTCAAGTGCCCCCCCCCCCCCCACCCCCGAAAAAAAAGTCTGGAAAAACACTGAACAAAAAGATTACCCTATGTGGCGATGGGAAAGCGGGGAGTGGGGGGGGGGGGGGGTAAAAGTGTAAAAAGCGTGACTGTTTAAGGATGACCTCTGACTAGGAGCCATACGTTTAAAGAAATCTCCACCCTCTTCTTCAGCACACAAAAAAAAAACACGACATCTTTTAAAATAATAAACTATAAAAATTTTACTAGTTCACATAAATGTTCAAGTTACGCCTTAACATGAAACAACCATAAGTCCAAACCTAGAAAAAAAAGTCATAAGAATAAATAAAATATAAAAGGTGTTACATAACAGATAAAACTGTATTAATAATGACCACCCTCCCCCCCCCCCCATGGCGCAGCTAGGACTAAGTCGGTGGTCATTTCAAAGTTTCCTTCAGACATATCTTCGGGGGGGGGGGGGGGGGGGGGGTGCGGAATTGTTCAGTCTTCCCCCCCCCCCCCCACACTCTCCGGAAATTCAACTCCGCCCCCCCCCCGCCCATGAAAGTTTAAAATGCCCCCTCCCCGAAAAAAAAGGTCTGAAAGAAGTACTGTGGTATAATAAAAGCACTCAATAAAACAGTTCTTTGCATAATAATACCAGATCATTAAATAAAAGGTTTTATCATCATCATTTTAAAATAACCTAGGTTTAGTTTAGTAGTGGCAGCAGTACGTTTACGTGTAAAGCAAATATCTACAGGATTGACAGTACTCGCATTAGACATTAGAAAACAAAGTAGGTACCATAAACATATCTCCAAATTTAAGAAAGGAAATGCACAGACAAACACGGTGACTAGTAAAAACCATACAGTGTTGGAACTTCGGTCCTGGGTTACATAAAACATGAGCTACACGAAACAAAACGAAAACACGACAAAATCAAAGCAATGTTTGATCTCCGACTACAACTACAGGAGGAATAGCGCCTGCAAAGGTCAAAGTTCATCCATTGCTAAATCCTTAAACAGGGCACATGTGCAGTTCTATTTTTAACTCATGAGTGAAAACATTCTAAACAGTGATTTGATCAACCTAGCAAGATCTGAAAATAGAACAGTTCGGCTAAAATCAATTGGGCTTTTTTTTTTTAAATTCCAGCTCATGACGCTAACACAGTACTACGACGCTAAGAAATGAATAATCGATTACCCAAGCCATAAGAGTACAAACTTCACGTACTCTGAACAGATCACTCGAATACAGCCAGAGATGACAAGACTGCTAGGACTGTCTCTCTATCTTCTGCTAGCAGTCCTGGTGCATACGGCAACATCACGTGAGTAGTCTTTGTTAGTAAGGGGAAGGGGGGTAGGGGATCCTTTGGAGGAGGGGAGGGGGTAAGCATTTGTGGCTTGCACGTAGTTAGACGGCAGCCTATGAGTCACATAACTTTGTTTACATTTATGTTGAGGAGCATAGTCCTTTTAATTCGCATTCCATCGTAGATCTATACCTAATTGTAATTAGATCTAGTCAATATAATAGTAAGTTGTATAGCTTATTTGATTAGGCTTGATTAAGTTGATTTGATACCACAAACAAATCCCCCCCCCCCGTCACACCCTCACCACCAACGGATGTGCTTTTACTTGGTATAGGAAACGCACCAATTAACAATACAATAGAATAAAGAGAAAGACTAAACTATTAAAAATAGGCCAAGAATTATTTAGGATTAATTCACACATAAGTGCAACATTTTTTTCATTATTCGAAACATTTGCTCATCCAGCTTTAAGTGATACCAACACGACCTTCATGGTCACAAAAAGTCAAAGCCCCATACCTAAAAATATGACCCGATTCAGGCTACCACCCCCACCTTATAATTTGTTTTCAAAAAGGATTTTTTGTTTGTTTTCGAAACATTAACTTAACTAATCTGCTTCAATGACATTTTACATGGAATTCTTTAAAATTACAAAAGCAACTGCTGCAATTAAACTGCAATTAAACTGCAGTATACACAATTTCTGTTTGAAACTTGAAAAAAAAAGAAACAGAATGACGTCACACATCGTCACGTAATTTACAGACGACCCCCAAAAATTACCAGTTATTTTAAAAAGCACGATGTTCGAGATAAAAGCTATAAACTCTATGTGTGGAGAAGTTGTGGGGGTCATCAAAATATGATGTCTAGAGTAAAGACGTTCTATCATGTAAGTCAGCAGTGAGGGAAGAAGGAGGGGCTGAAAATAACGTTAATTACTTTGTATGTCGGCCTACACACTGTTTCAACAGTGAAAAGCGTGATTTTTTCTTAGGGTTTGATGGGGCGGAGGGACTTCGTGAAGGGCCCGTGGACCGTGGAGAAACGTGGCTGAAAGAAACCCTGATCCGTCATTGTGTACCAAAGCAGCATCCAATAGATCTAAGAGGAAGGCGTGGACAAAATGGCGTGGACAGTGTTTCTTTGAGGCATATCTTCCCCTCCGAAAGTGCGCACCGCCCCCCCCCCCTCCGAAAGTTAAGTGCTCCTCATTGGGAAAACATGTCTGAAAGAAACACTGGCCATGGATGGTCGGTAGATCACATGATTGCTAAAAGTCCCGAGTTCCAATCCGGCCAGATGAGATTCTTTAGCTGGGAACAGCAACTCGTCTAGGGTCGACAATTCTAAAATCAAATAGCTGCTGTCTTGCTGAAATATTGTCATTGCTGTTTTATGTTCATCTTGAGAAGACTAAATGTGTGTGCCTATTTCCTGTGGTCCGTTTCGTTTGAGCTTCAGCAACACAATACATTTTAAAAAATGATAGACCCCACAGCACCTGACCCATGCCCCACAGCACCTGACCCATGCCCCACAACACCTGACCCATGCCCCACAGCACCTGACCCATGCCCCACAGCACCTGACCCATGCCCCACAACACCTGACCCATGCCCCACAACACCTGACCCATGCCCCACAGCACCTGACCCATGCCCCCACAGCACCTGACCCATGCCCCACAGCACCTGACCCATGCCCCACAACACCTGACCCATGCCCCACAACACCTGACCCATGCCCCACAGCACCTGACCCATGCCCCCACAGCACCTGACCCATGTAGCACCTGACCCATGCCCCACAACACCTGACCCATGTAGCACCTGACCCATGCCCCACAACACCTGACCCATGCCCCACAGCACCTGACCCATGCCCCACAGCACCTGACCCATGCCCCACAGCACCTGACCCATGCCCCACAGCACCTGACCCATGTAACACCTGACCCATGCCCCACAACACCTGACCCATGCCCCACAGCACCTGACCCATGCCCCACAACACCTGACCCATGCTCCACAGCACCTGACCCATGCCCCACAGCACCTGACCCATGCCCCACAACACCTGACCCATGCCCCACAGCACCTGACCCATGCCCCACAGCACCTGACCCATGCCCCACAACACCTGACCCATGCCCCACAGCACCTGACCCATGCCCCACAAAACCTAACCCATGCCCCACAGCACCTGACCCATGCCCCACAGCACCTGACCCATATAGCACCTGACCCATGTCCCACAACACCTGACCCATGCCCCACAACACCTGACCCATGCCCCACAGCACCTGACCCATGCCCCACAGCACCTGACCCATGCCCCACAACACCTGACCCATGCCCCACAGCACCTGACCCATTCTCCACAGCACCTGACCCATGCCCCACAGCACCTGACCCATGCCCCCACAGCACCTGACCCATGCCCCACAACACCTGACCCATGCCCCCACAGCACCTGACCCATGCCCCACAGCACCTGACCCATGCCCCACAGCACCTGACCCATGCCCCACAGCACCTGACCCATGCCCCACAGCACCTGACCCATGCCCCACAGCACCTGACCCATGCCCCACAGCACCTGACCCATGCCCCACAGCACCTGACCCATGCCCCACAGCACCTGACCCATGCCCCACAACACCTGACACATGCCCCACAGCACCTGACCCATGCCCCACAACACCTGACCCATGCCCCACAGCACCTGACCCATGCCCCCACAGCACCTGACCCATGTCCCACAGCACCTGACCCATGCCCCACAACACCTGACCCATGCGCAACAGCACCTGACCCATGCCCCACAACACCTGACCCATGCCCCACAGCACCTGACCCATGCCCCACAACACCTGACCCATGCCCCACAACACCTGACCCATGCCCCACAGCACCTGACCCATGCCCCACAGCACCTGACCCATGCCCCCACAGCACCTGACCCATGCCCCACAACACCTGACCCATGCCCCACAACACCTGACCCATGCCTCACAGCACCTGACCCATGCCCCACAGCACCTGACCCATGCGCAACAGCACCTGACCCATGCCCCACAACTCCTGACCCATGCCCCACAGCACCTGACCCATGCCCCCACAGCACCTGACCCATGCCCCACAGCACCTGACCCATGCCCCACAGCACCTGACCCATGCCCCACAGCACCTGACCCATGCCCCACAGCACCTGACCCATGCCCCACAGCACCTGACCCATGCCCCACAACACTTGACCCATGCCCCACAACACCTGACCCATGCCCCACAGCACCTGACCCATGCCCCCACAGCACCTGACCCATGCCCCCACAGCACCTGACCCATGCCCCACAGCACCTGACCCATGCCCCACAACACCTGACCCATGCCCCACAACACCTGACCCATGCCCCACAGCACCTGACCCATGTCCCACAGCTCCTGACTCATGCCCCACAACACCTGACCCATGTAACACAAGATCTTCGCTCCAAGCTCCACCCACACGCATGATTGACAGTAACGTATGTGTAGACGACCGGCTTGAGTCCATAAGTCGTAATAGAGCCTACTCAGCTCTAATAAGTACCTCACATATCGGGCGTCTAGGCAAAGTGTTCATCACACTAATCACACATAAGAACAGATGAGCTCTACTGCATCTGTTCTTAAAACCGCCTGGTCAGGCTAGCTTAATTTTTATAACCACCGTTGGCTGCTATCTATTTCCCACTTAAACTCTATAACCCCACCCAACTTAAGCTCTGTAGCCCCACCCACCTTAAGCTCCATAATTGCCGCTTACTTTTTCCCACAATGCAGTGCCCCGCCCTTTTAAAGCCTAGACAATCCTACAGCGCTTTGGCACATTCTTCCTAACAACTAAATCCTCGATTGAGATTAGACATAATTCCTCTAATCCAGTTTGTTTATCTTCATAGGTCCCACCTCAATAATCCGTTAATTCTAGGCTTCACAAATCGAAGAGATTTTCAAAATAAATATCGTAAACGTACGTCTACACTTATAAGGCCCTCTATCCAGAGGCGTAGTGACCCTTCTCGGCGCCCGGGGACAAACTTTCAATATGGCGCCCCCCCCCCTCGGGAACAACCTTTGAATTTTCAATTTGCACCCCCCCCCCTCAAACTTTCAATTTGCACACCCCCCCGCTCAAACTTCCAATTTGCGCACCCCCCCCCCCCCCACATACATTTTTGTTTTATATCTATAATGCAAAACTGCAGCTAAAATCAGATTTTAATTTGTTTTTTCAACCCATTTTGGCGCCCCTAAGGTCGGCGCCCGGGGACATATGTACCCCCCCCCCCCTCGCTACGCCTCTGCCTATATTTTAACATGAAAATAAATTAGCCTTAGTTTTAATGAATTCAATCCTTTTAAAAGTGGGTATCACAAACGAAATTGTCGATGCTAAAGAAATATGTTTAATTGTTTCTAAGATACTCTGGGATACTAAGCTTTGTAAATGTGTCTTGGACAATGACACATCCGGGTTTTAAGCTCAGCTGATTTCCATTCGGACTCAATCATGGCAGCACACGCCTCTCTTAGCTGGAACTCTGGCAACGTCAGTGGTCAGCTGATAAGGTCAGCTGTTTGTCATTTCAATGACATGTGACCCCTCAAACACCCCCCCACTAGCGAGCCTTTGTACCCGTCTATTATATTTTCCACCACTGTATCAATAAGTAGGATATATTATTGTTTTAAAGTGGGTTTAAAATTAAAACAAATGCGGTTCCCAAAATTTAGTTTTAAAAGATTTTAAATTCAGTCTGTTATAAATTAGGCAATTAAGCAATTTAGCCCAATTCATCTTCGTTGAAAGTAAAAATACTAATATCTAACACTAGACCTATAACCAACTGCGTACTGTTTTTATTCTATTTTTAAAAGTTGGACCTCCATAGATAATTAATCCTGACACAAACCTAATACGCATTAGCAGCAATTAGTCTTGCCAGCCCACGATTTGGCCGACCTGCAATTATTGATTTTGTCATCCTCTTTCATCGATCTTTAGGCACGGAATAAAAAAATATAGCAGGTACTAAACATGTGCCAAAAGCCAGGAAATTTATAACTCTGATTCCAGAAATACTCATCTAGAGTTGCTGTAAATTGTAATCTTGACGCCACCATGGAGAATAAAGATTGCGAAGACGTTAGAGAAATATGACGTATAATCACACTGCGCGTCTTAAGAAGAAAAATATGACGTAAACATACTCCATGTCGAAAAAAAAAGAGATATGACACGCCTATTCGTTGACAGGAACCAGTGGCGTAAACAGGGGGGGGGTCATAACCCCCCCCCCCCCATAGACCTCTTGGTATATATATAAAAAGTATGAGGGGGTGCAAATCGAAAGTTTGAGGGGGGTGCAAATCGAAAATTTGTCCCCGGGTAAAAATTGGAACCCCCTCCTTGAGACGATCCTGGCTACGCCACTGACAGGAACCTTTACCAATCCTTAGTCTATCCCTAGTCCAGTGGCGTCACAAGGCCGGGTGTCACCGTCGGTGTCACGCATCTCCCCTTCACTAATTTTGCATTTTCGGTTTGGTGTCACCCCTCGCTACTACTCTTTTGCTATATAACTGAATAAAACATTGTTTTGACAGTAAATTTTACGATTTGTCTTCATGGTTTCATCCCTACATGTTGTCACCCTACATGTTGTCACCCGGTGTGGACAGCACCCCCAGCACCCACCTTGTGGCGCCACTGCCCTAGTTTAGCCCACATCGCATTAATGATTACAGTAATCACACTTGACATTCTTCACCTCTAGCCCCCCACCAGGCGCTATACCACCCCCTCCCCAGCACCCACCTTGTGACGCCACTGTCCTAATGATTCCAGTAATTACACTTGACTTTCTTCGCCTCTAGCCCCCCCCCCCCCCACCAGGCGCTATACCCCTAATATCATTGTTGAGACCATACAGTTGTTTACAACAGGGCCCATTGAACACAGTGACATAGTTGGCCAATAAATCCATCAAGCCAAGCTATCACTGACAGGCATGCTGCTTATCACAGACGTGCTATTGTGGGCTGTAAATTTTAGAAGGCCAATCAGTTTTGTTAACTAGTTATAAAAAAATATACGCCCTTTTTATAATAAGAAACAATAAATCAAACACTAAAACTGGGTGTAGATTGTTTGATGTGGTTGTGACGTCATAGCTTGAACTGACTACACCTTGGTAGTAAACATCTAGAAGTCAGTGGAGGAGATGGGGGGGGGGGTGTCTATGTATGACGTCACGCCATTTAAACAGACCCTTTCTGCTATTGTCACACAAAAGCTAGACGCCTTAAAATGAAATCCCCCCCCCCTCCCTCCTCAAATAAACATAATTCTTACCCGAAAAAAAAAGTTTTTTTTTTCTAGAATTTTAATTTTTAACAAATAAAAAGTTAGCTACGTCGATTTTCTGAAACTCCTCCATAAAAGTCTAAATTGCCCCACCCTCCCCATGGACGTCGTCCATAAATGACGTCACACGATTCTAGCTTATTTTATTACCCTATCATCACGCCTTCGACAAAAATAACTTGGCCCCTCCCCTAACTTGACCCCTCCCCTAACTTGACCCCTCCACTAACCTAACTTGACCCCTCCCCTAACTTGACCCCTCCACTAACCTAACTTGACACCTCCCCTAACTTGGCCCCTCCCCTAACTTGACCCCTCCACTAACTTAACCCCACCCCTAACTTGACCCCTCCCCTAACTCAGAGGCGTAGCTAGGGGAGGGCGGAGAGGGCGGCCGCCCCGGGCGCCGACCCTAGGGGTGCGCCAAAAGGGGTAGGAAAAAAAATTTACAAGCTCATTTTAAGCTGCAGCTTTGAATTATAAACAGTCAAAGTAAAGAAATTTAACAGCTGAGAGCCTTTGCATACTGATTTAACTGTTTTCTACATTGATTAAGTAACTGTAAAAGGTATATCCTTAAGAAACAGTGATCGGAAAAACTGCCTTCCAGCTTTCCTAGATGGGGGGGGGGGCGCTTTTTCGAAGACTAAAATCGGAAAAATTAAGGATTAATAACCCATATCACTCAGAAAAGAACCTTGGAACTAAAGCGTATTTTACGATTGTGTAACATAAAAATAAGAATTAGTGACGTTTAAAATCCGCTCTACCATTTTTTGTCCAAGATGGTGGGGAGGGAGGGGGGAGGGTGCTTTTTCACCAACAAAAATCGCAGGATTTGTATTGGATCGGTTACTAGATAACTCTTTTAACACTTAGAAAAGAAATGTGTTTCATTATACAATCAACCAGTCAACGAAATACTCATATCGTATTCCAATGTGAACAATAATTTGTATGACCTTAATCTAACAAACTTATAATCCAAATATATACTATATCATAACAGAGACTGTTCCAAAGACGATTTAGCACCGCTACAATTTTTTTCTCTGACATTACTAATCACCATTTTAAAGGATAATGCATCTTAAGGGGAATTTAATTATCGTCGAGTAAAGTTTTAGGGAACGACAATCATACAGCAAAATTATTTTTTTTCAAGACTGTCGCACACACACACACATATATATATATATATATATATATATATATATATATATATGGGAGGTGGGCGCCAAACTGAATGTTCGCCCCGGGCGCCTGGAGGGGTCGCTACGCCTCTGCCCTAACTTATCCCTCCCCAAACTTGACGTCAGATAATGTGTCATCATTTTCCATTACAAATTCAAAATAAAATCAATGCACATTTTTCATCCACTTTGCCACAAAATCTGAAACACTGAACTATTGGCCTATAACCTAGATCTATAGGTCTACAGTATACTGATGGTCTATGGTATGTTAGGTCCTACTCTTCAATGCGGTGAGGGGATCGTGGAAATTGGCCTGTATTACTATAATGATTATGGCGATGTAATATTTTGATTTTACTTAACGCTGCGGAGACAGGGATAAGTAAAAGGCTGTCCTATTTGGGGTTACTTGGGGGGGGGGGGGGGAGGGGGGTGTTTTGACCCATTGTAACAACCCCCCCCCCCCCCACCACCACCAACTCCAATTTTTATTAAGTTTTGGTCACGTTTTATGCCTTAATAAATTATTGAGCTGTATCAATGTTACTATTGTAGCAATCTATTGGTTTAGTATCCTCTGACACCCGTGTAAACCAACCAAGCATTAAAAATACACCGTGGTTAACTTCTATAGAATCTACTCCATAGTGTATGCCAATCTTGTACTCTACCAAACTCAGCCTCTATAGAATCTACTCTATAGTTTATGCCAATATTGTACTTTTATCACCAGAAACTCTGCCCTGTGCCAATAATGGACTTTGTCCCAACAACACCTACTGCTCAGAGACTCCTTCTGGAATACCTAACTGTATAGGTATGTATAGGCTAACACTCTAACAATGGTAATAGCTTTATATAGCCTACACGTAATATAATGTGTTGGTAAGAAATTAGGTAAACCTAAATGATAACTAACAATGCAACCATTCTTGTTTAACATGTTTTAATTTTCATCTATGTGTGTGCGTGTGTGTGTGTATGCGTGTGCATGTGTGTGTAGGCATATAAAGTTAAACTGGTTCAAAAACAACAAAACAGAAGAATGTTATAGCAATCACATTCATTAGCATGTCCTGTTTAAATTTTAATAAAAATTATTTTAGATGGCCTTTGTTTCCATACATTGCTTCTAGTGTGTGATTAAAATATAGCCTCTTGATAACCTTTAGTTACAACCATTTCTTCCAGCGTGTGATTAAAATATGACCTTTTGTTTACAACCATTTCTTGCAGCGTGTGATGACGCCTGTGCTCTGACCTGTGATGGCCCTGGCCCAGAAAGATGTACAGCATGTAAAGTTGGCTACTACAAGCCTCCAGGGATCATCAGTCCTTGCACTGGTCAGTCCTCCATTTTTTATTGGTCAGCTCATGCTTGTAAATACTATAGGTTATAGGCCTAAATTTTTTTTATGTAAATAGTTTTCAAGATGTTTGTTTTAACATTCTTTCCATAATTACATTTTTAACATTGTTAACATACCAGCGGTGTTATACTTCTTGTTGTTTTAAGTTCAAATAACAAAACATGAGGCTATTGTTTCAGAATGTCCCACTGGAAAGTTTGGCAAAGATTGTACCTCCACATGTCATTGTCTAAACAACGAGCTCTGCAACAAAAACAACGGCACTTGTGGGGGCTGGAAGTGTGACAGGGGCTACACAAACATCCCGTTCTGTCAAGACAGTAAGTTCTCATCTGATAAGTTCATTAACCTTTTGGTACACAAACATTCCCTTCTGTCAAGACAGTAAGTTATCATCTGATAAGTTCATTAGTCTTTTGGTACACAAACATCCCTTTCTGTCAAGACAGTAAGTTCTCATCTGATAAGTTCTTTAACCTTTTGGTACACAAACATCCCTTTCTGTCAAGACAGTAAGTTCTCATCTGATAAGTTCTTTAACCTTTTGGTACACAAACATCCCTTTCTGTCAAGACAGTAAGTTCTCATCTGATAAGTTCTTTAACCTTTTGTTACACAAACATCCCTTTCTGTCAAGACAGTAAGTTCTCATCTGATAAGTTCATTAACCTTTTGGTACACAAACATCCCTTTCTGTCAAGACAGTAAGTTCTCATCTGATAAGTTCACTAACCTTTTGGTACACAAACATTCCCTTCTGTCAAGACAGTAAGTTCTCATCTGATAAGTTCATTAACCTTTTGGTACAAAAACATTCCCTTCTGTCAGGACAGTAAGTTATCCTCTGATAAGTTCATTAGTCTTTTGGTACACAAACATCCCTTTCCTTCAAGACAGTAAGTTCTCATCTGATAAGTTCACTAACCTTTTGGTACACAAACATCCCCTTCTGTCAAGACAGTAAGTTCTCATCTGATAAGTTCATTAACCTTTTGGTACACAAACATTCCCTTCTGTCAGGACAGTAAGTTCTCATCTGATAAGTTCTTTAACCTTTTGGTACACAAACATCCCCATGTTTATTAACCTTTTGGTACACAAACATCCCCTTCTGACAGTAAGTTCTCATTTGATAACTTCATTAACCTTTTGGTACACAAACATCCCCTTCTGTCAGGACAGTAAGTTCTCATCTGATGAGTTCACTAACCTTTTGGTACACAAACATCCCCATGTTTATTAGCCTTTTGGTACACAAACATCCCCTTCTATCAAGACAGTAAGTTCTCATTTGATAAGTTCATTAACTTTTTGGTACACAAACATCCCCTTCTGTCAAGACAGTAAGTTCTCATCTGATAAGTTCATTAACCTTTTGGTACACAAACTATCCCTTCTGTCAAGACAGTAAGTTATCATCTGATAAGTTCATTAACCTTTTGGTACACAAACATCCCCTTCTGACAGTAAGTTCTCATTTGATAAGTTCATTAGCCTTTTGGTACACAAACATTCCCTTCTGACAGTAAGTTCTCATTTGATAAGTTCATTAGCCTTTTGGTACACAAACATCCCTTTCTGTCAAGACAGTAAGTTATCATCTGATAAGTTCATTAGCCTTTTGGTACACAAACATTCCCTTCTGTCAGGACAGTAAGTTATCATCTGATAAGTTCATTAACCTTTTGGTACACAAACATTCCCTTCTGTCAGGACAGTAAGTTGTCATCTGATAAGTTCATTAACCTTTTGGTACACAAACATTCCCTTCTGTCAAGACAGTAAGTTCTCATCTGATAAGTTCATTAGCCTTTTGGTACACAAACATTCCCTTCTGTCAGGACAGTAAGTTATCATCTGATAAGTTCATTAACCTTTTGGTACACAAACATTCCCTTCTGACAGTAAGTTCTCATTTGATAAGTTCATTAGCCTTTTGGTACACAAACATCCCTTTCTGTCAGGACAGTAAGTTCTCATCTGATAAGTTCACTAACCTTTTGGTACACAAACATTCCCTTCTGTCAGGACAGTAAGTTCTCATTTGATAAGTTCATTAGCCTTTTGGTACACAAACATTCCCTTCTGTCAGGACAGTAAGTTATCATCTGATAAGTTCATTAACCTTTTGGTACACAAACATTCCCTTCTGTCAGGACAGTAAGTTATCATCTGATAAGTTCATTAACCTTTTGGTACACAAACATTCCCTTCTGACAGTAAGTTCTCATTTGATAAGTTCATTAGCCTTTTGGTACACAAACATCCCTTTCTGTCAGGACAGTAAGTTTTCATCTGATAAGTTCATTAACCTTTTGGTACACAAACATCCCCTTCTGTCAAGACAGTAAGTTCTCATCTGATAAGTTCATTAACCTTTTGGTACACAAACATTCCCTTCTGTCAGGACAGTAAGTTATCATCTGTAAGTTCATTAACCTTTTGGTACACAAACATTCCCTTCTGTCAGGACAGTAAGTTATCATCTGATAAGTTCATTAACCTTTTGGTACACAAACATCCCTTTCTGTCAGGACAGTAAGTTCTCATCTGATAAGTTCATTAACCTTTTGGTACACAAACATCCCCTTCTGACAGTAAGTTCTCATTTGATGAGTTCATTAACCTTTTGGTACACAAACATCCCCTTCTGTCAGGACAGTAAGTTCTCATCTGATAAGTTCATTAACCTTTTGGTACACAAACATCCCCTTGTTCATTAACCTTTTGGTACACAAACATTCCCTTCTGACAGTAAGTTCTCATTTGATAAGTTCATTAGCCTTTTGGTACACAAACATCCCTTTCTGTCAAGACAGTAAGTTATCATCTGATAAGTTCATTAACCTTTTGGTACACAAACATCCCCTTCTGTCAGGACAGTAAGTTATCATCTGATAAGTTCATTAACCTTTTGGTACACAAACATCCCCTTCTGTCAGGACAGTAAGTTATCATCTGATAAGTTCATTAACCTTTTGGTACACAAACATTCCCTTCTGACAGTAAGTTCTCATTTGATAAGTTCATTAACCTTTTGGTACACAAACATCCCCTTCTGTCAGGACAGTAAGTTCTCATCTGATAAGTTCATTAACCTTTTGGTACACAAACATCCCCTTCTGTCAGGACAGTAAGTTCTCATCTGATAAGTTCACTAACCTTTTGGTACACAAACATCCCTTTCTGTCAAGACAGTAAGTTATCATCTGATAAGTTCATTAACCTTTTGGTACACAAACATCCCCTTCTGTCAGGACAGTAAGTTATCATCTGATAAGTTCATTAACCTTTTGGTACACAAACATCCCCTTCTGACAGTAAGTTCTCATTTGATATGCTCATTAACCTTTTGGTACACAAACATCCCCTTCTGACAGTAAGTTCTCATTTGATAAGTTCATTAACCTTTTGGTACACAAACATCCCGTTCTGTCAGGACAGTAAGTTCTCATTTGATGAGTTCATTAACCTTTTAGTACACAAACATCCCCCTGTTCATTAACATTTTGGTACACAAACATCCCCTTCTGTCAGGACAGTAAGTTATCATCTGATAAGTTCATTAACCTTTTGGTACACAAACATCCCCTTCTGACAGTAAGTTCTCATTTGATAAGCTCATTAACCTTTTGGTACACAAACATCCCCTTCTGTCAGGACAGTAAGTTATCATCTGATAAGTTCATTAACCTTTTGGTACACAAACATCCCCTTCTGACAGTAAGTTCTCATTTGATAAGTTCATTAACCTTTTGGTACACAAACATCCTCTTCTGTCAGGACAGTAAGTTATCATCTGATAAGTTCATTAACCTTTTGGTACACAAACATCCCCTTCTGACAGTAAGTTCTCATTTGATAAGTTCATTAACCTTTTGGTACACAAACATCCCCTTCTGACAGTAAGTTCTCATTTGATAAGTTCATTAACCTTTTGGTACACAAACATCCCGTTCTGTCAGGACAGTAAGTTCTCATTTGATGAGTTCATTAACCTTTTAGTACACAAACATCCCCCTGTTCATTAACATTTTGGTACACAAACATTCCCTTCTGTCAGGACAGTAAGGCTCAGTAGCTAGGGACAGCAACACATCTGGGAGAGACAACTCCAAAATCAAACAACTGATACCTTCTAGTTTGTTTTTGGTTGGACAAAGGCTATGTAAGCAAATCCACACAGAAAAGCAGACTGAAACAGGAGTAAATAGCCTATATGGTGCATAACAAGTTGACAATACTTGATTGTGTTGGAGGGAACCCTTTTCTAACACTAGAATTAAGAACAAAGAAGGAGAGAGTAGTCTGGAAAAGCTGAACAAGTCCCATAATCTGTTTAACTACATTCAATTTGATTTGAATTTGTAAACTCCATACATTTAAAGCAAATAATTACAAACCATAGTAGACAAATTGAACAAAAACATAATATTTTATAATAGGCCTATACAAAAATTACAATGATACAAACATTATCTTTCAAATTATAAACAATCCAATGGTGACAACAATGTTAACTTTATTTTATTTTGTCCAACCAGTCTGCCCTGCTGGTACCTTTGGCCTAGACTGTGCCTCTAGGTGTCACTGTCCTGTTGGTGACAACTGCAGCAATGTCAATGGTGACTGCTCAAGTGGAAGGTGTGACCCAGATTATGGCGGTGCTGCCTGCCAAAGGAGTTAGTCATTTATTTTTATCACATCCTTGTACTTTTAGTAAAGTTGATCAATGCTTGTAAAAGTCTATATTTTTTTTATCACAACCATGTACTGTTAGTAAAGTTGATCAATGCTTGTAAAAGTCTATATTTTTTTTATCACAACCATGTACTGTTAGTAAAGTTGATCAATGCTTGTAAAACATAGCATATTTATATTTAAAAAAAAATAAATGCCAATCAGGCTTGTAAAACTATATTTTAAAACTTGTCCCCAGGACTTCCAAAACTAGCTCTTCCACCAACTGTGCAGTACGTGTCATGTAACGTCATTAAAGTTATATGGGACGCTTTCAACCAATCAAAAGATATTGGCACTGGGCCTGTAGGACAATACCAGTAAAATCTTGTTTCACTCTCCCATCTAACTACTAATTAATCTAACATCTATAAATATTATAACCACATTGTTCTTTGAATTTCACCATATGAAAAAATCAAAACCCATGGTGTTGATATGAAGATTAAACATTTTTATTTTTATTTCAAACCTATTTTTTTCTTCTTCTTTCAAACCAAATTTATTATTTCTAGTTCAAACCAAATTTTTATTTCTAGTTCAAACCAAATTTTTATTTCTATTTCAAACCAACTTTTTATTTCTATTTCATACCAACTTTTTATTTCTATTTCAAACCAACTTTTTATTTCTATTTCAAACCAACTTTTTATTTCTATTTCATACCAACTTTTTATTTCTATTTCAAACCAACTTTTTATTTCTATTTCAAACCAACTTTTCATTTCTATTTCAAACCAACTTTTTATTTCTATTCCAAACCAACTTTTTATTTCTATTCCAAACCAACTTTTTATTTCTATTTCAAACCAACTTTTTATTTCTATTTCAAACCAACTTTTTATTTCTATTTGAAGAATTTATCAAAAGCTTGTTACCACCAATACAAGCATCAGCTGGGTGGGTATCTTCAACTACACATCAGATGATACCCTCAGGAGCTATGTGCTAACAGTCCCACGGGCCCAGTTGACTGAGGAGAGTGAATATATCTACAGAGTTGATGTTGTTGGCTCAGACTCTGGGAAATTATTGCGCCAAGTTAGTTCAGGACCCACCTCAGATTCTGTAGGAAACACTTGCAGAGGTAAAATATTGTTTTTCATTTACCTGTAATGATTTTACTAGCACTCCAATAGACATCTTTATTCTTACATTTATGTGCAGGAAAAATATTCATTTTGTATAAATGACCTGACATGTTTATATTGAGTACAATTGAGAGGATGGAGTGGTCTAGCGGTAGAGAGCTGGACTGCTAGCCCGTAAGTCTGGAGTTTAAATCCTGGTTTAAGTCAGTAGACCATCCCTGAGTCTACCCAATCCTAATGGGTACCCCCTAACTCACATTAAGGAAAGTAAAGGCGACTGCGCATAGTGCTGACCACACTATCTCTTCATATGCTGAGGTCACAAAAACAAGTGAAATCTATTTCACTTGACCTATAGACCGTCAGGTTTGAAATGGAACTTTTTACTTTACTACTTTACTATTGAGGTGTTATATGTTTGTTTTGATCTTGAAGGTCTTATTTCTGTGAAGCCCTGAGCTGTAGAAGATTGTTTCTGTAATAATTAATATTTTAAACTCATTGAAAATGTTAAAGCAAAGTTTTAATTTATAAATAGTAGAAGTCAGAATATTTCTTAACATCTGTTTTTCTAACCTTATCGCATAGAATGTTGTGTTTGAAGATGAAAATTATCTAACATTTTACCTTAATTTTTGTTCTATGATAGGAAAAAAAACATCTTTGTTAATCTACCTAATTTTTAAAATGCAAATTTAAAAAAAATTGTATAGTTCAAACAAACATCAGACAAGCCAGCTGCATTAATTAATCCTACAACAAAGTATTATTTTAAATCAATGTCTGACTGCCAACATACCAACAGCACTAAGCCATTTAATAAGACAATCTGTCAGACAGTCCAGCAGTATAAACCTGATACAGCAACATATAAACATGCATAACAGAGCTGTTGGCTCATACTCTATTGTGTTAAATACAACATGCATTTTATTTTAATAGACCTACTTGAAATTTGCTATACTGACTAATATATTGTTTTTTCTATACCAATTTATATACTTATTGTTCTTATTTCAGTAACTACAGTAGCACCTGTTGTTGTATGTAAGTACATGTTGGTAGTTGAGATATTTGTCAAAATAATATTTTACTTTAACACAGAACCAAAACGTTTAGTATACACCGTGTAAGCAAATATTTATGTTTATAGTGTAGTCTAGTAAGTAGGTGGCAGATCAGGTGGGTAACTGACACCCAACTTTCTCCTTGTGATGGCACCTGGTCTGAGAATTACCACTTTGATTATTATTTATTTAAAATGATTTTAAATAAATAATAATTGTCATCATAGTTAAGTGTTCAACAAATGCAGCCTATATTGTTTAGATCTTTACAATTTTTCTAAGTTTGATATAAAAATCAATTGACCTAGCCATCCATGTATCTTTCAGCTGATCAAGTCTTTCAGTCCTTTACACTGAGAGCAGTCAACAGCAGTTTAATTCAGCTAGATTTTACTGTCCTCCCTGACTACACCAGATACAACTACACATTGACACTGTCCAGACAACTGCTGGGGAATGGGGATTGTGATGATGTCACTGGTAGTATAACATCTGTAAGTGCTTAGATTAGTTCAGGCTTACAAATTATTTTTTTTTATTCTATGCAGTTATGTTAATAATTTTAAAAATAAATAATAACCAGTACCTCCCCATTGAGCCAAATGTAGAAGAAATACAAAAATCAAATTTACATATCTGGGAAGCATGGTAAACTAAGTTGATGGAGCAAAGGAAGACATATAAAAAGCCTTATTCAAAATCCATATGCCTCATATATTCCACAGTCCTGTCCCTCTAAGATTAGTATCTACAACACTAATGTTAAGGTGAAGAACTACTATAGCACACTGAGATCGTGAGAGTCACACAATCAAACAAAAACAGGCTACAAACCTTCACCAACAAATACCTATGATGCATTGACAAAATAAGATGGCCAGAAAAAGTTCACTACACCCACCTTTAGTAAAGCATAAGCCAGCAGATCACATACAAAACTATCTCAGTATCTAGTAGGGATGGGTTGGGCATGTGCTAAAATGAACAGAAGAAAACACCACCAAGTACACACTAGACTGGAACCAAGAAAATCCTTGAGGACTGCTGAAAGGAAAGAATGTCTGAGGGGCTTATATGGGCCAAACTTAAGAGAGACAGACAAAATTATAAACACAATCTTTGTCATTTCTATATTGCATGAAGACAATATTTCAATTTATAAGCTTGATTGTGATAAATCGATTGTTCTACGTGTGGAATGGAATGGCCTAGCGGTAGAGTGCTAGATGCTAACCCAAAAGTCTCAAGTTTGAATACAGATCAGGGAAAGTAAAGGTGGATGGGTATAGTACTGACCACATTATCCCTTCAGATGCCGAGGTCACAAAAACTGGTGAACTCTTCTTCACCTGCCCTATGGGCTGTCAGGTTTTAAATGGCAACTTTACTTTGCTTTACTTATTATTCAAAGTACTGTAATCATTTATTTTTACTGAACATTGATTGAGACGATTTACTCTTTCATTCTTCAGTACAACCTGAACATAAGTCAACCTCCCTTTGCTATAGCTAACTTGGCTAGCTGGAGCAAGTACAGGATTGTTGTCAACGCAACCGCTGTGGGTGTCAATGTGAAGGAGATCAGGACACAAAATGTGACCACATCAGCTGTAGGTGGGTACACATTTAATGGTCATCTCGGCACAGACTCTTTAAGTAAACATTCCTTTTTTGTATGGTGTGCAAGTCAGTAAGTCTTAATAGTGTTTGATTAACATATTCTGATATTTTTGGACTAAACCTAAATATTGTTTGATTATTTCTTATAGATGTGAAATAAATGTAATATCATACTTTTAATCTAGTGTGATCATGAAAAAAAAATCCTCTTTTTTGTATAGCCATCATGTGACACAGTTCATACAATGTTTGAGAGAAATGTTAATATAATTTTTTTTAATCTTAGATTTATCAGCTTTGCTACTTATGACTTTCAAACCTTCCATTTACTGAAGTTCTTTCCTTATTTTTAAATGAGCAGTTCCAGAAGGGGGGATAACCAACCTGACACTGGAAAGTGTAACTTCAACAAGGGCAGTGGTAACGTGGAATCCATTGCCTTGCAGTCAGAGAAAAGGTAAAAACTGAATTCTTGCAAACAAAATTGAATTTTACAAGCAAGCTAATCTTTCCCCATTAAAAGTCATTTCTCAGTTGATCTTTGCATGTTGTTTGTTGCAAAAATATTTATCTTTGACACTTACATTCTAAGTTTAAATAGATATCTAAATTGGTTAGTTAAAAAAAATATTATGTTGAAAAAGAAAAAACAGAAACTATTTTGAAACACACTGATGGCCACATATATTGAAAATCTCATGTTCAGCTGCAGAGTCCTCTGTCACTATTAGATCAGAATAAACACAACCAACCAACATAGGGCTAATGGAGTGAATGAAAGTGTTGATATAATGACCACACTTTTCCCACTATAGTGGCAAAATACCATGTAAAATTAAAGTTGTTTTGCCCATTTTATTTTATCCTTAGGTCCACTGAGGTCCTACAATCTGTACCTTGAAGTTGTCAATACCTCAAACAGCAACAGAAGTTTCCTGGGACTGGACACAAGATATCAGTTCACTGACCTGCTGCCCTACACCAACTACTCACTACAAGTGGCTTACAACAACATCATTGGTGAAGGCCCTTTAAGCCAGAAGTTCTTTTTTGTAACAGATGAAGGAGGTAACTAGATTTTAAGCTCACTTTATTTATTACTGCTGATCTAAAATATTGAGCTCAATGCATGTGTCATAAGATGGCTGAGGCAAGTCAGGTTTTATTGGTACCCATCATACATCAGGGTAGGTAAAAATTGGATGGACATTTCTCTTTAATGCTATGACTGAATAAACAGGTATTCAATTTTACAAGTTCCTTAATTCATTTTTCATGTGATCTTGATATCTTTAATCAATCTGATACAAAGTCACTCATAAAACATGTCAAACCCACAGGCTACTTTGGATTTGAATCCATGTTTAAGCTATATAAATATTGAAAAATAGTAATAATTATTTTAATGCATGCTGTCAACTTAGAAATACTTTTGCATACTTTCAGATGTTTTGTAAAATAAATGTTCCCAACTAACCAATTCCCATTTTAAAATACACATCTTTACCTCCTTTCAGCCCCATCATCAGTTGAAATTGTCTCCCTTATACCAACATACTCCACCATCTTTGTGAACTTCACTCCCCCTGTCAATAAAAATGGCGTCCTCACCATGTATATGGTGACATTCAGTGAGTCAGCCAGCTTCACCGCGTCAGAGTCAGTCAATGTACCTGCGTCAGCTGACCTCAGGACTGTGGTGGTAGAGAGACTTAAGCCTATGACAACATATTTCCTCAAGGTGAGAGGCTCCCACATCCTGACTAAAATGTGCAGCTCATGCAGTGAAACAATTATTGAAGAAATCTGTCTGTAAAATTAGTTTACTCAGGAAGTGCTAAATTCTGAAACTTTATAAATTTTTTATAAGTAAATTATCTATTCTTAACACAAATGATAATAAATATGACAAAGCCTTTGTGATATATGAATTTGTTTGTGCATATGATGATTAAAAAGCACTACTTATAACATAGTACTCACATTGTTGAACCCCCCCCCCCCCCCTACCTTTTTGTGCTGTTTCTCATGCATAGCTACACAATTATTTTTATACTTAATTTAAGCCTTGATCTCTTTGTTTTAAAGTTTAACATAGATTCCATACTAAAGACAATCTTAAACTTTTGCTTGAAGATGTCAGCCAAAACATCAGCAGCAACTGGTCTCTACGGCAACACAAAATCTGTGACCACCTTACAGTCCCCGCCCTCAGCTGACACCATACAGCTGACCATGACGTCACACACATTAAACTGTCTGACACTTGAATGGGCTCTACCTAAGGAAAGAACAGATAACGCTACTCACATTGTGGTAAGGTTTTGCTTCACTTTTTGTATGGTAATCAATTGCTTATGATCAATCCTTCCAGTATACAATTATAATATTTCATATCAGTTTAATAACTGAATCCTTATTCTTAGGAATCTATAAATATAACTTCTATTAAAAGTGTAGCTTAATGTGTGACCTACAATCATTTCTACTCTATGATTAATATTTGTACTTTATGTGAACAAACCCTTAGTTTTTATTGTAGAATTAATCTTATTTAAAACATAGAGCATTTTTCCTAGATAGAGGTAATAAAAGAATTTTTAATTGGAGCCATAGGGTTACATATTTTGCCCCCAGATGCAGATGATATCCTTATTTAAAAATTTGAACCATATTGTTACATATTTTGCCCCCAGATGCAGATGATAAAATTATTTTAAAATTGGAGCCATATTGTTACATATTTTGCCCCCAGATGCAGATGATAAAATTATTTTAAAATAGGAACCATATTGTTACATATTTTGCCCCCAGATGCAGATGATAAAATTATTTTAAAATAGGAACCATATTGTTACATATTTTGTCCCCAGATGCAGATGATAAAATTATTTTAAACTTGGAACCATATTGTTACATATTTTGTCCCCAGCTTGAGGTGAGGAAAGCAACAGTGGCCACAATTGTAAAAAATGTGACCTTGAACTCTACAGACAGCTCCTACCAGTTGTGTGACTTGAAACCTAGCACTTTCTATGTGGTGACAATAACGGGGTTCAAAGGTCAAGATGTACTGGCTAGAGGCACAGAGACCTTCAGTACAGGTACTCAACTGTTTACTTAGCTAAAGCCTGGGACTACAGTGGTGATCCACTAAAGTTACATTGGGATCATTAGCTTGCTACTTGCTCTAATACCTTGTAACTGAAAACAGTTTCTACCTTACAAAAAGTAGTTTGCATATATCACTAATGTTTTCTTCTTATTTTCTACTTATTTTCTTCTTAATAAATCTATATTTTAAAGCTGTACTAATTTTTTTTTTCTTAAAACGAAGAATTAATATTAGATTTCACATTCATCTTATTTACTTATCTATAATTTAAAAACCAAAATGCCATTTCTTATTCCAACGGATTTGAGATAATTAAAAATTTTAAAAATTTAACTCGTTGACTGTTTTAATCTCAAACCTTGTAGAGCACGGCACCCCACCAGTTCCTGTGGCACCAGTTTTTGTGAGGTCGACCTACACCAACTTCACCGTGACCATTGAGCCTGTGGTATCTGATGGTGCTCCAGTTACTGGCTACCAACTGATGCTGCAGAAGGTTGCCGCAACCAAAAGAAAAAAGTCAGTCAAAAATTTTTTTAAAAATTTTTTTGTGTAGCATCAGGGCCCACAATCAAGACAGGATAATAAATCCAAATTGAAGATTACCTAAGTAGCATAAATTATTTTTTTGATTTCACAGATCTAAGTATTAAATAAATCTTGTTTTGAAATTAGTTTTTACTTCAAGTGATTTAAATTTAATAAATTTTGATTGTTGTTTATTCTAATCTCCTTTTTAAGGAGGAACTTTATCGCAAACTCAATTCAGTAGAGCAGTTTAAAAACATCAAAACAAATTTGAGTTTTGGTTGATCCTAATTCTCTGTTGACACAGAAGAGCTCCCTTTTTCGTTTCTCTCTGTTCTACAACATTAATTTAATTTGAAAGGATAGTTTACATTTTACAATACCCCTCACCTCTCTAGAACCTGTTTTACCATACCCCTCACCTCTCTAGAACCTGTTTTACCATACCCCTCACCTCTCTAGAACCTGTTTTACCATACCCCTCACCTCTCTAGAGCCTGTTTTACCATTACTTTGAACAGTATCCATGCTACTGTTGTGTGTTGTAACTTGTCTCACAATATTTCGTTGACACACTTTTGTTGCAGACGTGTTGCTGGTGTACCTGGCACAGTTGTGGCAGAACTGACAACTGCCAACGTCACTCGTCGAAGGGAATTTGTCATTGGTGATAATCAGACATATGGACAAGCATTTAATAAGGTGACATTCAAGACTGTTGTAATACACTTTTACTGAAATCCTAGAGCTAACAACAATTTGTACTGAATTCTTAGATTTGTCTACAGGCTTTATCTTTTGGTTAGCTTTCAAAATATTGGATCCTTACAAAATTACGTAAATATTATATAAAATCAATCCTTAAATTTTAGAGGATACTCATTTTGTGCAACTCCCTAATCTTGACAAACTTATTTTCTATTTGACAAAAATTTTACTCTATGTACCAACCATCTAATCCATGTGCCAACCCTTTAATCCATAAGCCAACCTTCTAATCCATGTGCCAACCCTCCAATCTATAAGCCAACCCTCTAATTAATGTGCCAACCCTCTAATCTCCATGCCAACCTTTCTACAGGAACTAGAAGCCAACACCCTATACATGCTGTACTATGTTGTGCTGAGTACATTCAACCAGAACACAACTTTCAGCTTCTCCAAGTTAAAAGATCCAGTACGCACTATACCCTTTGACCCTTCACTAGCGCCACCTATACCACTGGCTGTCACAGATAAAAACACAACATGTCTAAATATATCCTGGTCAGTTCCCGATGAGGTTCAGCCATCATTAACAAGTTTCACTGTAAGTTCAAAGTTCAACTATCTTTCAGTAAAAAACATTTTTAGTTATTAGTTTTACAGCAAACCATTTTCTAAAACTAGCCTGAGTTTATAAATAAGCTTTTCTGATAATTATTACTATTATTATTGGAAAACTAAATCAAATGTAAGATTTAGTTAATTTTCTTTTATACTACACAGCGTAGGACCATTACATTTCAGTGATCTAATATGCAGTTAATCAACTAGACTCAAGTGATATTGTCTTGTTTCACATAAAAGACCTTTCTGTTTCAGTTTGCCCTGAGAAAGTCCAGTGAAACAACACCAACCCTCACACAGAACCTGAACCCCAACATAACAAACGTGGTGGCATGCAGCCTGACACCATTCACCACCTACACTGCCCTGGTGACAGCCCGGACAGCCAATGGTGTCCTAGCAGTGTCATCTGACAGCTTCACCACATGTCAGTACTGTCACAACATCATCATCTTCTTACCTCTACACTAAAAATCTCATTTTCATTTTAATATCGCACATGAAAAAATACCTGAATAAAAATTATATTCATTCCCTGAAGCTGGATATGGGTGGAGACTAAACTGTCATTTTAAACTCATTACAAGGCTAATGAGACTGTCAAGTTTTATTTTATAATGATTTAAGTGCAATTAGTTCTCATGAAAAAATTAAACACTTTATGTTGTTCTCTTTTTGTTTACACTGCTCCACACACAGAGTGCTATATGTTGTTCTGTTCTTGTTTTACAGTGCATGAGTCGCCACGTACACCTGTGGCTCCAGTGTTCATCAACTCCACGTACACAACTATAGCTGTTGCCTTGGAGCCAGCTGTCCTGACAGCCGGGCCTCTTACAGCTTACCAGCTGCAGGTGGAAAAAGTCAGCGCACCTGTTGGCCGACGTAAACGTATGACAGGTGTTCCAGGTTACGTAACGGCAGAGCTGAGCCAGGCCGACATAACCCAGAGAACAAACTTTGTTGTGGGGGACGGTAAAACTTACGGGGGATACACCAATATCAAGCTAGAAGAGAGGACCTGGTACAAGATTCACTATGTTGTCATCAGTACGTCAAGTAATGTAACAAAGTACAGCTACGCATCTTTAAACCCCCAGGTGCAAACTGTACCCTACGTCCCCACCGTAGCTCAACCTGTCTCTGACAGTGAGGATAAAAGCACTCTCATCGGTGTTTTGGTAGCACTCGTCATCTTCATCATTATCATCTTCATCATCCTCCTCATCTACTGCTGGTGGAGGAGGAAAAACAGGTTTGTTCCGTACGAGGTTCAGGAAGACGACATCAAACCTATAGAGCTCCCACCATACGTTGATGACTATGACCCATCTAAATACTGGAGCTCAACATACAACTTAAAAGACAGCCGACATATCATAGCAGGGAGGGACTGGGTGTACGGGCAACAACCATATCAAAATGGAGAACTTATCCCAAATCCAAACTTGTACAAAATCACCTTTAAAGATGAGTTTCAGAACCTGCCGCACAAATCTAAGAAAGCCACAGACAACTCTGCCCGCAGGTACAAGAACTTCAACAGGTTCCCTCACCTGCTGCCATATGACCACAGTCTTGTAGAGCTGCAGGCAGACGCCAGCTGTCGCAGGACTTACATCAACGCCAGCTTCATCCCAGGCTACAAGAAAACCCCAGCCTACATCGCAGCACAGAGTCCGTATGACGAGGAGACTGTTCTAGACTTCTGGCGCTTGATTTATCAGAGGTAACCAGTTATTGTCACTCCTTCATCAATTTATTCACTTATTAGGTCAATTATTTTTATTATTATTATATTCGATATTGATTGTTCTTGAGTTCAGCAAAGTTAAAAAAAATTTGTGTTAAATTTAATCCTTAGAATATATTGGAATCTTTGTTTTGTTTCCTTTTTTAAGTAAGTCATCTAACAAACTTTAGAACTAATCGGTTTTTTCATACGTTCATAAAAAATAAAGTTTCGCATTTAAATAAAATTATTTTAACAATGACTACACTTGACTAATTTAAAAAAACAATGATGACACTTAGATTCTTACAATAACCAATTAGCTTACATGTAGAAAACATTTGAACAAGAGGAAAATAAAATTAACAAGTGAATGCATGTCGTCATAATTTTAGTTACAAAAGAAGTCATTAATTGCAATCATAGTTAATGAAATTACACAATTGAAGAGACAAATAATCTCATACTCTCAGTATAAAACTTTAATAAAAACACAATATATAAGTGACCAATCAATTTAAAGGTTGAATAAAAAATTAGATCAGGAAATTGAATACAAATTAGATCAGGATAGAAACCAACTTTAATAAAAACACAATATATAAATGACCAATCAATTTAAAGGTTGATTAAAAATTAGATCAGGAAATTGAATACAAAATTAGGAAACAAACCTAAAAAATAAAATGTACACTTGTGTCCAGGTCCATCAAGACTGTGGTGATGATCACCAACACAGTGGAGGACAACATCGTCAAGTGCACGCAGTACTGGCCAGCAGAGACCAAGGCCAGCTTTGGCCACTTCCTGCTCCACCTGACAGAGACCACCATTTATGCCGACTACACCATCAGAACCATTGAGGTCAAGAGCAACAGCGACGAGTTCTCAAAGATCGTCCGTCTGTTTGAGTTCACCTCCTGGCCAGACCACGGGGTCCCAGATGACCCGATTCCATTTTTAGAAATGCGCTACAAAGTTAGACGCTACCATTACGATGAACCAACACCAATTTTAGTGCATTGTGGGACAGGGATGGGGAGAACTGGAGTCTTTATTGCAGTTGATGCATTGATTAACATGTACGCGGCCGAAGGACGGGTTCAAGTCTTTGATTATGTACGCAAAATCCGCAAAGATCGCCCGTATATGGTGCGTACACTCAAACAATACATCTTCATCTATGAAGCCTTGTTTGAAGAGTTCCACGCGGGTAATACACTGGTGGGGTTTGACCTGAAGGAGAGGTACCACTGCTGGACACAGATGAACCCAAAGACTGAACACACTTACCTGAGAGACCAGTTTAGGCTGCTGGAGAAGTACAACAGGGGACCTCCTAGAGCTGAGTGTAAGACTGGCCTCATGCAGGCCAACGTCCAGAAGAACAGGTACATTCACGTCTGCTGAAAGTTCATTTTTGTGCTTTTTTTTTTTTAAAATTTCAAATTTGTATAATTTGTGTATGAGAATCAGTTAAAATTATTTTCTGTTTAGCACTATTTTATGTAAACTAGTACTATTTTGAGAATAACTTACTATTATCAACCCTCTTATGAAAAAACATCAGACGTGATGAATAATTAAATAAACCAATATCAAAAATAAAAAATAGAGAATTAAATCATTTAATCAAACCAGTGAAATTAAATTTAAATGTAGCAATGCAACATAATTTCTCAGATTTTAGTCATTTATATGTAACATCATCTTAAAACACCTAATAAAATCAATCCACTATGTTTCTCCTATTGTCTCAGATATTTAGATGTGATACCATCTTAAAAACACCAATTAATTGAATCAATCCACTATGTTTCTCCTATTGTCACAGATATTTAGATGTGATACCATCTTAAAAACACCAATTAATTGAATCAATCCACTATGTTTCTCCTATTGTCACAGATATTTAGATGTGATACCATCTTAAAAACACCAATTAATTGAATCAATCCACTATGTTTCTCCTATTGTCTCAGATATTTAGATGTGATACCATCAGAAAAACACTAATTAATTGAATCAATCCACTATGTTTCTCCTATTGTCACAGATATTTAGATGTGATACCATCTTAAAAACACTAATTAATTGAATCAATCCACTATGTTTCTCCTATTGTCTCAGATATTTAGATGTGATACCATCAGAGAAACACAGGCCATTGCTGCAGACATTCGGAGGGCCCAACCCCACAGACTACATCAACGCCTTGTTCCTGGATGGCTACATGACAAAAAACCAGTTCATCATCACCCAGACCCCACTCCACACAACCATCATTGACTTCTGGAAGCTGGTCTATGACTATGACGTAAGAACCATTGTCATGGTAGAAAACTTCAAGAATGAAGATGACTCTTGCGCTGAGTACTGGCCTTCTGTCAACTTGAAACAGTTTGAACCTTTTTTCATTGAGACGACGGCCGTCTTCCAACAGGACAACATCACAATACGCAACTTCAAGCTACGCAGCACACAAAACCCAAAGGCTGTACCTAAAAATGTACGACAATTCCAGTTTAACGCATGGGCTCAACTTAACCCCACCCCGCAGTCTAAGACAATGATGATGGATCTGATTGACAGCGTCTTTGATTGGCAGGACGAGGCTTGTCAGAACGAGAGGCCTGTGGTTGTCCACTGTCAAGATGGGGCGTCACACTCAGGCCTGTTTGCCATCTTGGCAATTATTTGTGAGAAAATGGAGGAAGAAGGTGAAGTGGATGTGTACAGGACCATCAAACACTGCAAGAGGCGACGCCCACAGTTTCTCACTGATTATGTAAGTTCACTTGTATCCAGAATCATAATCCTACTTTTTCCATTTCATCTTTTATATTTAAATAACTGCATACACAATTTTTAATTTTATTTTGTTATTATTTTTAAAAATTAATTTAACTCTACATTTTGGTTCATTAATTCATGTCATTGAAGTATTTAATGTTTTTATAGAAATTAATAAAACAATTTTTATTTCTTAGGATCAATTTCGTTTCTGCTACAAGACATTGTGGGATTTCATGAATCTGCGAATGCCTGATGGGTTTTTTACAGAAACCTTGGGGCAGACCAAGAACGATAAATCGTATGGAGTTGCTTCCCTTAACCTGAACTCTTATTCCCAGCTGGATGAATACACATCAGAACTGTGAACACACTCACTGCTTTATGACTTGTGTTTACATGTACTCTATCTATTGATGAACACACTTACTGTTTTATGACTTGAGTTTACATGTACTGGATCTATTGATCACCAACACCAAATCTACCTATCAAAAATGATTTTATCATAATACTGCATCAAGCTCTGTCTATATTGAATACCAATACCAAAAGCTACACAAAAATCTATATTTAATGCTACACTGTGTATATTGATTACCAATAGCCCCACAAATAACGCTATCATAACAGGCTGCATCAAGAACTGTGTATATTGATTACCAATAGCCACACAAATAACATTATCATATGCACTATATAGATGTGAGATGCTAGGATTCATTGTTTACATTTACAAAGCTTACAGCTGCATTCAGACCTGATTTCCTTACATTGTTTTTTTATTTTATAATCTACAACTTTTATAAAATGATTGATATTTCTGTAAAAAGAGCCTATTAATGTGATGTATAATAATATATTATTTTGTAAAAAAAAAACAAAGTTGGTGCTTTAAATTTTCTTGTTACTTCACCCTGTAAATATAATCTATATATTTATATCATACAGATATTGATAATAACCCTATATTTTTACACAGCAAAACTGATCTGATACACAGCTTTTTTATGTAGTATATATATTTCTGTGATGTATAAAAGACTGCATATATAAAATTATATTTTACACACAAAAATATTCTTATACCTAATTTAAGATCACATTCCTCACTTGCTGTTATTTTTTGAACAGCAAAGAGCAGCATCTTGTTTTTTATTATTTTGAGATCTGATAAATATTTACAGATGAAACCTAGATCAGAGTGTAATGAAATATTTTTTTTTGTTGGTTTAGCATATATTTATAAAAACTAAATCAGAGTGTAATAAAAATTTAATTTTTTTTTTGGTTTAGTATATATTTATGAAAACTAAATCAGAGTGTAATAAAATTTAATTTTTTTGTTGGTTTAGTATATATTTATGAAAACTAAATCAGAGTGTAATAAAATTTAATTTTTTTGTTGGTTTAGTATATATTTATATAACAAATGGATTAAGATTAATTTTTTCCATGGGATATTTGCGCCAGTACTTTAAAGTTCTATTGAAAGTAGTCTTAGATTTGGGGGTTTCTTAATTTAGTTCAGTGGTAGAAAAAACTTTTGGTTTTGTAGTTGACTTACACTGTCTTTAAATTTATGTCTTTTAACCAATTGTAGTATCTTTAATGTAGAAGTGGCTACTTTAACTTGTGTTTTACAAAATGCTACTAACTAGTTACAATTTAGATGTTTGAAGTGATGGGTCTGTTTTTGAAAACTCTTGTCCAGTGTAAGCAAAAATAAGCTGTAAATACTTATATTCTCAGTATTTATTTGACTATTAATTTAATATTTATAAAACAAATCTGTGATAAAAATTCTTATTTATTGTAATAAACAACTTTTTGTCCAATAAAAATCTGATGAAATTTTACAACCTAGAGTGATTTTCGCAAATTAATTTGGTGCATCAAAACAGGAGAAAGGGCCTAGAGCAAGATTTGTCAAGTGTTTAATTGTGAACAACAAAAAATAAATATGAAATTTTTTAATGCTGTAAACAGAATTAGTAGAAACATGAAAATACAACAATAACAAACAATTTCTTTACAAGATCCAACTTCTTTTAGTTTTTTATTTGTTCATGTTTTAACATTCCAAAATCACAAATAATCACAGATTTTATTACAACAGCATAGCAGATATTAACGGATTAACACTATTTCATTCATCATTCTAATGTTAGCCTTTTTGTTACTCTACATATTAAGAATCATCTTACCTAAAAATTATCAAACACAAGACAGTTAGCTAAAAAACAGAGCAAATGGTTTACATAATATATTTGTTTAAATTTTATTCCACAAATATTAGGTACAAAAACGAATGTAGTACTATATTTTGGTTATAAACTGAATAAATAAAAAAAAATTACTAGACCTATGGCTTCAGATAGATAAGAGCCAGTAATATTCTCAACGCTACAGCTAATACTCTGGGATGATGGGGTGAGATAATACTCTGGGATGGTGGGGTGAGATAATACTCTGGGATGGTGGGGTGAGATATTACTCTGGGATGGTGGGGTGAGACAGTATAGCACAACAGTAGAGCAGAAGTCTTGAGTTTTGAATCCTGGGCTAGAGCCTGTAGGAGGTCTCTGAGTACACTCAGCACTAATGAGTACCTGACACATGTAGGGGAAGTAAAGGCAATTGTACATAGAACTGGCCACATTATCACAGAAACAGATGAACTCTAATTCATCTGCACAATTGACTGTCAGGTTTGAAAGAGTAACTTTAATATAAGTGATACTAAATGTAGTTTAACATTTTAAATACAAAAAAATGAATCTCAAACTTGGTTAAAGAAAACTATTTCATTTTCCCAGATGTGAGGACATTGACTTATCCCACAAACTTTCTCATGAAGGTCCAAATGGTTTTGTAACAGTAGATGTACTGATCCTGAAAGAATACATGACATTAGTTGATGTGGGGATCAGTTGAAATCATGACTGCAGGTGAAAATTTTTAAGTAAAGTAATTATGTAAAGTTTCTGTAATTGTTATAGTTTGTGAGGCTGCTCAAATAATTAAAAAAATGAAAAAAAAATAAAAACAATCATAATGTAAATTTACATATTTTTAAACATTATTTACATAATTTACATATTTTCTTTTTACTATGTAAATTAACATATTTATCACAGAATTATAGTTTCTTCCAGGCAACTCTTTGGAGAGGCAGCCCCCCCCCCCCCCCAAAGAAAGTGTACCCCACCCCACGAACAAAATGAAATTTATATAGTAAACATATACTTTTACCAGTGTCCCCCCCCCCCCTCACCCCCAGAGAAAGTCTGGAAAAAACACTGCATAGAATCTATAAACATTTTTACTTACCAGTTTATAACATATTAATAACAAAAATAGTATTTTAATTATATAAGATAATTAATTATTGTACTTACATAATTAAATTGGCACTGTAGGTTGTTGTATTTACAATGTCTAATAATTTTAAAAAGATCTCCACTCTTGTCCATCTTTATCTTCTCACAGAAGAGAGCCAGAGGAATGAAAATCTCAGGAAATCTGGCACCAGTAACCAGCACGGCCTCCCGTCTCTTATCATCCTGCCAGGCAAAAACTTCTGCGATTAGGTTGGCCATCATGGTCTCCGTGAACTTGACCTCATTAGACGCCATCTCTGCATTGACCTCAAACAGCCGAACTGCGACATTGTTCACCACAATATCAGTAACCACAAAGTTGTTTAAAATGTTTTCTTTTGGTGGCTGACAAACAACCATGTTGAAATCACGGAGCCGATGTTTCTCAATGAAAGGAACAGTTTGAGAATCCCTGAATGCGATGATGGTGGCGATGTTGTTGTGGAGTAGGAAGTGGACAAAGTCCCGAGGGTTTGCAAACTGTGAGCAGTTTGTTAACTTGTACTGGCCAGGCTCCAGCAGCCCATCAATGGCGACTGTCTCAGCAAAAGGGTTGTGTACATTCCAGGAGCTGGAAGAATAGCTGGAAGAGCTTGAGCTAGAGAAATCCAAGCTAACTTGTGAGCTAAAGTTTTGTGAATAAAAATAATAGATTAACATTACATTGAAGTATGACAATAATTAACGCAAAAAAACCTTGACTATTAACAATACAAAGTGCATTTAAGCTTCTAGAATTCTATAAACATTAAACTATGTAGCCATATTTAAACCAAAAAACTATGTTGCCATATTAAACCAAAATATAGTTAGGGTTAGGGTTAGGCTATTAAACAAAAGAAAACTATCTTGCCATATTAAAAAAAAACCATGTTGCCATATTATACAAAACACCATGATGTCATATTAAACAAAAAAAAACAACTATATTGCCATATTAAACACAAAAAAAGTTAGGGCAAGGGTTGGGGTATTAAACAAAAAAAAACTATGCTCCCATATTAAACCAAAAAAAAAACTATATTGCCCTATGAGAAAAACTAACAACATCAAACACTTATTCCCAAACAAATACCTGATGTCTTGGTTTAAACCTTTAATGCAAGACTTCATTGGAGGCATCTGCAAGCATTCAAACTGCTCCTCCAGAAAAGTCTTTCCTGTTTCAGGATTTTTCCTCCTCCAGTTGTTGATCACAGATTTAAATTCACTCCCAAATGTGGTAGCACCAGCAAAAAAGTTCTCATGCAGTGCTGCATAGATGAAGACATACTCTTTTAATGTGCGCACCATAAATGGTCGATCTTTTCTCATTTTGTGCACACACTGAAACACATTGACACTCCCTTCTTCTTGAAACTGTTCAATTAAAGTATCAATAGCAATGTAGACACCACTCCGGCCAATGCCTGTACCACAGTGGACCAGGATAGGGGTAGGATCTTTACTGTGGTGGGCCCTCACTTTGTACAGCATGTCCAACAAAGGAATGGGGTCATCTGGCGCTCCGTGCTCCGGCCAGGACGTGTACTGGAACTGCTGGACCACATGGAACTCCTCCCCTGACTGTTTGACCCCCAGGGTCCTGAGGGTGTAATCAGTATACACCTGGACACTCATGACCCGTATTGTCAAGTGACCTAAGGTGTCCTCACACATGTCAGGCCAGTACTGGGAGCACTTGACGATCCTGCCCTCCCTCAAGTTTGTTAACATCACAATTGTTTTCAGTGATCTGGTGAAAAATTAGTTGTAGACAAATGATCAGCCACTTAGTGACCTGTGTGTTTAGTTAAAGTGAGTTTTAAAAAATGCATGTCCTGTATTTATAATTAAAAAACTAGATTTTTTGCTAAAACACATTTACATGGGAAGTAACACAAGTTTTTAAAAAGTATAATACATGTTCAGACAACGTGGGCCAAAAGATGTAGGCTGCAGATCTGTCAGTCAGTCATATACTGTGATCATGTGGTCAGCAATAGGCCAAGCTGCCTTTACTTTCTCTAACTCAGGTAACCAATAAAGCTGGATGGACTCATGGACATTGTATGGAATTATTGGAAAACAATCTCAAGGCCTTTGGGTAGGTGATCATGTGCGCTACCCATCAACCATGCCACAAATACTCTGGATATATTAAGTAACAAAAATACTTCTTATCTTGCTGCCTTTTAAATACCTTACTAATAATAAGTTAATAAAAATAGGTTATCAAAATATTTTTGATAGTTTATATGAGATAGCCAAATACTTTGCTTAATGAGATAGCTAAATATATTAGAAAATTTAAATGGCAAAATATTGTTGATAGGCCTACATGAAATAGCCACACACCTTTGATATATGAGGTAGCCACATACCTTTGATATATGAAGTAGCCACATACCTTTGATATACGAGGTAGCTACATACCTTTGATATATGAAGTAGCCACATACCTTTGATATACGAGGTAGCTACATACCTTTAATATACGAGGTAGCTACATACCTTTGATATATAAGTCTCCAAAAGTCCAGTACAGTGACTGGGTCATATGGACTCTGGGCTGCTACATACCTTTGATATATGAGTCTCCAAAAGTCCAGTACAGTGACTGGGTCATATGGACTCTGGGCTGCTACATACCTTTGATATATAAGTCTCCAAAAGTCCAGTACAGTGACTGGGTCATATGGACTCTGGGCTGCTACATACCTTTGATATATGAGTCTCCAAAAGTCCAGTACAGTGACTGGGTCATATGGACTCTGGCACATACCTTTGATATATGAGTCTCCAAAAGTCCAGTACAGTGACTGGGTCATATGGACTCTGGGCTGCTACATACCTTTGATATATGAGTCTCCAAAAGTCCAGTACAGTGACTGGGTCATATGGACTCTGGGCTGCTACATACCTTTGATATATGAGTCTCCAAAAGTCCAGTACAGTGACTGGGTCATATGGACTCTGGCACATACCTTTGATATATGAGTCTCCAAAAGTCCAGTACAGTGACTGGGTCATATGGACTCTGGCACATACCTTTGATATATAAGTCTCCAAAAGTCCAGTACAGTGACTGGGTCATATGGACTCTGGACCACATACCTTTGATATATAAGTCTCCAAAAGTCCAGTACAGTGACTGGGTCATATGGACTCTGGACCACATACCTTTGATATATAAGTCTCCAAAAGTCCAGTACAGTGACTGGGTCATATGGACTCTGGCACATACCTTTGATATATGAGTCTCCAAAAGTCCAGTACAGTGACTGGGTCATATGGACTCTGGCACATACCTTTGATATATGAGTCTCCAAAAGTCCAGTACAGTGACTGGGTCATATGGACTCTGGGCTGCTACATACCTTTGATATATGAGTCTCCAAAAGTCCAGTACAGTGACTGGGTCATATGGACTCTGGGCTGCTACATACCTTTGATATATGAGTCTCCAAAAGTCCAGTACAGTGACTGGGTCATATGGACTCTGGGCCACATACCTTTGATATATGAGTCTCCAAAAGTCCAGTACAGTGACTGGGTCATATGGACTCTGGACCACATACCTTTGATATATGAGTCTCCAAAAGTCCAGTACAGTGACTGGGTCATATGGACTCTGGCACATACCTTTGATATATGAGTCTCCAAAAGTCCAGTACAGTGACTGGGTCATATGGACTCTGGCACATACCTTTGATATATAAGTCTCCAAAAGTCCAGTACAGTGACTGGGTCATATGGACTCTGGCACATACCTTTGATATATAAGTCTCCAAAAGTCCAGTACAGTGACTGGGTCATATGGACTCTGGCACATACCTTTGATATATGAGTCTCCAAAAGTCCAGTACAGTGACTGGGTCATATGGACTCTGGCACATACCTTTGATATATGAGTCTCCAAAAGTCCAGTACAGTGACTGGGTCATATGGACTCTGGCACATACCTTTGATATATGAGTCTCCAAAAGTCCAGTACAGTGACTGGGTCATATGGACTCTGGCACATACCTTTGATATATGAGGTAGCTACATACCTTTGATATATGAGTCTCCAAAAGTCCAGTACAGTGACTGGGTCATATGGACTCTGGCACATACCTTTGATATATGAGTCTCCAAAAGTCCAGTACAGTGACTGGGTCATATGGACTCTGGCACATACCTTTGATATATGAGTCTCCAAAAGTCCAGTACAGTGACTGGGTCATATGGACTCTGGCACATACCTTTGATATATGAGTCTCCAAAAGTCCAGTACAGTGACTGGGTCATATGGACTCTGGCACATACCTTTGATATATAAGTCTCCAAAAGTCCAGTACAGTGACTGGGTCATATGGACTCTGGCACATACCTTTGATATATGAGTCTCCAAAAGTCCAGTACAGTGACTGGGTCATATGGACTCTGGCACATACCTTTGATATATAAGTCTCCAAAAGTCCAGTACAGTGACTGGGTCATATGGACTCTGGCACATACCTTTGATATATGAGTCTCCAAAAGTCCAGTACAGTGACTGGGTCATATGGACTCTGGCACATACCTTTGATATATGAGTCTCCAAAAGTCCAGTACAGTGACTGGGTCATATGGACTCTGGCACATACCTTTGATATATGAGTCTCCAAAAGTCCAGTACAGTGACTGGGTCATATGGACTCTGGCACATACCTTTGATATATGAGGTAGCTACATACCTTTGATATATGAGTCTCCAAAAGTCCAGTACAGTGACTGGGTCATATGGACTCTGGGCCACATACCTTTGATATAAAAGTCTCCAAAAGTCCAGTACAGTGACTGGGTCATATGGACTCTGGGCCACATACCTTTGATATATGAGTCTCCAAAAGTCCAGTACAGTGACTGGGTCATATGGACTCTGGCACATACCTTTGATATATAAGTCTCCAAAAGTCCAGTACAGTGACTGGGTCATATGGACTCTGGGCCACATACCTTTGATATATGAGTCTCCAAAAGTCCAGTACAGTGACTGGGTCATATGGACTCTGGGCCACATACCTTTGATATATGAGTCTCCAAAAGTCCAGTACAGTGACTGGGTCATATGGACTCTGGGCCACATACCTTTGATATAAAAGTCTCCAAAAGTCCAGTACAGTGACTGGGTCATATGGACTCTGGCACATACCTTTGATATATGAGTCTCCAAAAGTCCAGTACAGTGACTGGGTCATATGGACTCTGGCACATACCTTTGATATATGAGTCTCCAAAAGTCCAGTACAGTGACTGGGTCATATGGACTCTGGACCACATACCTTTGATATATGTCTCCAAAAGTCCAGTACAGTGACTGGGTCATATGGACTCTGGACCACATACCTTTGATATATGTCTCCAAAAGTCCAGTACAGTGACTGGGTCATATGGACTCTGGCACATACCTTTGATATATGAGTCTCCAAAAGTCCAGTACAGTGACTGGGTCATATGGACTCTGGCACATACCTTTGATATATGAGTCTCCAAAAGTCCAGTACAGTGACTGGGTCATATGGACTCTGGCACATACCTTTGATATATGAGTCTCCAAAAGTCCAGTACAGTGACTGGGTCATATGGACTCTGGACCACATACCTTTGATATATGTCTCCAAAAGTCCAGTACAGTGACTGGGTCATATGGACTCTGGACCACATACCTTTGATATATGTCTCCAAAAGTCCAGTACAGTGACTGGGTCATATGGACTCTGGCACATACCTTTGATATATGAGTCTCCAAAAGTCCAGTACAGTGACTGGGTCATATGGACTCTGGCACATACCTTTGATATATGAGTCTCCAAAAGTCCAGTACAGTGACTGGGTCATATGGACTCTGGCACATACCTTTGATATATGAGTCTCCAAAAGTCCAGTACAGTGACTGGGTCATATGGACTCTGGGCCACATACCTTTGATATATAAGTCTCCAAAAGTCCAGTACAGTGACTGGGTCATATGGACTCTGGCACATACCTTTGATATATGAGTCTCCAAAAGTCCAGTACAGTGACTGGGTCATATGGACTCTGGCACATACCTTTGATATATGAGTCTCCAAAAGTCCAGTACAGTGACTGGGTCATATGGACTCTGGCACATACCTTTGATATATGAGGTAGCTACATACCTTTGATATATGAGTCTCCAAAAGTCCAGTACAGTGACTGGGTCATATGGACTCTGGGCCACATACCTTTGATATAAAAGTCTCCAAAAGTCCAGTACAGTGACTGGGTCATATGGACTCTGGGCCACATACCTTTGATATATGAGTCTCCAAAAGTCCAGTACAGTGACTGGGTCATATGGACTCTGGCACATACCTTTGATATATGAGTCTCCAAAAGTCCAGTACAGTGACTGGGTCATATGGACTCTGGGCCACATACCTTTGATATAAAAGTCTCCAAAAGTCCAGTACAGTGACTGGGTCATATGGACTCTGGGCCACATACCTTTGATATATGAGTCTCCAAAAGTCCAGTACAGTGACTGGGTCATATGGACTCTGGGCCACATACCTTTGATATATGAGTCTCCAAAAGTCCAGTACAGTGACTGGGTCATATGGACTCTGGACCACATACCTTTGATATATGAGTCTCCAAAAGTCCAGTACAGTGACTGGGTCATATGGACTCTGGGCCACATACCTTTGATATATGAGTCTCCAAAAGTCCAGTACAGTGACTGGGTCATATGGACTCTGGGCCACATACCTTTGATATATGTCTCCAAAAGTCCAGTACAGTGACTGGGTCATATGGACTCTGGGCCACATACCTTTGATATATGAGTCTCCAAAAGTCCAGTACAGTGACTGGGTCATATGGACTCTGGACCACATACCTTTGATATATGAGTCTCCAAAAGTCCAGTACAGTGACTGGGTCATATGGACTCTGGGCCACATACCTTTGATATATGAGTCTCCAAAAGTCCAGTACAGTGACTGGGTCATATGGACTCTGGCACATACCTTTGATATATGAGTCTCCAAAAGTCCAGTACAGTGACTGGGTCATATGGACTCTGGCACATACCTTTGATATATGAGTCTCCAAAAGTCCAGTACAGTGACTGGGTCATATGGACTCTGGGCCACATACCTTTGATATATAAGTCTCCAAAAGTCCAGTACAGTGACTGGGTCATATGGACTCTGGCACATACCTTTGATATATGAGTCTCCAAAAGTCCAGTACAGTGACTGGGTCATATGGACTCTGGCACATACCTTTGATATATGAGTCTCCAAAAGTCCAGTACAGTGACTGGGTCATATGGACTCTGGCACATACCTTTGATATATGAGTCTCCAAAAGTCCAGTACAGTGACTGGGTCATATGGACTCTGGCACATACCTTTGATATATGAGGTAGCTACATACCTTTGATATATGAGTCTCCAAAAGTCCAGTACAGTGACTGGGTCATATGGACTCTGGGCCACATACCTTTGATATAAAAGTCTCCAAAAGTCCAGTACAGTGACTGGGTCATATGGACTCTGGGCCACATACCTTTGATATATGAGTCTCCAAAAGTCCAGTACAGTGACTGGGTCATATGGACTCTGGCACATACCTTTGATATATGAGTCTCCAAAAGTCCAGTACAGTGACTGGGTCATATGGACTCTGGGCCACATACCTTTGATATATGAGTCTCCAAAAGTCCAGTACAGTGACTGGGTCATATGGACTCTGGGCCACATACCTTTGATATAAAAGTCTCCAAAAGTCCAGTACAGTGACTGGGTCATATGGACTCTGGCACATACCTTTGATATATGAGTCTCCAAAAGTCCAGTACAGTGACTGGGTCATATGGACTCTGGCACATACCTTTGATATATGAGTCTCCAAAAGTCCAGTACAGTGACTGGGTCATATGGACTCTGGACCACATACCTTTGATATATGTCTCCAAAAGTCCAGTACAGTGACTGGGTCATATGGACTCTGGGCCACATACCTTTGATATATGAGTCTCCAAAAGTCCAGTACAGTGACTGGGTCATATGGACTCTGGACCACATACCTTTGATATATGAGTCTCCAAAAGTCCAGTACAGTGACTGGGTCATATGGACTCTGGGCCACATACCTTTGATATATGAGTCTCCAAAAGTCCAGTACAGTGACTGGGTCATATGGACTCTGGCACATACCTTTGATATATGAGTCTCCAAAAGTCCAGTACAGTGACTGGGTCATATGGACTCTGGGCCACATACCTTTGATATATGTCTCCAAAAGTCCAGTACAGTGACTGGGTCATATGGACTCTGGGCCACATACCTTTGATATATGAGTCTCCAAAAGTCCAGTACAGTGACTGGGTCATATGGACTCTGGACCACATACCTTTGATATATGAGTCTCCAAAAGTCCAGTACAGTGACTGGGTCATATGGACTCTGGGCCACATACCTTTGATATATGAGTCTCCAAAAGTCCAGTACAGTGACTGGGTCATATGGACTCTGGCACATACCTTTGATATATGAGTCTCCAAAAGTCCAGTACAGTGACTGGGTCATATGGACTCTGGGCCACATACCTTTGATATATAAGTCTCCAAAAGTCCAGTACAGTGACTGGGTCATATGGACTCTGGCACATACCTTTGATATATGAGTCTCCAAAAGTCCAGTACAGTAACTGGGTCATATGGACTCTGGGCAGCGATGTAGACTGGAGTTCTCTTGTAGCCCGGCATGAAGCTGGCGTTGATGTAGTTGCTGTCAGAACTGGCGTCACTGGCCAGCTTGACCAGGCTGTGGTCATATGGCAGCAGACGTGGAAACCTGTTCAGATCTTTGTTCAGGTAAGCCACGCTGGTCACAGCTTGACTGGGCTTGGTGCGTAGTTGGAGAAATTCATCACTGATGGAGATTTCATTTTCAGTTGCTTCGGGTATTTTGTAAACATTCTGGTTAGGAACTGCTGTACCATTTCTTCCTTCTTTAATGATACGTCGATTCTCTTGGAAACTGTAAGTCTTACTCCAGAATTGTTCTGGCATTTTAATAGCAGGTTGCTCTGGCAACTTCAATGACTGCTCCTTAAGGGGAGTTAAATTCCATGAGATGTTTCCCTCCCCTGATTTTGGACTCTCCTGTATCAAATCAGTAGGAGTCAGTGTAATGTTGTTATATAAAGAGATATCGTCATTAGATCTTGGGGCTTGAAACTGTTCCGATTCTTTTTTATTCACTTTTTTATGTTTCCTTCTCCAAAAAATATAACCTGCAGTCGCTGCCAGAACCAGCGCCACAAGAATCAGACAACCAACCACAATACCTATCACTTCCCCAGAACTACCCCCACCCTCCCCCATCATTTTTGGAGCTACGTAAAAAACAGTTTTGACTGGAGTAGAGAGTTTAGTAAAGCTATATTTAGTAACACCACCAAAGACACTGAGGGCAACAAAATAAACATTATAAAAAGTTGCAGGATCCAATGGTCTATTCACAATCCCACCGTACACACCCCCATCCCCAATGGTGAAATCCAAGGGTTTCGTCAACTCAGATGATTTGAGTTCTGCTGTGGTGTTTCCTACAGTAAACGCTATGGCCCGCTTTTGGCGACTGCTGGTGCTAGTCACCTTGTCAATGACGACTATGTAAGATGTAACAGGGGCTGAGGGTGACTGGACCGGCTTCAGTGTGACGGTGATGGAGGTGTTGGTTGAGCTCACTAGCACAGGGGCAGCTGGGACTGGGGGCTTGTCGTGAACTGTCAAGGAAAAAAAGAGAGTTAAATTAAAGTCAAATATTTCAGGAAACAAGAGGTTAAAAAAAAATTAAAAACTCCAGAGAAAACAAGAGGGTTAAATAAAAGTTAAATATTCCAGGAAACACAAAGATAGAATAAAAGTCAAATATTTTAGGGAACACATGAGACCAAATAAAAGTTAAATATTTTAGGGAACACAATGTTGAATAAAATTTAAATATTTTAGGGAACAAAAGAAGTCAAATATTATTATCAACAAAATTCTTATCATTTTTAAACAATTGTTTTCTTACGTGTGCTAAACACAGCTGAAGATGTGTAAAGAACTATTTGTCCAACAAACGCCTTGATGACAGTAGTATAGTTTGTATAGTAGAGCAGGCCACAAAAAAATACATTGCGATAATTTTGAGTTAAGTTCCGTGTAATGAAAGAAGCATCGGCCCCTGTTTTACCAAACTGGATCTAAAAGAGAAACACAAGGTCAGATAATTGTGTCACTCCAAGCTTATAGCTTGATAAAGGATTCAATTGTTCATTGAAGAAACTAAAAGAGTCAACAAAAGAGTCAACAAAATATGCAATACACATAACAGCATGGTTTATTATACATAATAGGGCCTGTAAAGCTATATCCTCTTTTTTAAAGCAGACTTTCCCTTCCAAATCCTACATTAGTAGAAAATGAAACCTCACCCCATTCTTGACCCCACAAAACCTCACCTGAAAACTTGTGATGATGCTAGCAGCCTCTGGTGGTACCAGCCAAGTGACATTCAAGCAAGTCTCGTTTCTAAATGCCAGAGTGACATCTGTAGATGACGTGATGCTCACATCAAGGAGGGGTGTCAGCACTGGCTCACTCATGCTGGAGAAGCTGTAGGTGGTGCTATCAGGTATGGCACTCACTGTCACAAAGTAAATCTGGTACTCTGTATACCTCTCTAGGGGCTGGAAATATAAAAATAAATCAGGTACTCTGTATACCTCTCTAGGGGCTGGAAATATAAAAATAAATCAGGTACTCTGTATACCTGTATACCTCTCTAGGGGCTGGAAATATAAAAATAAATCAGGTACTCTGTATACCTCTCTAGGGGCTGGAAATATAAAAATAAATCAGGTACTCTGTATACCTCTCTAGGGGCTGGAAATATAAAAATAAATCAGGTACTCTGTATACCTCTCTAAGGGCTGGAAATATAAAAATAAATCAGGTACTCTGTATACCTCTCTAGGGGCTGGAAATATAAAAATAAATCAGGTACTCTGTATACCTGTCTAGAGGCTGAAAATATAAAAATAAATCAGGTACTCTGTATACCTCTCTAGTGGCTGGAAATATAAAAATAAATCAGGTACTCTGTATACCTCTCTAGGGGCTGGAAAATATAAAAATAAATCAGGTAGGCCCTACTCTGTATACCTGTCTAGGGTCTGGAAATATAAAAATAAATCAGGTACTCTGTATACCTGTCTAGGGGCTGGAAATATAAAAATAAATCAGGTACTCTGTATACCTGTCTAGGGGCTGGAAATATAAAAATAAATCAGGTACTCTGTATACCTGTCTAGGTGCTGGAAATATAAAAATAAATCAGGTACTATGTATACCTCTCTAGGGGCTGGAAATATAAAAATAAATCAGGTACTCTGTATACCTGTCTAAGTGCTGGAAATATAAAAATAAATTAGGTACTCTGTATACCTGTCTAGGGGCTGGAAATATAAAAATAAATTAGATACTCTGTATACCTGTCTAGGGGGTGGAAATATAAAAATAAATCAGGTACTCTGTATACCTGTATACCTGTCTAGGGGGTGGAAATATAAAAATAAATCAGGTACTCTGTATACCTGTATACCTGTCTAAGGGCTGGAAATATAAAAATAAATCAGGTACTCTGTATACCTGTATACCTGTCTAGGGGCTGGAAATATAAAAATAAATCAGGTACTCTGTATACCTGTATACCTGTCTAGGGGCTGGAAATATAAAAATAAATCAGGTACTCTGTATACCTGTATACCTGTCTAAGGGCTGGAAATATAAAAATAAATCAGGTACTCTGTATACCTGTATACCTGTCTAGGGGCTGGAAATATAAAAATAAATCAGGTACTCTGTATACCTGTATACCTGTCTAGGGGCTGGAAATATAAAAATAAATCAGGTACTCTGTATACCTGTATACCTGTCTAGGGGCTGGAAATATAAAAATAAATCAGGTACTCTGTATACCTGTATACCTGTCTAAGGGCTGGAAATATAAAAATAAATCAGGTACTCTGTATACCTGTATACCTGTCTAAGGGCTGGAAATATAAAAATAAATCAGGTACTCTGTATACCTGTATACCTGTCTAAGGGCTGGAAATATAAAAATAAATCAGGTACTCTGTATACCTGTATACCTGTCTAGGGGCTGGAAATATAAAAATAAATCAGGTACTCTGTATACCTGTATACCTGTCTAGGGGCTGGAAATATAAAAATAAATCAGGTACTCTGTATACCTGTATACCTGTCTAGTGGCTGGAAATATAAAAATAAATCAGGTACTCTGTATACCTGTATACCTGTCTAAGGGCTGGAAATATAAAAATAAATCAGGTACTCTGTATACCTGTATACCTGTCTAAGGGCTGGAAATATAAAAATAAATCAGGTACTCTGTATACCTGTATACCTGTCTAAGGGCTGGAAATATAAAAATAAATCAGGTACTCCATATAGCTGTCTGGTGCCCAAAATATAAAAATAAGCCAGAAACTCCAACCCTACCAAGCTGAACCTTACCTTATTCCTGTAGCTGCCCCACATGGCCCCATCCCCTATTGTAAACTCTCGCCTTGTCGTCAGGTCTTGGGGCTGTAGCTCAGCTGTCTCGTAACCTTGAACTCCAGCCAACCTTCTGTTATAATATTATAAACCTTATGTTCTAGTTTTATATAGTTATTTCAAACCATTTCCTGTCAACATTTAGCATTTCATGAATCTAAGCCAACAAATCAAAATACTAGCAATGCTCAAATATAGATAAAAAGCTGCATAAAACTTAAGTGCAAGAGTAATTATGTTTTTTAAATTTTAAAAAATCTTGCCTTTTAGCCCCACCCCCTTCATGAAACAAAAAGATTCTCAATAAATGAAAATGTAAACGTCAAAGAAAAAAAAACTATTTGTGCCAATCAATCCATCACAAATCTGTAAGCCTACACAACACCAAAGTCAATGTGTGAATGATCTTACTTCTGCCTTGTGCCCATGCTCTTCACCATTAAAACATAGGATGTAATAGGGGCAGATGATGATGATGTCACAGGCTCTATGGCCACCTTGATGGTTGTTGATGTTGATGTTATCAACACAGGAGGAGGGGGAGCAGGTGGGTTGGTGTGGGCTCCTGCAGACAAGAAAATAAACCAGCTCAAGTCTGTCCAGTGGTTCAAACTAATTTCACAACATGTTGTTTTTTTTTATGTTTATGGCCAATATTTATGGTACAGTATGAAAACATGTTTTCCTATTTGAAAACAAACTATAGATCCAAAGGGGCAGATAACTGTCATTTAGAGTGACTGATTGGGTTTTGATGCAAGTATTTTTATAATGGGGTGTCAATTAAGAACCAAGAAAATGGAAAGAATAAATATGGTACTCTTTTTAAAAACATAAAAATTGACCTACTTTTATGTCTGTACAGTGATACCAACAAGTCATTTAATTAAAAAGGTTTTTACACTTATTTTGTTTTTAACATTCTAGAAATGAAATGTTAGTTGTAATTATAACCAGAGACATATAAACAGATTAAATCTAAGAATTTAATGTCAGATGTATGTACAGCCTACAGACCAGCAAATCATAACAGGTTTCATATATACGGACAACTGTTTTGGTTTTGTATTAGATATCTTTCATGTTTTCATTTAATTGTTTTATTTGAGCAAAACAGATAATCACCAGTGGAAAAAATTCCTGAGCCAAGGGCAACAACCCATGGACGAGCAAAGCCAGAGATGGTAACATTGTACTGTGAGGCAGACCTTAACTGGCAGATCTGATGGCTCCTGTCTGATGGTGCCAGAGTTTCTGATGTCTTAGGTTCACTTTTGTTTGAGATGCTCACAGATTCTATCTGTCAATAGGCAGTGAGGTGTTGGTATTCAGATGGGTATTACATTTCTAATTGAATTTCTCTCTTTAAATGAATAACAGGAATATTAACCATAAAAGGCTAGGCCATATAATTTTTAATATGCTGGCAAAATGATATATGTATAATTAAATAAAATGGTGTAAGCACATTACATAAAATGATGTTTACACATTATATTACATTGATATAAGCACATTACATAGAATGATGTAAGCACATTACATAAAATGATGTATGCACATTACATTACATTGATGTATGCACATTATGTTGAACGATGTATGCACATTACATAAAATGATGTATGCACGTTACATTGAATGACGTAAGCACATTAAATTGAATGATGTAAGTACATTACATTGAATGATGTAAGGACACTGGCCATTTGGTCAGGTGAAGACCAGGCGACCTCGAGACAGGTGACTGTACGTGAGATTTGGGTCACAGATAGGGTTAGTGGCTTGTTAGCTTCATACGGGGCAGCAAATGCTGACGTGGTGGTCCAGTTGTACGTGGTGCTGTCATTTGTTACAAACATAGACACCATGTGTATGTTGTAGAACATATTGGCATCCAGTGCCTGCAAAGAAAGAAGTGTCAACAACAATTTAAAAATTACAAACAAATTTTGTGATTTTCTGGAAATAATGTTAAATAAAATAGAAGAAAACTGGACTTTTTAAAGCTGTTCTTTTGGCATTTCAGTTATCAACTTTTTCATCAAAAATATATGTTATATATATCCAAACTTAAGTAAATTTAGTTTTAGTTTAACCTTTATTTATTACATTTCAGCATTTTTGTTACAATAATAACATGTGTATCATAAATCTAATCTTGTACTCTCTTCATTATTTTATGTAGATAAATTATATTTCATAATCACAACCACCTAAATGTTTTAATACTTCTACACTTCACTTTTCTTTTTCAGTTACCTTTGTCTTGGCGTTTTAGAAAATAATAGCCAAGAGTTACAGAAAACAAAAGTAGGCTACCTACATGAAAACATCAAGCTGTACCTCAGTTCAAATCAGCTCACCTTGTTGAGATACTGGCCATAGGTCTTCCCATCTCCCACTACAAATGTCTCCTGTTTGGTGAAGGCGTCAGTCAGGTACTCAGTTGCTACATAACCGGGCACACCTGCTTCAGGTCTAAAGAAATCATGGAACATTCTGATCTACTGGCATTCATTTTAATTATCACAGTTATTACAGTTTTTATTGGCTCTAGGTAGTTTTAGAAAAGTTATGAAAATTTAGTAAATAATGACAGTTCTAACATAAATAAGAAACTTAATATGTTGAAATTAAACTCTTTTATAAATATTTGACTAAATCAAAGAAAGTAAAATTTATTATGTTTTATTATATAAATAAATCTAACATGCTCAGTACTGTATGATGTGGATTATAATTGCTAACAACAAAGCCATTAATGTAAACTCAGTCTGTTTACCTTGTAGTGGCAGTTGTCAGCTTTTCAACCTTGATTTGGTACTGGGTAATCCTCACAGCAGGGGAAGTAACTGGCCTAATGTTGACTGTAATTGTTGTGTAATCAGAGCGTAGAAATGTTGGTGGTTCAGGGGCTGGTGGTACCGGCTGACGCTCTGTGGAGCAGGGGTGAGCACAAATAGAGGTTGGAGAACTAAAAATTGTTTCAGGAAAAACACAAGATGATTCAGATGCCAATCTAAAAAACTATAACAAGAAAATATTTTTAAATATTTTTTGTCTTTAAATTAACTGGTTTAATTGTTAGATAAATTTTGAAGCAAACTGAAAAAACAGTTCTCTTAATAAAGCTATTGTAGGCCCATATTTCAATTACTTATTAATAACTTTATAATTGTATAAAAAATATCAATAATAAATAATAATTTTACCTGTTTTGAAAGTCAAATTGAAATAGCTGACCACCCAAGAACCACCAAATCCTCTCAGGGTCATGACATAATCTGTGCCTGACTTCAGCTGACAAGTGCTGTACTCACTCACAGCTGGGCTTAAGGTGACAGAGGGTAGCTGCTGCTGTATATTTGATGTTGATGACATTTGGATCTACATAAGAAAATTTGATGACATTTGGATCCACCAAAGAAAATTTGATGACATTTGGATCTACATAAGAAAATGTGATGACATTTGGATCTGCATAAGAAAATTTTATGACATTTGGATCTACATAAGAAAATTTGATGATATTTGGATCCACCAAAGAAAATTTGATGACATTTGGATCTGCATAAGAAAATTTTATGATATTTGGATCTACCAAAGAAAATTTGATAACTGTAAAATTTGGATCTTCAAAGTTTGGGTCTACTAAAGAAAATTTGATGACTGCAAAGTTTGGATCTACTAAAGAAAAGTTGGTGACCGTGGATGTATAATATGGCTGACAGTGCTCATAAAAGTGTGATAAAAGTAAACCAAAATCTAAATACAGTATTTTAACAACTTAAAAAAGAAAAATTTTAAATTTTAACCCTAAAATCAAATGAACACATAAATTAAATTTATAAAACCAATATCCAAGGGAGCTAAACGATTTTCCTGAAACTAATCATTGAACTTGAGTAACAGCTAAATTTAACTTATACACAAAAGTACATCTCATTTTTATATTCTTACCATGTATTTTGTCAATATGAGCTTATATTCAGCTGGAGGTAGCCATGTTAGATTAACACACATTGATGAAGTTGAAAATGAAACTAATGTTAAATTCCTAGCAGCGTCTCGTTCATAAGGCACAGTAAACACTGGCTGTGGTAACTGGGATGAATTTGTTTTTGCACTGCTGCCAACTGTGCTCACAACAACAAAATAAACCATGTAGTATTGATTGGTCTGTAGCACCTAGAGTAAAAATAAAATAGGTTCTAAAAGTGAAAAAATAAATAAAGCATAATTATAATAATTATTGACTTTTCTCTGAAAATATTGTCAAACTATTCAATTGTTTACATGGCAGAGAAAGGGGAGAGAAGCACTGACTTGACAGAGCCACTTTGTCAACTTGAGAGTCTGAAGTTTCGGCCTGACTGGCCATGACTCACAGTTTCAAATATTAAAATATTTGTTAAAGCTTGATGTAAACCACTTAACCATGTAGAGAACATTCTTTACAACCCTGTGCTTGGCACTCCACCCCACCCCCTACATAGCCATAATTATATTTACTTAACTGGTGTTCTATAATGTGTGTTTAATTTATTAACCACAATCACAAACCACCAGTCACTTCTTCATTTGTCCTAGTCAACATCCAATTCAGGAGGAATATAAGTCAGGAAGTAACGTAAAAACAACCTATCAGCCAGAATATGATTGGCTAAAACATGCACCGCCAACCAAGCCACTCACCTGATTGGTTATACCTCCCCACACCTTCCCATCTCCCACTGTGAACTCACGTGTAGAGTTGAAAGCACTGGCTTGTAGCTGAGCACTCAAATAACCGTTGACCCCAGCCTCTCTCCTAACACAAAAATAGTTTAAGTAAGAAACTTAAAACAGTTTGTAAATTTAATATATGCATACACTGCAGTATTGAAATTTCACATTTTTTATTTTGTTTAAAACACATAATAATCATTTCACATTGCACACATTTTGTTTCAACTTAGAAAAAACTTTTTGTTTGTGTAAGGGGTATAATTAAGTTAGGTTTTAGATAAATAATACAGATCTTTTAGTGCTTACGTTTATGGTTAATATTGAGATATCCTTTTATGACCTAGAGTTAATTTGAGATGTTGACATTATGCTAATTTTCTAGAGTGTTTTATAGGCACCAGGTGTTGCTGTAAGTCATTATAAATAAAAAGGCCAGCTTATCCTAAAATTCAAAAATAGGAGCTAACCTCTTCCTGACCGCCATGTTAATTTTCTCAACCATGATCTGGTAGAGTGAGAGGGGAGATGAATAGGCCACAACTGGTTCAAGTCTCACAGTCAAAGATGTGCTGGTAGACCTCAGGTAGACAGGCTCAGGTGGGGCAGGTGGGGGTTTATGTTCAGCTGTTTGAGGTAAAACATTTGACAGTGATATTATATCTATCTTTCATGTTAAGCAAAGTTTGAAAAATATTTTAAAGCAGATGTGGTAATATACAAAATGCACAATTTCTCTTTTTTAAATAAAATTTTAAAAATATAAATGTTATTTCATTCAATACCCCAGCAATAAAGTATTAATCAACCCTCAAATTAAACAATAATTTCATGAAAGCTATCTGTAAATAAAAAGCCTAAATATTTGTACAAAGCCACTGATACATCAAGAATAAATCAAGACCTTGCCTGTAGTAAAATTTCTGACACCAATGGTCATCAAGGTACCACTGCTGTAGGCTGTTATCTTGATTGTGTACAGTGTGGAGGGTACAAGGCCACAAGTGTACACACTTGTTTGGTACACACTGAGGTCAGAGGTCAGGTTTATTTTCTCAAGCGCCATCTGTTGGCAGACAAATTAAATTTTGGCGAACATGAATTTATTTCCATTTGTTTAACTAACATTTGTGTTATTATTTTATACAGGCAAAATATTTTATGCTTTTATCTTACTTTATAGACCACTTTAAGATTAAAACATCATGTTTATTTGTTTCTAGTTTCTGGTTTAAGTAACTAGATAAACAATCTACTATTTAATTCCAAGCAGCCAAAAATATTTTTCATTTAGACAAAGTGGATATTGTATTTCCTGATGTATTTTTACAAAGTGTAGATTGTATTTCCTGATGTATTTTTACAAAGTGTAGATTGTATTTACTGATGTATTTCTAACATCCTTAGCTTAGTGTAAGGACAGCATTAAGATTTTTACTGACAAGAAAATAATGAAACAAAACTACCTTGTATGTCCATGTGTTTAGCCTTGAACTTGGTGGAGTCCAGGTAAATCCAACACAATCAGCTGTTAGGTTGGCCAGATCAATTGTGATCAGCTCCACTGTGAGGATTTGTTTACTGGACCCGTATGGTCCTGTGAAGTTGTTTTCTATAGCACAAACCTAAAATATATTTGGTTGATGCTAAAACATGTCAATTGGTTAGGGTTAAGGTTTAATATTTTTTATTTACACAGTGCAACAATATAATACAATTAAAAAATTGTCCTAAGCGAATACAATAAAATATACTGATCTTAGCAAATATAATAAAGTATAGGCTTCTGTCCTTAGCATATATAATAAAATAGACTGTCCTTACCAAATAAAATAATATTAATTTAGCTTAGCAGATCTCAAAACTGCAAGCTAGCAATATACAGTAATATAACATGTCATTAGCAGCATAGTATATGACATTTTGTTTTACACTAATTGGCAAGGAGAAAATTAACATACATGAAACTAACATGGAACTAATGTTAAATTAATATTAAATTAAAAAGAAATTTTTATTATACTACATAAACTAATACTAAACTGATAATACAAAAACTAGATGGCTACCTTGAAGTAATAAGTTGTGTTAGCAGTAAGACCGTCAATGGTTAAATTTCCGCTACTTGAAGTTCTCACACTAGTGTAGCTGGTGAACTGGGAGCTCTGGCTGTAGGCTATCTGATACACAAGCTGACCAGTGGTCAAGGCAGTTTGGTACATTAGCTGTACACTTGAGTAGGTCGAGGTCAAATTTTTGATCTCAATACTGTCTGGTCCTGGTGGACAATCAACAATCAACATTTGTTTAGCAACTAGACAATCAACAATTGTTTAGCAACTAGGCAATCAACATTTGTTTAGAAACTAGACAATCAACAATCAACATTTGTTTAATTATTAGACAATCAACAATCAACATTTGTTTAGAAACTAGACAATCAACATTTGTTTAGAAACGAGGCAATCAACATTTGTTTAGCAACTAGACAATCAACAATCAACATTTGTTTAGAAACTAGACAATCAACATTTGTTTAGAAACTAGACAATCAACATTTGTTTAGAAACTAGACAATCAACATTTGTTTAGAAACTAGACAATCAACATTTGTTTAGAAACTAGACAATCAACATTTGTTTAGAAACTAGACAATCAACATTTGTTTAGCAACTAGGCAATCAACATTTGTTTAGAAACTAGACAATCAACAATCAACATTTGTTTAATTATTAGACAATCAACAATCAACATTTGTTTAGAAACTAGACAATCAACATTTGTTTAGAAACTAGACAATCAACATTTGTTTAGAAAATAGACAATCAACAATCAACATTTGTTTAATTATTGGACAATCAACAATCAACATTTGTTTAGCAACTAGACAATCAACAATCAACATTTATTTAGCAAATAGACAATCAACAATCAACATTTATTTAGAAACTAGACAATGAAAAAATTAAAACTGAGACAGTAAAAAGACCATCTAGTATTCCTTACAAATCAGCTTGAAAAAAATACAATAAAATATTATTTTTTTTTTGTAATCACACTTTCCATACAATCTCTGAAACAAACAACTATAATGCAGTAGGCATATGCAGTGGCGTAGCAAGGTCGGGTGTCACCCGGTGCGGCAGTTAATGGTGTCACCCCCCAGAGGCGTAGTGACCCTTCCTGGGGACAAACTTTCAAATTTTCGATTTACACCCCCCCTCAAACTTTCAATTTGCACCCCCCCCCCCTCAAGTTTTTCTCTATATATTTTGCTATTTTTTGCCTTGGTGTCACCCCCCTAAATGGTGTCACCCGTTACGGCTCTGGGCATATGCCTATACATATCCAATTAAACTGAAATTAAATGCTGTATTACAATTACCCAGTTGAAGTGTTTGAACATTGACCTCACTGTAAGGACCTTGACCTACTTCATTCACTGCTGAAACCCTGGCTGTGTAGTTCATGTTACTTTTCAAAGTGTCCCAGGAATATCTGTTACCATGGACATTCTCAGCTAGGAAACCACTCTGAGGGGAGTTGGTTATGGAAAGCTTCACATAGTAGAACAAGTCAGTACCTGTGTGCGAAAGTAATTTCAGTTACATACAATCTCACACAGTAATAAATTAAAAGTAATACAAGTCACCTACAGTCTACCACAGTAATACATTAAAAGTATTACATTAGAATAATTCAAGTTACATACAATTTTACACAGTAATAAATTAAAAGTTATTAAAGTTAAAAACAACAGACCACATCATATTACATTAAAAGAAGTTTGTGTGTCATACAATCTACTATACTATGTTAAATTTGAAAGCAGAATAAGGATTGTTGAAACAATTTAAACTACTACAAACCCTAACTAATAGTTAACGTTGGTCAGACAGAATAGCCATCCCATTGGAGATTTAATTTGTGTTGAAAATTAGATCTTAATAAAAAAATACAGTTAGACCTTGTGGTGTACCCTGTATCTACTTTTCTAAAGTTTGATAAAGATTCCTCTTTAGACCTAGCAATACATTGGGCAGATAACTGGAGTTCATATGTTTCTTGACCTCGGCATGGTATGGTTATCACTTTACCCAGTGGCCTTTACTATCCCCATGCAATCAAACAATGTTTCCGCGTCTTCTAGTTAACAAGAGCTACAACCAAGTTAGACAACCTTTTCTCTCTGGACAGCTGAGCTCAGTCCATGTGATCTCTACTGAACCTTTGGTTACTTGAACAACAGATAGAGTCACTTGACCTGTGGGAGCTGTAGAATAACATAACAAATAGTGTTTAGTGGCGGTTAGTCAGTGGTGGTCATTGTTTAGTGTTAGTGGTGGTCATTGTTTAGTGTTAGTTGGTCAGTGGTGGTCATTGTTTAGTGTTGGGCAGTGGTGGTCATTGTTTAGTGTTGGACAGTGGTCATTGTTTAGTGTTAGTGGTGGTCATTGTTTAGTGTTAGTGGTGGTCATTGTTTAATGTTGGACAGTGGTGGTCATTGTTTAGTGTTGGACAGTGGTGGTCATTGTTTAGTGTTAGTGGTGGTCATTGTTTAGTGTTGGACAGTGGTCATTGTTTAGTGTTAGTGGTGGTCATTGTTTAGTGTTGGACAGTGGTCATTGTTTAGTGTTAGTGGTGGTCATTGTTTAGTGTTGGACAGTGGTGGTTATTGTTTAGTGTTGGACAGTGGTGGTCATTGTTTAGTGTTGGACAGTGGTGGTCATTGTTTAGTGTTGGACAGTGGTGGTCATTGTTTAGTGTTGGACAGTGGTCATTGTTTAGTGTTAGTGGTGGTCATTGTTTAGTGTTGGACAGTGGTGGTCATTGTTTAGTGTTGGACAGTGGTGGTCATTGTTTAGTGTTGGACAGTGGTTGTAATTGTTTAGTGTTGGATAGTGGTCATTGTTTAGTGTTAGTGGTGGTCATTGTTTAGTGTTGGACAGTGGTCATTGTTTAGTGTTAGTGGTGGTCATTGTTTAGTGTTAGTGGTGGTCATTGTTTAATGTTGGACAGTGGTGGTCATTGTTTAGTGTTGGGCAGTGGTGGTCATTGTTTAGTGTTGGACAGTGGTGGTCATTGTTTAGTGTTGGACAGTGGTGGTCATTGTTTAGTGTTGGACAGTGGTGGTCATTGTTTAGTGTTAGTGGTGGTCATTGTTTAGTGTTGGACAGTGGTCATTTTTTAGTGTTAGTGGTGGTCATTGTTTAGTGTTGGACAGTGGTCATTGTTTAGTGTTAGTGGTGGTCATTGTTTAGTGTTGGACAGTGGTGGTCATTGTTTAGTGTTGGACAGTGGTGGTCATTGTTTAGTGTTGGACAGTGGTGGTCATTGTTTAGTGTTAGTGGTGGTCATTGTTTAGTGTTGGACAGTGGTCATTGTTTAGTGTTAGTGGTGGTCATTGTTTAGTGTTGGACAGTGGTGGTCATTGTTTAGTGTTGGACAGTGGTGGTCATTGTTTAGTGTTGGACAGTGGTTGTAATTGTTTAGTGTTGGATAGTGGTCATTGTTTAGTGTTAGTGGTGGTCATTGTTTAGTGTTGGACAGTGGTCATTGTTTAGTGTTAGTGGTGGTCATTGTTTAGTGTTAGTGATGGTCATTGTTTAGTGTTGGACAGTGGTCATTGTTTAGTGTTAGTGGTGGTCATTGTTTAGTGTTAGTGGTGGTCATTGTTTAATGTTGGACAGTGGTGGTCATTGTTTAGTGTTGGGCAGTGGTGGTCATTGTTTAGTGTTGGACAGTGGTGGTCATTGTTTAGTGTTGGATAGTGGTCATTGTTTAGTGTTAGTGGTGGTCATTGTTTAGTGTTAGTGGTGGTCATTGTTTAATGTTGGACAGTGGTGGTCATTGTTTAGTGTTGGACAATAGCGTTCACAGAGTCAAATATTTTCCTATTAACCTGCCATATGCTGATCATTGACATTTTTTCAGTACAAGAAAAAAAAATTAGCACTGACCAACAGCTCTGGTCATCACGACCTGTGAGACCACATCCTGTAGAGTTGACCCGGTCAGCTTGACCTGCAGGCTCACGTTGTACCTGCTGTAGCTCCTCAAGTTGTTGACTGGGATGGTGGCGGGCTTGGTCGTCACAGGTCCAATCTTTAAGTACAACATTTTTTTGTTTAAAGGTTAGCCTACCGTTGTTCAACCATCGCAAAGTTTACAGTTGTTCAACCATTCATTGTAAATTTTATTGTTATTCAACCATTTCAAAGTTTACTATTGTTTAGCTTTTGAAAGTTTACCAAAAATCCTAGATCTATTTCCCTTATGCCTTATTTATTTCTTATTGTTATTGGTGTAGGTGGGTCAAACATGGGAAAAGTTTACTATGTATTTTTCAACCTTTTTTAGAATATAAAAGTTTAATATCGTAATTCTTATAGGAAGTCTACAATGTTTAATCTTTGAAAATTGTAGGCTACTAATATAAGCATACTTTTAATGTAGGCCTACTTGAAGAACTCACCACTTCTTGAGGTCCAGTTGCGTTATCACAGTAACCGTTACCTAGCAACTGAGTTGAGACGGTGACGTTGAAGTCACGTGACTGGTACTGGGTCAGGGGTGTCCACGTGACAGACAGTCTAGTGCTGTCAATCGGGGTCACGGTGACATTACTCAACAGCTGGGCATCTGTGAACAGAATATTGTATTACTACTATGAACTTTCAGTAATTAATGTCATTTGATTTTAGACCGGTTTTTCCATCAACCCTCTCTATAGTGACTTTACAGCTTTCTACTCAAGTACACACAACCCCAATAATTCTAGCATAAAGTTATCCTAGATTCTATATTATGTTTTTTTCCCTAATTTTTTTTTCTTTTTTCTTCTTCTTCGTTCTTAAATTTTTAGTGTTGGGAGGGATCGAGCCTTATCTGCCAGAGCAAACCCTCGAGTTCAGAGACTTTTTTTTTCGAATTTATCAACCATGAGCTTTGCCGACTCGACCATGCTTCCATCACAATTAAGGATTACGTGTCAACTGGTTATGCGCCATTGAGACCATTGACTCCGATTTCAGCCTGCTTTTCTTTTTGGATTTGCTTCCATAGCCTTTGTCCAACCAAGAACAAACTACAAGGCAGCAGTTGTTTGATTTTGGAGTTGTCTCTCCTAGAAGAGTGGCTGTCCCCAGCTAACGAGCCTCATCTGCCCGTTTTTTCTTTTAAAAAAGACGTATAGATCTATCTGTTATACCACAATATGCCTTGAACCCCATCACCATTGTTACATATTGTAGCACGTCTGAAAAGTAGTAGGCCAATGCCCCACCAAATCTGACCCACCCAGTCTGCTCAACCAGTCTGCCCCACCCATCAATTGTTTCAGAAATTTTTCACCGGAAGTTGAATCTTTCGGGGGAGCACACTTATTTACCGAGGGAAATTGGTGGGGGTGGTGTACACTGTTGCAAGTAAATTTTATATTCGAATTATATTTTATTTAAATTTCTTCTTGTAGTGCACCCCCCCCCCCCCCATAGAATTATTGGGGTTGGGTAGAAAGCTGTAAAGTCACTATAGAGAGGGTTGATGAATAAACAGTCTAAAATCAGATGACATAAAATGGATGAAATGTGCGACGTAATTTTTGACCCCCTCCCCCCATTCCCCTCTTCCCACTAAATAAAGGAGTAGGGCCTACTTTGTTTTCTACTTTGTTTTTCGTATAAGCCATCATGTGCTATAACTGTGACCATGTGACTCTGTAAAACTTCAATGTGCGCGGGATAGAGCCACGACTTTACGGCCCTATTTGCTGATACGTCCCAATTTCACCCTTTTCAGTAAAATCTTAAATGCATGTTTCATTTCCTCTTTCTTATAACCTTTTTTAGGTGCCGGGGGTTAACTTTTGGGGGGAGGGGGTGCTATCAGAACCCCCTTTTTTTATAGATTTAGAGCAAAATTATCACACATCACTTGTATGGGGAGGGGGGGGGGGGGTCCGTAATTTTGTGACGGTGTGTGATGAGGGGGAGTTCAGATGATGTGACGTCAAACTTTCGCATTATAAAAAAGCAATGTTACAAAACGAATTTTAGCCGTTATTTCGCGTTTTAGAAAACTGTTTTAATAAATTGTAATAGGAATTATTAAAATACTCTATTTTGACAGAGTTGTGACAAGATTTTGGAAAAATATCGTATTTTAAGAAAAATTCAACTGCAATTTTGAAGGGGGCTGTAGGCTGAGGTGTGACGTCATTTGAGGGGGGGGGTCTGGCTTTTTGTGACGGTGTGTGACGGAGGGGAGGGGAGTGGAGGTAAAAATAGTCACAAAAAAACGTGACGTTATTTATGGATGATCCCTTTGCAGAAAGTCTATATTCTTTTTTAAATCAACTTAATTTATATAGAACTAGATGCAAAATTATCACACTGCTGTGCAGAGCATTATTTTTCAAAAAAATAGTTGTTTAAAAAAATCAACTTAAACTTACTTAAATCTGCTACACTGTAGAGGCAGACGACCAAGAAAACAAACAACTGTTCCATCATTTCCTGCACGTGCCCCTGGGTTAATGACGTCACATTTCAAGTTGACTCACACGACGCCATCAAAGTAAAGCCTAGAGAACAATATAAAGTAGATCGTGTCACGTCTGCAAACACTCGTGGGCGCTAAAAGACATTCATAAACAGACGGCACAAAAACACGTTCAAGCATATCACTGTATACGGGCATATCACTGCATAGCCGGCGCTTTCGATTTGAGGATCGATTCTTTCACGCAAGACCCAGCAGGAATATTTTTAGTGTTAACTACAATCAAAAGGTCTGGCTTTTGTGGTAAATGATCTAGACCTTCTACCTTTCATGCATACATTAGGCGGGTCTAAACCACACTCCCTCCACACATACACTGAGAACGCCTAAACCACAATCCCTCCACGCATATACTACGTCTAAACCACACTCCCTCCACGCATACACATAGTGCGTCGAAACCACACTCCCACCACGCATAACCTAGTGCGTCTAAACCACACTCCATCCACGCATACATTGTGAAAGTCTAAACCACACTTCTCCACGCATACACCTAGTGCGTCTAAACCACACTCCCACCACGCATACACCTAGTGCGTCTAAACCACACTCCCTCCACGCATACACCTAGTGCGTCTAAACCACACTCCCACCACGCATACACCTAGTGCGTCTAAACCACACTCCCTCCACGCATACACCTAGTGCGTCTAAACCACACTTCTCCGCGCATACACCTAGTGCGTCTAAACCACACTCCCACCACGCATACACCTAGTGCGTCTAAACCACACTCCCACCACGCATACACCTAGTGCGTCTAAACCACACTCCATCCACGCATACATTGTGAAAGTCTAAACCACACTTCTCCACGCATACTCCTAGTGCGTCTAAACCACACTCCCACCACGCATACACCTAGTGCGTCTAAACCACACTCCCACCACGCATACACCTAGTGCGTCTAAACCACACTCCCTCCACGCATACACCTAGTGCGTCTAAACCACACTCCCACCACGCATACACATAGTGCGTCGAAACCACACTCCCACCACGCATAACCTAGTGCGTCTAAACCACACTCCATCCACGCATACATTGTGAAAGTCTAAACCACACTTCTCCACGCATACACCTAGTGCGTCTAAACCACACTCCCACCACGCATACACCTAGTGCGTCGAAACCACACTCCCACCACGCATACACCTAGTGCGTCTAAACCACACTCCATCCACGCATACATTGTGAAAGTCTAAACCACACTTCTCCACGCATACACCTAGTGCGTCTAAACCACACTCCCACCACGCATACACCTAGTGCGTCTAAACCACACTCCCTCCACGCATACACCTAGTGCGTCTAAACCACACTCCCACCACGCATACACCTAGTGCGTCTAAACCACACTCCCTCCACGCATACACCTAGTGCGTCTAAACCACACTCCCTCCACGCATACACCTAGTGCGTCTAAACCACACTTCTCCGCGCATACACCTAGTTCGTCTAAACCACACTCCCACCACGCATACACCTAGTGCGTCTAAACCACACTCCCTCCACGCATACACCTAGTGCGTCTAAACCACACTCCCACCACGCATACACCTAGTGCGTCTAAACCACACTCCCTCCACGCATACACCTAGTGCGTCTAAACCACACACCCTCCACGCATACACTGAGAACGTCTAAACCACACTCCCTCCACGCATACACCTAGTGCGTCTAAACCACACACCCTCCACGCATACACTGAGAACGCCTAAACCACAATCCCTCCACGCATACACTGAGAACGCCTAAACCACAATCCCTCCACGCATATACTACGTCTAAACCACACTCCCACCACGCATACACCTAGTGCGTCTAAACCACACTCCCACCACGCATACACCTAGTGCGTCTAAACCACACTCCCTCCACACATACACTGAGAACGCCTAAACCACAATCCCTCCACGCATATACTACGTCTAAACCACACTCCCTCCACGCATACACTGAGTGCGTTTAAACCCCACCCCTCCCCACACACTGAGAGGTGCCATCACCGCCACCCTCCATACAACACAAGCGCTAGTACACGCACACTCAATCTAAGGCTTTAAAAATTTGAAAAACTTTAAAAACAAAAAGTAGATTACAAACATATCGATACCCGCATCCATTAAATCGATCTGACCCCCCCCCCCTTTCAACCCCAACACCCCCCCCCCCCCCCCACTCCACACCTCACCCTGCTGATGCCCTTTGTAAAATTTGCTGCAACTACCAGCAATTGCGGTACAGCTTATGATGAAGTACAAAACTTTAATACTAGAACAATTCCAACGGTTATTCATTTTCCAGGAAAACGTCCGGTCGATATTTCTATTTATATTCTGGTTGCTAGGCGTGTCGTATAAACAAACTTCTTCAAACTGGTTCCTTATCAAGGTCAGGTTTGGTCAAACTAGCAACTTCACGTTACTTAGTTGGTGTTGGCTTTTATTTCTTTACGGTACCCGACAATGGACTCTTCCAATTCGTGGGTAGCGGCGGGTACAATTCTAGGGCCGTCTTAGTTCATGGGTCTCAAGCGCCCTGCTGTCATTGTCCCAATATCAATCCCTATAAGCGCTATCAAAGCTCCATTCCCCAGCGGCTCTATCTTTAGTAACTCATCAAGTCAAATGCAACTTTTTGGACAGTTTTCAGGTTATAGTGTTGCTGGGATAATGCGGGGTGCGGGCTCACCTTGTACCCCACGGGCTATAGATTGCCAGGCTAGAGCTTAGGCTAGAGTTGGTCTCCAAGAGGTGGGGGGGGGGGGGTATCATCTTTTACCCCACGGTACACCAAGGCTAGAGTTGTTCTCCGTATGTTGCAAGAGTTCAAAACCAGTTAGTCTAGTCAATAACACTATCAAAATTAATCATTCACGACGTTTTTGTTCAAGCGCCTTACGGTAACAAGACATAAATTATACAGTTACAAGATATACAGTTTAAAGTAACAAGACACAATTACAGTAACGAGACATACATTTTACAGTAACAAGACATACATTTTAGAGTAACAAGACATAGAATTTTAAAATTTCACAGTAACAAGACTTACAGTTTAAAGTAACAAGACATAAATGTTACAGTACCAAGACATAAATGTTACAGTACCAAGACATAAATTTTACAGTACCAAGACATACATTTAATTTTACAGTAACATAACTAAAACGTTAAGAGAGAAACAACTCAGCTGGCATATGACATGTGACATCACATTTCACCCGCCATGACAAGTCCCAGCCCATATCAAACGGCGCGGTGTCGATAAATGAGAATAAAATACCGATCAATACATAATCGATGGTTATCGATTTTTTCAAGTTGACGAAATAACAATCCATAAAGTGAACATTTCTAAGAATTTTTTTTGTTTCGAAAACATTAAAGTAATGTAGCTGCTTTTGGTTTAATTTTGTCTTTGTTTCGTTCGTGTTTTTGAATCTTCGTGTTTTCGTTGTATGTCTGCTGTCGATTGGGGGTATGAGTGGGAATCGGCTGTGAATGGGGGTGGAAGGGAGGGGTGGGGGGCGTCTTCTTTCTAAAGATTTACAACGGATAAATTGAAAACACCTTTGTGTGTGTGTGGGGGGGGGGGAGGGGGGTTTGCACTTATAATAAAAGACGGTATGAATGAAGTTCAGTTGTTGTTTTAGAAAATTGGGTGTAGGCCTAATGCTCTAGGAATATAGACCTGGGCATGACTATTTAACCAGAGGACACAGTGTTAAAGTAGGGGTCATCCGTATTGTGTTTATTGCATTTGTAGGAATTACGTGTTCAGAAGTGACCTTTATTGGCAAGGTACCCGATATAGTTGAGTTAGCGAGATGCCGTCAGTTACCCATTAGAAATAGGCACAAAAGTTCAAATAATTGTTTAAACAACAAAATAAACCCTCGAACCAATGACGACAAAAATAAAGACCTAGCACAAAAGAAAAAAAAACATGCAACATTAAGAAGAGACAACACATGTTCCTATAATCAAAAGTTGACTCCAGTGAGGCATGACCTGGTGCTTAAGTCCCGTAAAACACCATGGTGATCAGAAAAATGCGCATACAGAAAAATGCGCATACAGAAAAATGCGCATACAGAAAAATGCGCAAAAAAAATTTCGCTCACAGAAGAATGCGGAAAAAAAGAAATTCCGCTCACCGAATAATGCGCACATAAAAAAAAGTCATACTCAGAAAATTCCACATACTGATTGCATGTGTCTGTGTGTAATACATAGACATGTATTTAATTCTCATTTCTTTAAATTTTAGATTTATGTTTGTTTATCTTTTGTTTTTATAGCTTTTCAGGGCTGTGACAGGTACGGCTATAGTAAAACACCCTCGACATGATGACATTGGGCAGACGAGTTAAAAGCCTCTAACATGACACAAGGAATGAACTGATCAGATCTTTCGAAATTTAAAAAGTCCAAGAGAGAGACTGTCCAGAAGAAGACCAAACATAACTTTCATATTTTTAAAAATTACTTTAAATTTTTAAAAAAAATTCTTTTATTTTCAATTGAATAACAAATAGGCCTACATCAACGTAATTCAAACATTTACAAAAAGTTTCAATGCAATAAAAAAAGGTGAACAATGTTTTGTCGATCAAAGCATTCCGATGAAGGTAATTAAACATATAGAAATAAATGAAATTGTTGCTCTGATAGTCTTGAATGTTTGTTCAGTTTTGTTAAGAATTTGTTACAATATGGACAGCGTGGGAAAATATTGGACACTTTATTAGCAATAAAAAACATGAAATTCAATATGTATGTTAAGGGCAAGAAAATGTTCACACTTTATGAGAATTTATTTTCATTTTCATCTTGCCTTCCCTCTCGTACATTTACATGATCCTAAATCGTGATAGGACCCATAAAAAACTACCCACGCCAAAGTATAGTACATACATTTTGTTTGTTACGCTTTGAAACTGAAACTAATCCCAATGAATTGTTGTATTGGAAACAGTGCGTCGATTCTGCACATAGCAACAACCGGCATCACCGAGCATGTTAGTACAAGTCCAGCATTGATCTCCCTTAGTTCGCCAGACTAACACATTGATTATCTCCCTGTGGATGGGGAGTTCTTTGATTCGTGGTCAAGACGGTACCAGGCGAGCACTGTAAAGGTAGACGTGGAGATTCTCACACCTGTTGATAAAGATGCTGCACCTGGCTTTCGTCACCACCTTTAGTCTATATATGACGTCATATTCTCAAGGTAAATATCTACAGTTTACTGTGTCTTTTAGTTTACTTACAATTAGAATTAATGGCTCGTGTAAGGTTTGTAGGTTACAACACAAAATCCTCACATCTTTTACCCGAACGTTTAGTACATAATCTAACAGGTTTATATGCAAAGTAACATTTATGCTAACCATTCATACCAACTAGTCATATAAAAACATATAAATAAAATTCAGTCAACTTTTTTATGCAACCATTGGACACGGAAGATATTTAAGAAAATGCTACCAGAATTTAGTGCTATATAAGTCTTTGATTTTAATACTGCAGATTAAAAAAAAATGAAAAATATCCACGACCGCTACCCACATCAACATCCCATATGGACAATTTGTACTTGAACCTACGTAAGCTTCCCGGAAGTTTTAAGTGCCCTCTCCCCGAACCCCGGTGAAAAAATTTCTTAAAGTAATACATACTTAAAGCATGTCTACTATTATCAGAATTATTTTTTTGCGAACATTAGTGTCCACACTAGATGTCATGTCCCACACTAGATGACATAAGTCCCACACTAGATGTCATGTCCCACACTAGATGTCATGTCCCACACTAGATGTCATGTCCCACACTAGATGTCATGTCCCACACTAGATGACATAAGTCCCACACTAGATGTCATGTCCCACACTAGATGACATAAGTCCCACACTAGATGTCATGTCCCACACTAGATGTCATGTCCCACACTAGATGTCATGTCCCACACTAGATGTCATGTCCCACACTAGATGTCATGTCCCACACTAGATGACATAAGTCCCACACTAGATGTCATGTCCCACACTAGATGTCATGTCCCACACTAGATGTCATGTCCCACACTAGATGTCATGTCCCACACTAGATGTCATGTCCCACACTTGATGACATAAGTCCCACACTAGATGTCATGTCCCACACTAGATGTCATGTCCCACACTAGATGACATAAGTCCCACACTAGATGTCATGTCCCATACTAGATGACATAATTCCCACACTGGATTACATAAGTCCCACACTTCCACTTCAATGCACTTTTATTTTTGCTAAGTTTAAATACATTTTTAAATTGATTTTGAAAAAGTCAAACAATTAAGTCAAAACCTTAGAACAAGGTATTATGTGGAAAGTCAATTTGATAATTTTTAGGTTATAAACTAGACTGATAGATTTTACACAGACAGATTGATGGACAGGAGAGTTTCATGTTAGACAACATGATACAAAACTAGCTCCAGGTTGTTAAAATTATTTCCCCTGAGTCCAGTGGTTCTTAACCTGGGTTCTATCGAACCCCAGGGGTTCAGTGTGTCAGCCTCAGGGGTTCGGCGGAGAGTGAGACACACCCGACTCCTATAATTCACGATCGGATTTTGTCAGTGCGGACGATGAAACTATTCAGTAGGGTTTAGTGAATGTGAATGTTTAACTGGTGGGGTTCGGTACCTCGTAAAGATAGACATTCAGACATAGAGTTAGTCCAAGTGAAACAAACAAAAAGTTGATAAAATATTTCCCGAATTTCCCAGCTCAGAGCACGCACATTGTGAGCAGTCTCAGGCTGGTCAATGACGTCACGAACCAACCCAGCAGGGGGCGTGTCGTCATACAGATGAACTACGTCAATGTGGACGGTTCCATTTGTGTGACGGGGTGGAACGACAACGATGCCAAGGTCGTCTGCAGGATGTTAGGATTGTAAGTTTGATGCTTTACATTTGATGTTAGGATTGTAAGTTTGATGTTTTACACTTGATGTTAGGATTGTAAGTTTGATGCTTTACACTTCATGTTAGGATTGTAAGATTGATGTTTTACAGTTACATTTTTAGTTTGGGTCGTAGGTTTAATTGTATGCATTTAATGTACAGATTTGGTTGTTAATGCACAGTTGTTTTCATCGATTGTTTGAATTTAGCTTAGTGTAATGAACAGTAAAGATTACTTCAGCGATCCAACCAAGTCACATTTTCAAACGATAACAACGGACAACGGCCATGGAAGTAAATATAGACAGAATGATGCTGACGTTGGAGTCAAAGAACCATATGCCGCATAACATATTGACAAGTAATACTTGTGTAGGAGGAAATCCCACTCAATATTAAAACAAAGAAAGAAAAAAGAAGAAAGCTAAATTAATAGTTTCCGACATAACAAGACTAAACCAATGGATACAGACATAAGATAAAACCAACTGAATGGTTTCTGTCATAAGACGAAGCGACCTGATATATTTATGTCGACAATACAACAAATTCCCCCCCCCCCCCCCCCAACCCTCCCCCTGTTTCCCCAGGACTGGCGGTAAAGCAGTGACCACTGGCATCTATGGAAACGGAAACCGCAACTTTCGAATGTCTGGCGTCCAGTGTTCTGGAGCTGAGGCCACGTTGACCACTTGTCCTAGAGCAACGAGCATCGCTTGTGAATCGACTGTAAGTTGTGGTTGCATATGTCTCATCGCTTGTGACTGTAAGTTGTGGTTGCATATGTCTCATCGCTTGTGACTGTAAGTTGTGGTTCCATATGTCTCATCGCTTGTGACTGTAAGTTGTGGTTCCATATGTCTCATCGCTTGTGACTGTAAGTTGTGGTTGCATATGTCTCATCGCTTGTGACTGTAAGTTGTGGTTGCATATGTCTCATCGCTTGTGACTGTAAGTTGTGGTTCCATATGTCTCATCGCTTGTGACTGTAAGTTGTGGTTGCATATGTCTCATCGCTTGTGACTGTAAGTTGTGGTTGCATATGTCTCATCGCTTGCGACTGTAAGTTGTGGTTCCATATGTCTCATCGCTTGTGACTGTAAGTTGTGGTTCCATATGTCTCATCGCTTGTGACTGTAAGTTGTGGTTCCATATGTCTCATCGCTTGTGACTGTAAGTTGTGGTTCCATATGTCTCATCGCTTGTGACTGTAAGTTGTGGTTCCATATGTCTCATCGCTTGTGACTGTAAGTTGTGGTTCCATATGTCTCATCGCTTGTGACTGTAAGTTGTGGTTCCATATGTCTCATCGCTTGTGACTGTAAGTTGTGGTTGCATATGTCTCATCGCTTGTGACTGTAAGTTGTGGTTCCATATGTCTCATCGCTTGTGACTGTAAGTTGTGGTTGCATATGTCTCATCGCTTGTGACTGTAAGTTGTGGTTGCATATGTCTCATCGCTTGTGACTGTAAGTTGTGGTTCCATATGTCTCATCGCTTGTGACTGTAAGTTGTGGTTCCATATGTCTCATCGCTTGTGACTGTAAGTTGTGGTTCCATATGTCTCATCGCTTGTGACTGTAAGTTGTGGTTCCATATGTCTCATCGCTTGTGACTGTAAGTTGTGGTTCCATATGTCTCATCGCTTGTGACTGTAAGTTGTGGTTCCATATGTCTCATCGCTTGTGACTGTAAGTTGTGGTTCCATATGTCTCATCGCTTGTGACTGTAAGTTGTGGTTCCATATGTCTCATCGCTTGTGACTGTAAGTTGTGGTTCCATATGTCTCATCGCTTGTGACTGTAAGTTGTGGTTCCATATGTCTCATCGCTTGTGACTGTAAGTTGTGGTTCCATATGTCTCATCGCTTTTGACTGTAAGTTGTGGTTGCATATGTCTCATCGCTTGTGACTGTAAGTTGTGGTTGCATATGTCTCATCGCTTGTGACTGTTAGTTGTGGTTCCATATGTCTCATCGCTTGTGACTGTAAGTTGTGGTTCCATATGTCTCATCGCTTGTGACTGTAAGTTGTGGTTCCATATGTCTCATCGCTTGTGACTGTAAGTTGTGGTTCCATATGTCTCATCGCTTGTGACTGTAAGTTGTGGTTCCATATGTCTCATCGCTTGTGACTGTAAGTTGTGGTTCCATATGTCTCATCGCTTGTGACTGTAAGTTGTGGTTCCATATGTCTCATCGCTTGTGACTGTAAGTTGTGGTTCCATATGTCTCATCGCTTGTGACTGTAAGTTGTGGTTCCATATGTCTCATCGCTTGTGACTGTAAGTTGTGGTTCCATATGTCTCATCGCTTGTGACTGTAAGTTGTGGTTCCATATGTCTCATCGCTTGTGACTGTAAGTTGTGGTTGCATATGTCTCATCGCTTGTGACTGTAAGTTGTGGTTGCATATGTCTCATCGCTTGTGACTGTAAGTTGTGGTTCCATATGTCTCATCGCTTGTGACTGTAAGTTGTGGTTCCATATGTCTCATCGCTTGTGACTGTAAGTTGTGGTTCCATATGTCTCATCGCTTGTGACTGTAAGTTGTGGTTCCATATGTCTCATCGCTTGTGACTGTAAGTTGTGGTTGCATATGTCTCATCGCTTGTGACTGTAAGTTGTGGTTCCATATGTCTCATCGCTTGTGACTGTAAGTTGTGGTTGCATATGTCTCATCGCTTGTGACTGTAAGTTGTGGTTGCATATGTCTCATCGCTTGTGACTTTCAGTTATGTTTCCATATCTCACATTGCTTGTGACAACAGAAGAAGTTGGGTACATCGGATAGACCAAATGTACGTGTCCCTCCCATCCCCTCCCCAGGACAATGAAGCAGGAGTAGAGTGTGACTCGGGTACACCTGTACCCTACCAGGCCTCAGAACTTTCACTAGGTGAATCAGTGGGCAGCGTCAAGCTGGACAAGCCAGCGACCACACTGGACTATGGCGACGGTGAGTACAGACTGTCTGTGATAATGCTGAGTTCCTCAAATATTTCCTTCAAACAATCTCTGAAAAACTTTATAGAAATACTAATCTGATAGGGAAAAAACAAGTATTGAAAACTTAGTTCTCTCTTTAACTAGCTAGGCAAATATACGTATCCAAATGTGTTTGCTGATATTGTATGCTTTATGGCTTGGGACGTGTGTTGTATTTTAGCAAATCTCACTTCTATACAAATAGATGCTCCAAACATTTATGTTCTGCCTCGATAACTATTGTAAATATTTATAATTTGTAACAAATTAATGAGCAACTTAACACGTGACACCCTGACTGCACTCTCTAGTTACAGTCAACGGCAGCGTTCGTCTGAGGACTGTGGAGGGGGTGAAGGGGATGGGCTATGTCCAGGTGAGAAACCCAGCCACTGGCACCTGGGGGTACGTCTGTGATGACGAATGGAGCGAGCTGGACGCTACGGTGGTGTGTCGGGAGCTCAACTATACGTAAGTTAGACGGACGTAAGGTAGACAGACGTAAGTTAGACAGACGTAAGTTAGACGTAAAATAGACAAAGTTAGGTAGACTTAAGTTAGACGCAAGTTAGACAGACGTAAGTTAGACAGACCTAAGTTAGACAGACGTAAGTTAGACAGACGTAAATTAGACAGACGTAAGTTAGACAGACGTAAGTTAGACAGACGTAAGTTAGACGTAAGTTTGATCCAATTTTCCTATTATTCATGGTGACATAGACAGACTACCCAAAGTTTCCTTACATTCATGTTATATAGACAGACTATCCCAAGTTTCCTAACATTCATGTTGCTTTATACAGACTATCCCAACATTCATGTTATATAGTTAGACTATCCCAAGATTCCTAACATTCATGTTATATAGTTAGACTATCCCAAGATTCCTAACATTCATGTTATATAGTTAGACTATCCCAAGATTCCTAACATTCATGTTATATAGTTAGACTATCCCAAGATTCCTAACATTCATGTTATATAGTTAGACTATCCCAAGATTCCTAACATTCATGTTATATAGACAGACTATCCCAACACTCATGTTGATGTAGACAGACTATCCCAAGATTCCTAACATTCATGTTGATGTAGACAGATTATCCCAAGTATCCTAACATTCATGTTGATGTACCCCCAGCGACTGTTGCGCACGACCCGGCGTCCTGGAGATCTACACAACAAAGATCTCAGTTGTAGAGCCCATAGTCCTGGATGACGTCAAGTGTCAAGGGACCGAGGCGTCCATCTTGAACTGTGTTCACTCGACCTGGGGGTCAAACAACTGTAAGGGCGTCACCCTAGCGGGGGACAACGCCCTGACGACAGAATTCGCGGGAGTTCAATGTCTGCCTCAGCAGGAGCAGTCGCCGTTTCAAAATCGTAAGTGCTTCTTTTCAGCTACGATAGTTTGCATTGCTAATGTAGGGTTATTGGCGGGCTTAATGTGAGGAAAGATAGACACCTAAAAGCAAAAAACGCTCATTGTCATTTAGATCTTAAAGACGCACAAAATTTCGCTTCCTGAAGATGGCGCACAATGAAAGTTGCGCTACGATTTAATGCGCATTTTAAATGTCCGCAACATAACGTTCACGTAAGAAAATATATCTTCTTTAAAAGTACACAGAAATTGATTATGGATAAAATACAGTAAACATCAAATATAATAACAAGTGAATAATGGTGTCAACGAAATATTATAGTAAATGTTCTTCAGTAATTTTTTTAAAAAGTATTTAAACAGTATCTTTTGTTAATCTACAAATGTAAGCGCTTAATACAATCTCACTAATTCAAATACCCTGAAGTTTATCTCGAGCCCTAATAAACAAAATTCACATTCACTTCCTACTTTCGTTTTCTCATGTTGCTGTAACAGTCCCAGACCCCCAGGTGAGCTGTACACCTACCACCATTGTGGTCAACTTCCTGTACAGCACCAGCAGTGTCCAGTTCCTGCCAGTCCGTGGACTGTCCGGGTGTACTGCTGCCAGTGTCAACTACAACGCCACAAATGTCGTGGTGACCATCCCGCTCTACCAATGTGGGACTACACTTATGGTGGGTAGTGTGGCTACACCTGAGGTAGCACACTGCTAGACTAGAGGTAGCACATGGCTAGACTAGAGGTAGCACATGGCTAGACTAGAGGTAGCACGTGGCTACACCAGAGGTAGGACTAGGGTAACATATGGCTAGTCTAGAGGTAGCACATGGCTACACCAGAGGTAGCACATGGCTACACCTGAGGTAGCAGTGGGGTAACATATGGCTAGACTAGAGGTAGCACATGATTACACAAGGGTAGAACATGGCTAGACTAGATGTAGCACATGGCTAGACTAGGGTAGCACATGGCTACAGCAGAGGTAGCTCATGGCTATGCTAAGGTAGCACATGGCTAGACTAGGGTAGCACATGACTAGACTAGGGTAGCACATGGCTAGACTTGAGGTAGCACGTGGCTACACCTGAGGTAGGACTAGGGTAACATATGGCTAGACTAGGGTAGCACATGGCTACACCTGAGGTAGCACTATCGTAACACATGGCTAGACTAGAGGTAGAACATGGTTACACAAGAGGTAACACATGGCTAGACTGGGGTAGCACATGGCTACACCAGAGGTAGCATATGGCTACACAAGGCTACCATATGGTTACTAAAGTGAAATACACGGCTGTGTTTGAATAACCATGTTACTCCAGTTTAACTTTTTATCTATATAACGTGATCTAAATTGCAGTAAACATATGTTAACATGTTACAAAAGATTGTTGATTTCTAGAATGTGTTTAAACACAAGCACTGTAATGCTATAATACCAACTATTGTGTGTCCCCCCCCCCCCCCCCACAGACAAACGGTACCCACAACATTTACCAAAACTTCCTGACCTACGAGAAGATCTCCTCTATGAACAATCTACTGCTTGACTCCCAAAGATTTAGGTAGGTTTGATCATGTTTTAGTAGGTTTATTACAGTTTTGGTAGGTTTGATTTATCAAGTTGTAGAATTACACACGAAGCTATAACTGACTGAAAATATTTCTCCTCTTTCACCAGGTACACGATTCAATGTGCCGCCCCCATCCAAATACAAACAGATTTTCTTCGTGACCAGCCCGTTGTATCAGAACAAAGCAAAATATTTTCAATAGCCTATAAGTATGATGTAGGTAGCCTTAAGTACCATACTTCTGAAACTATCAGAACAAAGCAAAATATTTTCAATAGCCTATAAGTATGATGTAGGTAGTCTTAGGTGCCATACTTCTTAAACTGTCAGAGCAAAGCAAAATATTTTCAATAGCCTATAAGTATGATGTAGGTAGTCTTAGGTGCCATACTTCTTAAACTGTCAGAACAAAGCAAAATATTTTCAGTAGCCTATAAGTATGATGTAGGTAGTCTTAGGTGCCATACTTCTTAAACTGTCAGAACAAAGCAAAATATTTTCAGTAGCCTATAAGTATGATGTAGGTAGTCTTAGGTGCCATACTTCTTAAATTGTCAGAGCAAAGCAAAATATTTTCAATAGCCTATAAGTATGATGTAGGTAGTCTTAGGTGCCATACTTCTTAAATTGTCAGAGCAAAGCAAAATATTTTCAATAGCCTATAAGTATGATGTAGGTAGTCTTAGGTGCCATACTTCTTAAACTGTCAGAACAAAGCAAAATATTTTCAATAGCCTATAAGTATTTTGTAGGTAATCTTAGGTACCATAATTACTAATCTATCAGAACAAAGCAGATTATTTTCAGTAGCCCATAAGTATGAGTTAGATAGCCCTAGGTAGCCTTAGATGCCATACTTCTTAAACTATTTTCATCGGGATATACTTAAATGAAATTTTGGACACCAAACTTAGGCAGGAAGAGTTGCTCGTAGGAGAGGAAATAATCAACCCTGTACAGTCCATATAATGATTCAAGAGATGTGCATCAAACTGTTAGAATTGAAGCCCATATAACCATCCAAATTTTGCCGCAGGTTGCCATCAGTTTCTACCAAGACTCCAACTGCTCCCTGCCCATCTCAGAGCGGCCGTACGTGGTCAACATCAGCAGCAGGGTCTATGTGGGGGTCAAGCTGGTCACTAATGACCCCACCCTGACGGGGTCAGCGCTCCGCCTTGTCCTCACCAACTGCCAGGCGACCCCCACAGAGAGCACAATGGGTGTATCGTCTTATTTAATTAACAATAAGTAAGTACCATGTAGGGTGTTCGAGTTAGATTACATGTTCATTCACAACAGCAACAAAATATAACCTTATATTCATCGCTTTGTGAACTCTATATCCAAACCATCAAACAATATTCCTTGATGATCTATTAGCCCAACCTTGCATCAGTCCGTTACCACCAGTAGAATCTTGTTTTCTAGCAGTATAAAACTGTTACTGTATTCCTGCAGATGTCCGCTAGTTGATACTGTGTCCGTGTACCCCATCAACAACACAGTGGAGTCGTTCGGGTTCAAGGCCTTTCAGTTCCAAGGTTATGCCCAGGTCTATATCAGATGTGACGTCATCATATGCTTGTCCAACGACACAAGTGCAGCATGCGACAGGTCAGTATGTTGGTCAGTGTACCAAGTATGACAGGTCATTGTACCAAGTATGACAGGTCATTGTACCAAGTAAGACAGGTCAGTGTGTTGGTCATTGTACCAAGTATGACAGGCCATTTTAACAAGTATGACAGGTGTGTTGGTCATTGTACCAAGTATGACAGGTCATTGTAACAAGTATGACAGGTGTGTTGGTCATTGTACCAAGTATGACAGGTCATTGTAACAAGTATGACAGGTGTGTTGGTCATTGTACCAAGTATGACAGGTCATTGTAACAAGTATGACAAGTGTGTTGGTCATTGTACCAAGTATGACAGGTCATTGTAACAAGTATGACAGGTCAGTGTGTTGGTCATTGTACCAAGTATGGGAGGTGTGTTGGTCAGTGTACCAAGTATGACAGGTCATTGTAACAAGTATGACAGGTGTGTTGGTCATTGTACCAAGTATGACATGTCATTGTAACAAGTATGACAGGTCAGTGTGTTGGTCATTGTACCAAGTATGGGAGGTGTGTTTGTCATTGTACCAAGTATGACAGGCCATTGTACCAAGTATGGGAGGTGTGTTGGTCATTGTACCAAGTATGACATGTCATTGTAACAAGTATGACAGGTCAGTGTGTTGGTCATTGTACCAAGTATGGGAGGTGTGTTTGTCATTGTACCAAGTATGACAGGCCATTGTACCAAGTATGGGAGGTGTGTTGGTCATTGTACCAAGTATGACAGGTGTGTTGGTCATTGTACCAAGTATGACAGGTCATTGTACCAAGCATGTACCAAACACAGCCTTAGTTGTCTGAGCTAAACCTTGCCTTACATTGGAATCTGAATGTTTTCTTTCGACTGACCCTAATGTTGCTATGACCACGTCACCAGGTCATGTGGCACCAACAAACCGGTTGCCGGACGCCGGAAGAGAGATGCAGACACCCTGTCTCGGACTGTCTTCTCGCCGGCCATGCGTGTCTACAACTCCACGGAGCTGACCTTGACCATTGACCTGACCTTGCTGAACTCTCCCAGCGAGACTGCTCACCCACAAGTTGCCGCCCTTGTTCTCTGCCCCGCCCTCGTCATGTTGATGAACTGCTACACACGAATGTAAGAAATAGTGCACTGTGTACAGGGAATATGTACACGAAATATGTACAGGAAATATGAAAAGGAAATATGTACAGGAAATTTGTACCCTAGCTGTTAACGATAAAAGTGTACAACATATATATAGCCTACATGGATAGAAGTAAATATACCAGCTGCAGGCAAACTGTTTAAAATGGATGTTTAAAAACAAAGCTTACAAGACTAGTATAATATGTCTCAAAGTTTTCAAGTTCAAAATGGTTATAGAATTAGGTCAAGGGAATGTTCACTAATTGTATAACACAACATTAAACATTTCTGACCAACCAGCACACTACACATAATATTAAAGTTTCTTAGACCCCCCCCCCCTACAAAATGGAATTTATATAGAAAATATATATTTTACCAGTGTCCATCTACCCCCCCCCCCCCGCCCCCGGAAAATTTAGTCCGCTCCCCGCGAAAGTGTCAAGTGCCCCCCTCCTGAGAAAAGAGTCTGAAGAAACACTGGCTCGTATTATCTATGTATAAGATACATAAATAGTATACAATAGGCAAGCTTAATTAAATTTAATTAGAATAAAAAATCTCCATTAACTGCATATATATATATATATATATATATATATATATATATATATATATATATATATATATATATATATATATATATATATATATATATATATAAATATATATATATATATATATATATATAAATATATATATATATATATATATATATATATATATATATATATATATTGTAAGTATCCTAATTAAATATTTAGAAGTTATTCATATTGAGGTTAAATGTTATGGTTTTATAATTGGGGTTCATTAAGGTGCCTATTTTAATTAGTAATCATATATCGTTGTAGTATGCCAAAATGAGAAAATATCTAGTATTATATTCTTTACGCATTATTAAGGAGTAATATATATATATATATATATATATATATATATACATATATATATATATATATATATATATATATATATATATATATATATATATATATATATATATATATATATATATGCTGGTTTTAACAAATAAATGTAACTGTTGAAGTACTATTTATTTTGTAATATAATGTCATACTTTCTTTAGTGTAATATTTGAAGTATTATTCCCTTCCAACACAATTCGCTTCATATATTTTATTTAACAGCAGCAAACCACAAGATACCTTCATATGTTGGTTGGTCATTTGTTTCTGTAAAATTATCGCACCTTGCATCCAGTTTCTGATTTTTAACTGTGTTGTAAACACCATTTGTGCCACGTACACGTTTTATTGTTACAGTAATTGTTACAACAAATGGAGACATTCAAATAACCATACATTTGAAGCCGTTAGCTACTGTAAGATCAGAGGCGTAGCGATCCATTCCGGCGCCCGGGGGAACTATCATTTTTTTCCGCCCCTACTATATATATATATATAAATAGTTGTTTACGTAGGTGAAAAAGCCCCCCCCCCCCACACACATATTGAAAGGCTGGGTGCGCCTATACTAGCAACTATCCCTTAACAGTTTTTAATGTGATGTAGAAACGCTTAAATCGGTTAGGAACAAAAGAGCAGTAGTCTATTTTCTTAATATTGACAGATTGTAACATTTAGTAATGCAGCTCAAAAATTTCTTAATTTTTTTTCCAACATCTTTAGGCGCTTGCCTATGACCAGCGCCAGTGGCGCCACCCCAATCACCCTCCCCTTACTACGCCTCTGAGTTTAGAATGGTACATGTAACAGTAGGTGTCTATACATGCTGATATAACTTAGTCGCAACTGGTAAAATGATATCATGAGAACAATCGTTGAGAGCCTTGCTGTCCTATTATCTGTTTTATGCTCAAGTTAACACCTTTTACCCCACACTGCCTCACCCCCCCCCCCCCCCCCCCCCCCACCCCTCATATTGTATTATCGTTGAGTACAATCGATCACAATGCCATTTTTATTTATTTAATATGGAACAAATGTTAAAACTAACCAAAAATAAACTTTTTTCTTTAAACAAAAATAGTAAAAAATTAAAAACCATCTACAACATTAATTTATGTTTCCACGTCTAGAAACAACTTAAAATATGTTGGGATTGTTCCATAATGTTCCACATTGTGATTGTTCCATAATGTTCCACATTGCTTAACTGGTTTCATAGATTCTTTTTTACAAAATGTTTCTCTCGTGTTCATCATCTTTTTTCCGTTCGTGCACAGGCCACACGGGCAGATGAAGTAGAGTCCATCTGCTTCAAAGACCTCGGCATAAAAGGGATAGTGTGCATTATGCCCAGCCACCCCTACTTTTCCCCATCAGTTCTGTGTGGATTCAGTAACGTTCTACTGAATGAACCCGGATTTGAACCCGAGACTTTTCGGGTTAGCTCTTTAGCATCCCATGCACATTATTGTTACGATTACATTATTGCATTATTGCTATCAATATATTATTTTTACTTTACTTTTTAAAATTTCTACGTATTATATAATTGCTATAAAATTCTTTAAAATCCAACAAACTGGTGTATCGACGCAAAATTTGCTTCAATAAATATTATTGTTTTCTCTGTTGTCATTGTGTTCCTTTTTTACAATGTAGCAAACATTATTAAATATAATGTGTTCAAATAAAATATTTTTAAAAGTTAACAATGTTTTAAATTACAGAATCGAAAAAAAATGTGTGCTATTTAAATTAAGTTCAAAGTGATGTCAAAATTACGTTTTGTCAAATTGTCAGTTTAGTGGGTAACTTCCTAAAGGTCACTTCCACTGTGATACAGTTTTGTTTTCCATTTCATTACGGTAAGTACCCGGATATATAAACAAAAAATGTCAAGACACAGTCTACATTAGATGGTGCGTAATGTAGTCTTACAGAGCTTAATTTTTTCAAATGAACCGTTAATAGAAATAACAGGGACAAGTATATATATATATATATATATATATATATATATATATATATATATATATATATATATTTATATATTTATATATATATATATATATATATATATATATATATATATATATATATATATATTTATATATTTATATATATATATATATATATATATATATATATATATATATATATATATATATATATATATATATACACATATACATGTTTATATATATGTATACATATATATATATATATATATATATATATATATATATATATATATATATATATATGATACATATATATATAAACATGTATATACATATATATATAAATATATATTTATATACCTGTATAGATGTCTATATATACATGCAGACCTATATATACATATGAATATATATGTGTGTGTATGTGTGTCTAGTTCAAGTCTACACTAGAGGTTATACGAGGCAACACACACACGCCACACACACATCTTCTATCAATACGCCCTCTACCACACACACCACACACACACCCTCTAACACACACACCACACACACATCCTCTAACACACATGCCCTCTACCACACACGCCCTGTACCACACACGCCACACACACACCCTCTAACACACACGTCACACACACGTCCTCTACCACATACACCCTCTACCACACAACCCCTTACCACACACGTCATTTACCACACAACCCCTCACCACACACACCCTCTACCACACAACCCTTTACCACACACGTCATTTACCACACAACGCATTACCACACACGTCATTTACCACACAACCCCTCACCACACACACCCTCTACCACACACGCCCTCTACCACACACGCCCTCTACCACACACCCTCTACCACACACACCCTCTACCACACACGCCCTCTACCACACAACCCATTACCACACACGTCATTTACCACACAACCCCTCACCACACACACCCTCTACCACACACGCCCTCTACCACACACGCCCTCTACCACACACGTCATTTACCACACAACCCCTCACCACACACACCCTCTACCACACACGCCCTCTACCACACACGCCCTCTACCACACACCCTCTACCACACACCCTCACCACACACACCCTCTACCACACACGCCCTCTACCACACACGCCCTCTACCACACACGCCCTCTACCACACACGCCCTCTACCACACACGCCCTCTACCACACACACCCTCTACCACACACACCCTCTACCACACACACCACACACACCCTCTACCACACACGCCCTCTACCACACACACCCTCTACCACACACACCACACACACCCTCTACCACACACGCCCTCTACCACACACGCCCTCTACCACACACGCCCTCTACCACACACGCCCTCTACCACACACGCCCTCTACCACACACCCTCTACCACACACCCTCACCACACACACCCTCTACCACACACGCCCTCTACCACACACGCCCTCTACCACACACGCCCTCTACCACACACGCCCTCTACCACACACGCCCTCTACCACACACACCCTCTACCACACACACCCTCTACCACACACACCACACACGCCCTCTACCACACACGCCCTCTACCACACACACCCTCTACCACACACACCCTCTACCACACACACCACACACACCCTCTTCCACACACGCCCTCTACCACACACACCCTCTACCACACACCCTCTACCACACACGCCCTCTACCACACACGCCCTCTACCACACACGCCCTCTACCACACACGCCCTCTACTACACACGCCCTCTACCACACACGCCCTCTACCACACACACCCTCTACCACACACACCCTCTACCACACACACCACACACACCCTCTACCACACACACCCTCTACCACACACGCCCTCTACCACACACGCCCTCTACCACACACGCCCTCTACCACACACACCCTCTACCACACACACCCTCTACCACACACACCACACACACCCTCTTCCACACACGCCCTCTACCACACACACCCTCTACCACACACCCTCTACCACACACGCCCTCTACCACACACGCCCTCTACCACACACGCCCTCTACCACACACACGCCCTCTACCACACACGCCCTCTACCCACACACGCCCTCTACCACACACACCCTCTACCACACACACCCCTCTACCACACACACCCTCTACCACACACCCCTCTACCACACACACCCTCACACCCTCTACCACACCGCCCTCTACCACACACGCCCTCTACCACACACGCCCTCTACCACACCCTCTACCACACACCCTCTACCACACACCCCTCTACCACACACCCCTCTACCACACACGCCCTCTACCACACACGCCCTCTACCACACACGCCCTCTACCACACACCCCCTCTACCACACACCCCACCACACACACCCTCTACCACACACCCTCTACCACACACGCCCTCTACCACACACGCCCTCTACCACACACACCCTCTACCACACACACCACACACACCCTCTACCACACACACCCTCTACCACACACGCCCTCTACCACACACGCCCTCTACCACACACGCCCTCTACCACACACACCACACACACCCTCTACCACACACACCCTCTACCACACACGCCCTCTACCACACACGCCCTCTTACCACACACGCCCTCTACCACACACGCCCTCTACCACACACGCCCTCTACCACACACGCCCTCTACCACACACGCCCTCTACCACACACACCCTCTACCACACACGTCATTTACCACACAACCCCTCACCACACACGCCCTCTACCACACAACCCATTACCACACAACCCCTCACCACACACACCCTCTACCACACACGCCCTCTACCACACACACCCTCTACCACACACACCCTCTACCACACACGCCCTCTACCACACACACCCTCTACCACACACACCACACACACCCTCTACCACACACACCACACACACCCTCTACCACACACACCCTCTACCACACACGCCCTCTACCACACACACACCCTCTACCACACACACCCTCTACCACACACGCCCTTTACCACACACAACCTCTACCACACACACCCTTTACCACACACACCCTCTACCACACACACCCTCTACCACACACACCCTCTACCACACACGCCCTCTACCACACACACCCTCTACCACACACGCCCTCTACCACACACGCCCTCTACCACACACGCCCTCTACCACACACACCCTCTACCACACACACCCTCTACCACACACACCCTCTACCACACACCACACACACACCCTCTACCACACACACACCCTCTATCACACACACCACACACACACCCTCTACCACACACACCCTCTACCACACACGCCCTCTACCACACACACCCTCTACCACACACGCCCTCTACCACACACAACCTCTACCACACACACCCTCTACCACACACGCCCTCTACCACACACACCCTCTACCACACACCCTCTACCACACACACCCTCTACCACACACGCCCTCTACCACACACGCCCTCTACCACACACACCCTCTACCACACACCCTCTACCACACACACCCTCTACCACACACGCCCTCTACCACACACACCCTCTACCACACACACCCTTTACCACACAACCTCTACCACACACACCCTCTACCACACACGCCCTCTACCACACACGCCCTCTACCACACACACCCTCTACCACACACCCTCTACCACACACCCTCTACCACACACGCCCTCTACCACACACGCCCTCTACCACACACACCCTCTACCACACACGCCCTCTACCACACACCCTCTACCACACACACCCTCTACCACACACGCCCTCTACCACACACGCCCTCTACCACACACACCCTCTACCACACACCCTCTACCACACACACCCTCTACCACACACGCCCTCTACCACACACGCCCTCTACCACACACGCCCTCTACCACACACGCCCTCTACCACACACGCCCTCTACCACACACGCCCTCTACCACACACGCCCTCTACCACACACGCCCTCTACCACACACACCCTCTACCACACACACCCTCTACCACACACGCCCTCTACCACACACGCCCTCTACCACACACGCCCTCTACCACACACACCCTCTACCACACACGCCCTCTACCACACACACCCTCTACCACACACGCCCTCTACCACACGCCCTCTACCACACACACCCTCTACCACACACGCCCTCTACCACACACACCCTCTACCACACACACCCTCTACCACACACACCCTCTACCACACACGCCCTCTACCACACACGCCTTCTACCACAGCAACAATGTTAACAAAGTAAAGCAAAACCTACAAGGCAGACCACATAACAAACCTGTCAATATTTGTAAGCGAGTCTAAGTTTCAAGGCGAGTGTGAGATATGAATTTTACTCACTGTTAAAAGCAGTCCCCATAGACTCCCGTCCCTGTAAAGTGTAAACAAATCTTGGCCCTGCCGATAGCTTAATGATTGAAAAGGTCCGCGTACACAATTTTTAGCATCGAAATGTTTTAAAGCATGTTTCTTTACAACTCTAATTCTGTTGAGGTAATGACAAAACAACTCTTGCAGACGGCAACATTAGCAGACGGGAAAATTAACTGCAGGCAACTTAAGCTGACGAGATAGTTCAGACAAGTCACAATGACAGAATGCAGTCGTTCATTTTCTGTTCAATAACGTGATCGATTTAATTTGCAGTACACCAAATCATGACGCTGGAATTTATTGCTAAGTTAAAGTTTTGATTTGGACAAAAAGCTACAACGTCGCGTTTAATTGGCGAAATTAAATTGTCTTTGTATCACGAAAAAAAAAATACAATTTTCCATTTTAAATATTCACTAGCGTGCCAGTCCCGCGCATTGCCGCGGTCTTCGAATAAAGTCTGAAGCAATATTTTAAGAGGGTTTCATCAATGCGTTAACAGTTCTATATTCTTAGATGTGTTACCTTGTTTTCTAAAACTGAGTTATTTTAATGTTAATCGTATTTTCGGGGGCACAGGTTGTCCTACACTTCAGTAAAGCACACCCCATGGCGTGATGTAGGGAAGTAAGGGAAATCACACATCGGCGATCGACCAGTTGTCAGTGACGTAGCGTGGCGCTCTCTAGAGCCCCCATTAACACTCCAGCAGGGGCGCCGAGTACGGTTGCTGGATCTGTTTAATCACCAAATGTCGTAGGCCACCGTGTCAATATTATATTATTATTTAAAACAAACCGAGGTGCCATAGTGCTCACAGGATAGCCTGGGGCGCCAAATCACACCCTGTCGGGGCTACGGCTACGGCTGACGCGCCTGATTCAATTTAGTAAACGACTATAGTAACCATTTGTATTCATAATCTATCGTACTCTTTAAAACGCAAGTATGCACCATAGCACTCACAGGATAGCATCGGGGCGCCGGCGGACGCGCCTGATTTAATTTAGTACACGACTATAATACCCCATCTTATTCGTAGTCTATGCACTTTTTAAAACGCACGTAAGCGCCATAGCGCTTACGGGAAAGCCTATGGTGCCATAACCGCACCCTGCCGGGGCGCCAAATTACCCCATGCCGGGGAGTTGGTGAATTTGCCTCATTTGATATAGTCAACAATGACAACTTTAATTTGGTAAAGATTTTCTAAAACAGAAGAAATATACATAACATATCGTTAGCTGTTTCTTGCCATAACATATACAACGTCGAAGAAATGAATGATTTTATTTTGAAAACCTACGGGGGGGGGGGGGGGGGGAGGCGGGGGGGCGTCAAAATAAAGTAATTGAAATGCAGATATTGACTAGAGTTATACTGCACATAGTACTTACTTGTCCATACAAATGAGATACAATATACGACTGAAAGCTATAGAAAAAAAATCGAGCACATTTTTTAGCCTTATTGAAGTTATGCCAATGTGGACAGATCATAAATCAACGACTTTGTGAGAACACAAAAACCACCAAGTTATAGTAACATAAAGCGGTTAATGTGTATTCTATGTGACTGAACACAAGTTAGACTTTTTCCGTTAAATTGAAACATTTACAGAGCTTTTGAGATGTAAATTGGGTCTTTTCATACTAAACCCTGGCGAATACTCTTAGTGTTATAGTCCCATAGTCCAACAAGAGCGTCGAATTCAATCAATCCGCAAGCAGCATTCAAAGGCCAGACTGTTTGAAAGAAGTGTCAGGCATACCTAGCGATACAGATATCCCTTTCTCTATGTGTTATGCCATAGCCATAGCCAATCCCCATTGATGAATGTCGAAGTTTTAAAACTCTCGTCAAGGTATCTCCTGTCACTCCTGTTGGAGTAAGGACCGATAACTGCAGGGTCAGGGGTTACGGTTACTGTTGTGGTTTAGGTCGACTTCTCGTTCGGTTTTAAGGTTCGGGTTAGAGTTAAGGAAAGTGTTGGGTTTATGGTTTGGATTAGAATTATGGTCACTGTCACGGTCACGGTCAAGGTCACAGTCGGGGTCACGGTCACGGTCACGGCACAGTCACGGTCACGGCTTACGGTTACGGTGACGGTTTCGGTTTCGGTTTCGGTTTCGGTTTCGGTTACGGTTACGGTTACGGTTACGGTTACGGTTACGGTTACGGTTACGGTTACGGTTACGGTTACGGTTACGGTTACGGTTACGGTTACGGTTACGGTTACGGTTACGGTTACGGTTACGGTTACGGTTACGGTTACGGTTACGGTTACGGTTACGGTTACGGTTACGGTTACGGTTACGGTTACGGTTACGGTTACGGTTACGGTTACGGTTACGGTTACGGTTACGGTTATGGTTATGGTTACGGTGGGTTAGAGTTAGGGTTAGGGTAAAGATAAGGGTTAGGTTAGGGTTAGGCTGAGGGTTAGGGTTAGGGTTAGTGGAGGGTTAGGGTTAGGATTAGGTTGAGGTTTAGGGTTAGTGGGGTGTTAGGGTTAGGGTTAGGTTGAGGGTAAGGGTTAGTGTGGGGGGGGGTTAGGGTCAGGTTTAGGAGTATGTTAGTGTTAATTAGTCTAAGGGCTAGGGTTAGAAATAATCTAAGATAAAAGAAACATAAAAGCGCTTAATATAATAAGTTTTTAAATGCACTGAAAATAAAATGTTTTTAAAACACATTTCCTTCAAAAGAAAGATTTGATCGCTACTGGGATTTCTTACATATTGTTGCGACAAAATATTTCACCAAAGAAAGCAAGTTTTCTTCTTCTCTTTTTCAGTGCATTTGAAAGTTTATTATCCTAAAATAAAGTCCACTTTTAATCATTGCTTGTAAATGTAGGCGTCACAATTAATAATGTTCAAAGGGGAGTCCGGGTGCTGCAGGTCATACAGACAGCCATAGCCATAGCCATAGCCATAGCCATAGCCATAGCCATAGCCATAGCCATAGCCATAGCCATAGCCATAGCCATAGCCATAGCCATAGCCATAGCCATAGCCATAGCCATAGCCATAGCCATAGCCATAGCCATAGCCGTAGCCGTAGCCGTAGCCGTAGCCTTAGCCGTAGCCATAGCCGTAGCCATAGCCGTAGCCATAGCCGTAGCCATAGCCGTAGCCATAGCCGTAGCCATAGCCGTAGCCATAGCCGTAGCCGTAGCCGTAGCCGTAGCCGTAGCCGTAGCCGTAGCCGTAGCCGTAGCCGTAGCCGTAGCCGTAGCCATAGCCGTAGCCATAGCCGTAGCCATAGCCGTAGCCATAGCCGTAGCCATAGCCGTAGCCATAGCCGTAGCCATAGCCGTAGCCATAGCCGTAGCCATAGACGTAGCCGTAGCCGTAGCCGTAGCCGTAGCCGTAGCCGTAGCCGTAGCCGTAGCCATAGCCGTAGCCATAGCCGTAGCCATAGCCGTAGACATAGCCGTAGACATAGCCATAGCCGTAGCCATAGCTATACGTACACTTATAATGAGAGCTTGTTAGAAAAGGTCACAGAGGCGTAGCGATGGGGGGGGGGGGGGCAGGGGGGTACATATGTCCCCGGGCGCCGACCTTAGGGGGCGCCAAAATGGGTTGTAAAAACAAATTAAAATGTCATTTTAGCTGCATTTTTGAATTATAAATAGTTTGAGGAGGGGAGTGCAAATCGAAAGTTTGAGGGGGGGGGGGTGCAAATTGAAAATTTGCTCCCGAGAGGGAAGGGTCGCTACGCCTCTGAAAGGTCACTAATTTTCTTAAGACAATGCAGTCTGGTTATTACGTTTAACACCAAAACGTGTCACATTAAAAACTGTACTGGCTAGATTGGCCTGTACATGGGACAAATATCTGAGTCCCACATGTCGCTACTTGTCTAGCTGTGATCAATGTCAGACCGCCAGTCTGACACATAAATGACGTCTGTGGTGAAAGAACTTATTACGTGAGGGTTGGTTTTAAATGTCACACATTAGACTAAGCTTTTAGAATCTTACATTTGCACCCTGAACAGCTCCAAATTTCATGCTGCTGATGTTTTAAGATGTTGTACCTGGCCTTAGTCACCACTTTTGTTCTACACATGACGTCATTATCTCAAGGTAATTACCTCAAGTTTACAATAATTATGTTATGTTTAAATTGTTGTTTTACTGTAATAAATCATCTCAAAATCAACAACACAAGGATTCCAGGCTAAAATACTGACGGAGCCAGCTCTAAGTTAAAGTACTAGCAAGGCCAATATTAGCTTGAAGAAAGTACTGGCCAAGCTAGCCTTGGTTAAAATACTGGTCAGTTCAATTAGTAGCCTACTGGTCTAAACAATACTGGGTCGAAATACTGGTCAAGCAAGGATGTGTTGCCTCACACCACCAAGAAGAATTACTACACTTACCTTGCATTCTGGATAGCAGGCTACAGCAGAGGCGTAGCGACACTTCCCGGCGCCCGGGGACAAACTTTCGATTTGCACCCCCCCCCCCCACGAACTTTTCATTTGCACCCCCCCTCACTCTTTCAATTTGGCGCCCTCCCTTAGGTCGGCGCCCGGAGACATATGTCCCCCCCCCCACCCCCCACCCCCCTCGCTACGCCTCTAGGCTACAGATGACTGGGTATTTACACGTTTTTATTTAGTTCACAACGTCCGTTTGTAGTTTTGTGGCAAATATTGAACATCAATATTGACCAACTTCTAATGCAGCGATTTCGTTCAAATTTTATTTAAATAGATGTTAAATTAGTCATTAAAATTTAATTAAACGGTTTCGAAACTAAGAGGAAAGAAACATTACATGAAAGATTACTATATTCAACAACAGAAGGGGAGATAACTAGCTGAACTCTATCACCCGATCGGTCTGGTGAGCTGTGGTTCACGCCGAATGTTTACAATCGAACAGTTTGCTGTTGTCTGTAAATTGTGACTACGGACGTCTGCATTCAGCCATCGTGAGCTACTGAGGGTGTTTCAAAGCAAATAGTTTTAGTCGTGTTGACTTCATAAATTAAGAAACACTAAAAAGTAGAAAATAAAACAAATATAAAAAACTTCATAGCGAAAAGCTTTTTAAATGCACATAAAATAAGAAAATAAAACAAACTTGCTTTCTTTGATAAAAGCCTTGGTCACTCATGAAATCTTTTACATATCTTAGCGACAAAAGCTTTTTATTAAAGAAAGCAAGTTAGTTTTATTTTCTTATTCGCAGTGCATTTAAAAGGTTGAATAAAGGTTCTTTATAAGCCTATTTGTTTTATTTTGTGATATAGTCATTAAAATGTGTATACATTGTGTTAGCCCAGGGGTCGGCAACCTGCGGCTCGCGAGCCGCATGCGGCTCTTTGGATGTCAATGTGCGGCTCTCGAGTTCCTCACACAAGTATTAAGTTATTTTATTTTTAAAACACATAAAAGTATTATACTTTAAAGAAAAACATCTTTAAATGGGATAAAAACACTCATCAGAGAACAATGAGAGTAGGTGAGGTAGAAAGTATATGGACAGCTTATAGCCGCTTGGGTACCAGCCCCCGCCCCACAACCGTGCTGTAGCCAGCCTTGTGACCACGGTTCCATGCTTGCCACTGCCGACTTTTTCAAATATCGTTCAATAGTGAATGTTATTTTATTCAGGATGCATTTCTCTTTCTGTCAGTATGCATTAATTAGACCTGAATGACTTTTTAGTTTTTAGTTTTCTACGGTTGAGCCGAGTACTGTACGGTGGGGAACGCGTAGAGTGGAAGGTAAGTCAGTAGTGAACTGAAGGACAGAAGTGACCGATACACGGTAATCAAACCAATGTCCAAGCCAGTTAGTCGGAGTTGGCCGTGTTGAGGCTTGCCTAGCTAATGAGAGACACTTCCTGAGCCGGTGATGTCAGTAAAGAATGGCAAAAAATGTATTAGCTTCTAAAGTGGATTGGGAAAGGCCTATAGTTCTATTATTTGATTACTAATGTTATCAGAGCTAGCTAAAATACTTTAATATGTTTTGTGCGAAACATGTGTATGTTTTATATGAATAAATATTATTTTATATATAAAGCTATTTATTTCAAATAAAAAAACATTTTTCACCTAATCCCAATTAAATGCCATAATATCTAAATAAAAATGATAGTGACTCTTTAAAAACTGGAAAATTTCGTAAATTGTAACTTTTGGCTGTTTCGTCTCAAAAGGTTGCCGACCCATGTGTTAGCCTATAATAGAGGCAGTTAAAACAATCATATTCTAGAATACTTTATTAAATTTTGAAATAAAACCGTTAGTTTAAAAGCTTTCATACTGATTCAATAGAAAAAAAATGTTTTATTTGTTTTTCAAATTTGAACAGCTCAGTACACTATACCGCCCACATCCTTTATAAGCTACCTAGACCTGTTCAACGAGATAGGTGATCCTAGTCGACTAACATCAGGACGTGTCGTCATACAGATGAACTACTACGGTGAATTTAACAGCTCAATCTGTGTGACTGGATGGGATAACAATGATGCCAGAGTCGTCTGCAGGATGTTAGGATTGTAAGTTTGATGTTTTACACTTGATGTTTTACACTTGATGTTTTACACTTGATGTTTTACACTTAGTGTTTTACACTTGATGTTTTACACTTGATGTTAGGATTGTAAGTTTGATGTTTTACACTTGATGTTTTACACTTGATGTTAGGATTGTAAGTTTGATGTTTTACACTTGATGTTTTACTCTTGATGTTTTACACTTGATGTTAGGATTGTAAGTTTGATGTTTTACACTTGATGTTAGGATTGTAAGTTTGATGTTTTACACTTGATGTTAGGATTGTAAGTTTGATGTTTTACACTTGATGTTAGGATTGTAAGTTTGATGTTTTACACTTGATGTTTTACACTTGATGTTTTACACTTGATGTTAGGATTGTAAGTTTGATGTTTTACAATTAATCTTATGATCGTAAGTGGGACAGCATTATCAGATATAGAGTGTAAGACTGCTAACCCCGAAAACTCGAGTTCGGATCCCTATGGGCACATGACGCACATTACATAAATTGTCAGGCTCAAAACGGTACTTGAAGATTGTAAGCTTGATGGTTTACAATTATTTGAAGATTGTATGTTTGTTTTACACTTTAATTTAGGATTACAAATTATATATGTAATTGATATGAATGGGCATGTGTGCTGGACAGGCTTATATTTAGTGAGAAATATTTATGACCGATAAAATATATGGTAAAACTGACAAAAATAAGTCACAAACGAAGAGGTGCAAAAGGTAGGCATATATGTGTTATGTGAGTGAGTGTGTGTTAAGAGCGAGAGAGTGTATGCATGTCTGTTTTATAGTATGAGTTAATATTTTCTTGCCCATTTTAGGACTGGTGGCACGGCTTTGCCTCCTGATGAGCGTTTTGGTGCAGGAATCCGCAACTTTGTCCTATCAGGACTCCAGTGTACGGGTACTGAGGCGACCCTGGATCTGTGTCCACGGGAAGTGGCTATTGCCTGTGAATCCACTGTTAGTTGTAATTCAATCCACTAATAGTTGTAATTCAATCCACTGTTAATTGTAATTTAATCCACTGTTTTTTTTATTATATCTTTCCATAAACATGGCTTGTATGTTATCAAACTCCGTCAATTATATTGCAATCAGAATCCGGTAATTTTTTTCTAAATAATTAAATGTACGGAAATGATAATGTTTCTAAGAAGAAAATTCACCTGTGTTTACGACTCCCAAAATATAATTTTCATGATCTACATCTCAGCTTTAAGCTCCGATTCACTTCACTAGTTTAAAGTTTTAAATTCCTAATATATAAAAGACCAAGTGCGCACTTCTCTCTCTCTCTCGCTTTCTGTCCGCAATATTTTTTGGCAACGTCATCAGTATGTTTAGCGATATATGGAGCAGAGGCGTAGCGAGGGGGGGGCGAGGGGGGCGGATCGCACCGGGTGAACCATTTAGGGTTGTGACACCAAGGCAAAAATCCAGGCATCTATTCGCGGGGGGGGGGGGGGCGAACGAAATGGAATTATTATACAAAACGTACCGTTTATCAGAGTGCCATAACACGTTAGAGAGTTGATAAATACTCACAAGATGGTTTCTGGAGGGGGGGGGGAGGGTTTAATTTCGCAAAAGCGGCCCCAGCAGGATGCGTTCTGGCGCTCTAGTCTTTCCAATGAGCGCTATGGCGACTACGTTCGTTCTAAACAGTGTGATAGACAATGGATAAGATGGGGCGTTACAGTCGCTCACAAGATTGAATCAGACGTGTCCGTTGGCGCCATGGTAGGGTACAATTTGGCAAAAAAAAATAAGTTTCGGCCCCACAAGGATCACATGGGCCACTGAGGGCCCTTTAAAACATTTTTTTTTATAATCAGAAAATAAACCAAGGCTAGATTATTAACTGGGTTGTTTCCTTTTGTCCGTAAAAAAATCCAAACAGTTTCGTCACTTTGCAAATGATGCAATTAGCATGTATTTTTAGACGATATAATAAAAAATTGAGATCGAACTTCTAATAATACACCATTAGTAACGCTAACAAATTGCATCAATCACACTGATGTTTATAACATGTCAAAAAAAAATTTCTACGTGTTAAAGAAAAACCCCTGTTGATCCGTGTAACTTTAGTGAATGACGCAATCTGTATCATTGTTTTAGGATTCTATGTGGCGCTCTGGGTTATCCCGTGAGCACTATGGCCCCTATGTCAGTTTTAAGGAGCCAGGGGCCGTACACGGCGCCTTTGTTGTAATGTAATCGGGAGCTCTCGCGAGCGCCCCTCTACGTCCCTGACAGGGGGCGGTCACTAAAGTCTGTTCTACCTGACTATAATAGTTAGTGATTAACGTACACTTAAGGTTTTCATGCGGTAGTGTAGGCAAACCCGTGTCCCAATATTTATGATCCAAGCGTAGGCATCGTACATTTAAGTAACTCAGTTTTAGAAACAAAAAAGGTTACGCCTCTAAAAATATAGGATTAGTAACGCATTGATGAACCCCTTCTTATATATTTCGTCGGACTTTCTTCTATCCCCGCGGAACGTGGAGGTTTCTGTAAAAAAAAAATATTTAATTTCATAAGGGCGGCGCCCCGGGTTGGTGCAATTTTTCTTTGTATGCGGAATGTAAAAATAAAAGTCGGATGCCGCTTGACACCGTTTATCCGATGGCCATGAAACGTCGGGGAGTTGATTAGAACACTCCAGGGTAGGATTCTGCAAACACATTGATTTTTTTTTTAATTTAGCAAGGGCGGTGCGAGTCTTCTCTATTGATGAAACCCTCCTAATATATTTCGTCAGATTTTATTTGACTTTTATGCTTTGCTACACCTTTCATCTGATCGACATGAAACTTGTTGAAGCTGTTGAGAATACTCCTGCGAAAAAAAATTTCAATTTCGCACGAGCGGCGCCCCGGCAGGGTGCAATTTGGCGCCCCGGGTTATCCGCGACTACTATGGCACCTACGTTAGTTTTAAGCACTGCGATAGATTATCGATAAGAATAGCTGTTCACTAAATTGAATCAGACGCGTTCGCAGGCGCCCGACAGGTTGCAATAAGGCGCCCCGAGCTATCCCGGTAGCGCCTCGACGCATACGGTCTCTTTAAAGATTGTGATAGAATATGGAAATATTATAGTCGTTTACTAAACTGAATCAGACGCGTCTTACCGTGTCACGGCAGGGTACGATTTGCCCCGGGCTATCGTGGGACTTTTTTTTAACCCCGCGGCATCGCGCGGGGACGGGCACGCTAGTGAGTTACATAAAGCTCATTACTGCAAAACCTAATTTCTTACTAAGTTTACTTGTTCTCTAACGACCGATGAAATTAAAAACAGGAAACTAAATGCGCCTTAATGGTATCTAACTATTTCTACCCAATCTCCCGCCTCTACAGGATATGGAAGCAACTGTTGCATGCGATGGTGTCTCACGAGTCCCATACTATTCCTCAGAGATTTTACTTGGCGAGTATGTCGGCTCTGGGAAATTGTATTTGCCAGCCAACAGTCTAGACTACGGAAACGGTAAGTGTGTCAAGTCAATACGACTTCAAAATACAAAAACTGATTCTTCATACATTTTAAAAATATTTATAGATTTCAACTATACCATCAAATGATTTCACCTTCTCCCAC